CCATAATCTATCTGCTGATATTTACATCGTCATGAATCACATATGTGCGTGCACGGGTCGTCAATGAGCTGTTCTTCTTGTCATGGTGACGAGTTCCTCAGCTGATACTGGGTGGATAGCCTGTGAAGCGTACGTAAGGATTCGTTGAATCAGTATGCATCGATGTGCATCAGTATAAAAATTCCAGTGCTGTCACCATCCTTGAACCTTGACAATGCGGTTTCGTCATCCGAGTAAGCGAGAAATTGCGGCATATGCAGCAAGGGACGGACAATAGCACAAGAAAGGAAGGTTAGAATACCACGTACCACACAGTTATCAAAATCCTTCTTCGTTGCACCCATCTTAATCGCCACACCAAATCCTTGCAGGATTTCACTGCTGCCCTGACCCAAGATATGCAGACCAACGACTTTCTCATTATCACCTGCACAAATGATCTTGTAGGCCGTGGGCTGCTTCTCGCTAGGGTCCATCATGGCGAAGTACATGGCTGTGAACTGGGTCTTGTAGATCTTGATCTTGTCGTCACCATACTTTTTGCGGGCTTCGGGCTCAGTCAAGCCAATCGAACCGATCTCGGGGTGGGCGAAAACGACAGAGGGGATATTTTCGTATTCCAGGTGTGCATCGGGCTGGTTGTTGAAGAGACGGTCAGACAGGCGACGGCCAGAGGCAATGGCCACAGGGGTGAGTTCAAAGCCGCGATCGCAAACATCTCCGATGGCATAGATGTTAGGGATGGACGTGTTCTGGTACTCGTCGGTCACGATGTGGTTCTTTTCGTTGAGCTTGATGCCAAAGTCGGCGATCTTGAGGTCTTCGATTTCCGGCACACGACCAGTCGCGAAGAGGACCTCTTCGACCTCAACAGTCGATTCCCTCTTCGTCTCAGTCTCTTGGTAGGTGACACGCTTCAGTCCATGGCCGATATCTTCTACCTTTGTGATTTGTGTACCCTTGTACAGGTTGATGCCTTGACGTTCATACTCCTGGGTTACAGTGTCTTGGATCATAGGGTCAAAACTCCGGAGAAGCTTATCACCACGGATGAAGAAGTGTGTTTTCGTGCCCAGGGCATGGAGCATACCAGTCATCTCAACACCGATATATCCTGCGCCGCTTGTCGCGATACTCTTGGGCTGCTTCTCAAGGTCGAAGAAACCGTCACTGTTGATGCAAAGTTCCTTGCCGGGAATATCGGGTATCATGGGTCGTCCTCCGGTCGCAATGAGGATGTGTTTCGCCTTGATGCGCTGGACACCTCCGTCATTGAGTGCAACCTCGACCTCGTCCTTTGCAACGAATTTCGCACGCCCTCTGAAGTGCTCGATCTCGTCCTTGTTCAGGTTGTTCTCGTAGATGCCGTTTAGGCGCTTGACGTAGTCGTCTCGCTTCTTCTTAAAGTATGGCCAGTCAAAGTCCGGTACGCCGCCAACCTGGAAGCCGTATGCGGGCGCGTCCTTGAAGGTTTCCGCAATGGCTGCGGCATTCCAAGTCACCTTCTTCGGTACACAACCAACGTTCACACAGGTACCGCCGTATCGTGATGATTCAATCGCAATGACTTTGGCGCCGTGTTTGGCTGCTCGTCGACCAGAGGCAATACCACCACTACCGATACCCAACACTAGGTAATCGCACTCCTTCGTATTGGACGACATATTGATGCCGGATGTGGAGAAATGAGATGAAAGTTTCGATAGGCGTGAGGATGCCACTGCTGTTGGCAGAGGGTGGAAGTGCGACCGAGATAGGATGGTTTGTCGAGTGGATGGAGGGGCAGTGGTACGGAGACTCGTCGATAGAGCTCGCAGTCTAAGGGTCGCAGTTCTTTGCATTAAAGATGCAGCGCGGACACGGTGGATACTTATGGAAATAGCGAGGGCATCTAAATTTTAAATGCGGCAGTAGTCACGGACTGGATTGGTTGACGTTAGTAATCCTACGTGCAGGTGCAGTTGCAGTTTGTTGTACGGCTTAAGAAGCATTTGCTGGCTGGACGCAATTGACGATGCAAGGAGCGACGTACATATTACTATGCGCTACTGTGTAAGCTACACCGTATGCTGCTTGATAATCTTTAAATCCAGTCTCGAGGTTTTTGAGTTTTGCGATTAGTATCAATAGACGATGACGCGACCTCGGTCCCTAGCAAAGACGTCAATGCGCTATACCGCTTTCGATAGCTGCTTGCAGATTACCTCATCGATGGTGCACTCCACTCCCAACACCCGCACTCGCGTCTCCAATAGCGGTGATTGTATGTTGTGGTCCATGCAAGAGATCTCGGTAGATGTTGGTAGGAGATATGCCAACACATGACAGCAGCACCAATTTCCCCGGATCGTGAATCGTGAGGCAACCTTCTGAAGTCCGCAATCCTTCACGTCCCAAGCTCCACCACGAGCCCGAACGCATCACGCTGCACGTCGCATGCACAAGGTCTACATCTAGCATTCAATCCCTCTGATAATCTCAGTATGGGAGGGAGGCTTTCCATGCCAAAGGCCGCCGATGGCCTGAGTGAAACTTCCAAACCAACTTCTGCAAACGCACGCGCCCGTCTCACGCGGGGTCGAGGCATCATCAATGGCCGTGTAAGCCTTCATAGCTTGACATGTATTTGCTGTACGTGCTAACATATACATAGACAATCATGGCGCCATTAGCTGCCTTTACAATGGCTGGTCTCCTCTTCGTCTACGCTCGAACTTCGATACGAGCCGCAAAGCTCAACGCAAAAAAGCACCGCGAGGCAGATGGTGGGCAGATTAGCTGGCACAAGGAGAGCCTGAGGCGGCATGGGCAGATGGAAAAATTAGACGATGATAAAGGGACGTTTAGCGAAGCACTCATGGGAGACATTCGGAAAAAGAAGAAGCAACAGCAGAAGGTTGAGGAAAACCAGAAGGCGCCGGTGGAGAGGTCGGAAAACGAGGCAGAATTGAGGAAGATCTTGGGAAAGAAAGACTAAGGCAAATGTTTACGACGCGCTTTTGCCGTGTAATTGGACACGCACACGAGGGAAGTATACCAGATTGACATTCAGCAACGTATAGGCCTTCGTAGAGTATAAAGTCCCAACATAAGCTTTACGCTTACACCAAACGATCACTTATTGCATGCTACTCCGTGGAGGCTAGGGAAGGGTCGACAGCGCGCCACATGCGGCACATGACCCCATATAACAGCTAAGCATTGCTCGGTCTCTTTAGTGATGCGATGGTGGTAACGAGGCAAACTCCGGTACAGGCGAGGTCAAGTGGAGCTACGAGCTACCGGTACGTACCACGGTCCGCGGCCGGTAGCTTCTTGTCATACACATTCTGTCACATATTGAAGCTTTCTTGACCGGTTGACGTTGAATAATAACAAAGGCTTGATGATTCAGGACGCCATAGTCGCACGACATGACATGGCGCAAAGATCGAAACAGGACCTACCCAGATGCCGCAGCTGCCGTATTGATGAATGGTGATTCGTTGAAGCTATGGATATGCATGTAAACCAGGATGTGTAGAGCTTCACATGTAAGCCAACCCCGCATTTTACGTTGTGGTGGCTATCAAACATGCAACATGCCACGAGGTTTGAGTGCGTGACAGCCGGCGCGATGCCACGACGTATTGGGGCGAGGACGCTGACGACTTCGGGGGCATGGAATGAGTGTTATTGTCTGTTCGTAGAGACATATTGAAGTGCAGATAGTGATAGTTCGCGTCGATCGTTCCTCTGCAGCCAATGAGTTCATCCTTCCGTGGCCATTAGACTGTTTTGGGCTGTTCGTAGCACAAAGCGCGATCTCAACCCCACCATTCCATCACCACAATCGACGTCCATATACCCTCAATACCGCCCGCCATTGTCGCCCAACCTTGCCCTCTACCCCAAGTCTCTCCACGCCACACAATTCGCGCATATACGCCATTCGTATCGAGCTTGGCGACGCAGCGGTCTTCATGGAGCTTGCCCGGCTGCTGGCCCGATCGCGACTGCCGTAGGAAGACAGCACCGTCTTCCACAGCTAGCGATAGCCAGTATGCCCGAGCAGGAGGAAGCGAGGCCAAATGTACAAAAGGACATTCCGAATAGGCCGCGTGATCTGACCGAGGTTTCAAGAGCTGTGTTGCGGAGCGAGCAGGCAAAGCGATGGACCAAGAGGTATAGGACTGAGGTCGCCGCAAGCTCCAGCAGTCTGCTTTCCACCTTTGCTGCAGTACGTACAGATACAGCGAGCGATATCACGTGAGAATCGAGAATGCTAATAGCTTCCAGTATCCTCTGGACTCGGTCAAGACCCGACTGCAAGCGTATGCCGGCCCCCTCAGCTTACCCAGAACACGGCTAACATCCCACAGCTACAAGTTCAGTTCCTTCACTGACTGCGTTCGCCATACCTACAAGACTGAAGGCTTTCATGGTTTCTATCGCGGGGTCTGGTCTCCTCTTGCAAGCATTACCCTCGTCCGTACCGTATCCTTCTCGATATATCAGCGAACCAAGTACGCGCTCGACAACTGGATCTACCAGACTACTGGAAGCTCGCCACTTGTCATCGCCAACACGAGAGGCGCATGGCCTACGCTCTCGACAGTTGCGTGTTTCGGTCTGGCAGGTGTGAATGCGGGTGCTGCCATTACGGTAATTGCATGTATGGCCACCTTCGTCCTACATGTACGTGTAGTTGGCTAATCTTAATCTCAGGTCCTTTCGAATTGACCAAATTGAGTGCCCAAATCTCCGTGTTGATGGCCGAGCGCAGCGACGGTGGCGGTAAGAACGAAGCCATACGGAAAAGCTACCAGAATTTGGGAACCTGGAAGACGGCGCAAAATCTGGTCAAACACCGGGGATGGGGAGGCCTGTACTCCGGTTTTCATTTACATCTACGTGAGTGAACTGGAGCATGAATGGAAGATGCGGAGAGGCTGACTTGGCATAGTTCGAGATTCCATCGGTACCGGCATCTATTTTGTTACATATGAGAGTGTGAAACAGATCCTGGCAAATGCACGCGGAACTTCGCCCACCCATCCATTGGCTGTGGTTATAGCTGGTGGAGTATGCGGATTGGTCAGTTGGGCATGCGTAAGTAATCGATGACAACGCAGGTTGGATACAAAATTCTGACAAATCATACAGATCTTTCCCATCGATACGGTAAAAAGCATCTACCAGCGCAACTGCCTCGTCGGAGGCAAAGACAAGGCAACCAGACCAAAAATAGAGTTCTTCAGTCGGCGGATGTACAGAGGTAAGCGAATGTACATCTCTCTTCAACAACTGGGTCCTAATCAAGTCTAGGTCTGGGGGTTTCCATGTCTCGATCATGCATGGTCAATGCAATTTTCTTTACCGCCTTTGAGTTTCTCAAGAAGCGAATCAATGGCATGACCTATGACGAAGAACTCCTCCGCGCAAATGATTATTAATCGCAATCGATGCTTATCTGGCATTTATATGATTAGGGTTTCACTGTTTCTGCATCTGGCATGGAGTAGGCGCATATCATTGCTTGTGTGGAAGCGGGTATGTAACTTATCCAGGATTTGAGTACGCTACTGCTGGCATAGCATTGAATATGACGCATGTACATCGTGCGCCCTTTGCTCAAAATCCTTTCCACTTGTCTCGTACCTTCTCATGGTTCTCATTCGCTTTGTTTCTCCACGCGTCTCATACCCTCCTACGTCTTTTGTTTCAGTCCTCTCATCTTCACAGGATACTTCTCTCGATCCTCCTCTGATACATGACCATGATAATCGCACGGATCCAGGATGCATTTACTCCAATCTTGGCTCTTCATGAAGCTATAGCGAAGCATGACGCGTATTAGGAAATCAACTGGTAGTTGCGATCTGCGCTGAAAATCGCCATTTTCCTTAGTGTCATCATTATCAGTGTAGTCGAGGCAGTGTGATGCAACCATGAGATCTAAGACAGGATGATCCTTTGGAAGATTGGCGAACCCATAGATGATGGCTTTGTACCAAGGACAGTTTACTATGAGATCCTCGATAATTGCATCGCGCACCGCTCGATGGAAATTAAGCGCAAGAATACGATCGCCAGGGACAAGGGCTTTCAACATCGATATGTTCGAGTCGCCCAAATCGTCTGAGTCGTCGTGTTTGACAGGGATTCTTGGAAGCTTCCGCGTGTACATCCAGTCAACGAAGATATTGACTGTTTTGGTCAGCTACTATAGTCACAAACCTCAACGCTGCTCATATGTACTTACAACCATCGCAGTCGACATTCTCCAGCGTGACAACACCTTCCTGAGCCTCCTTCCAGGACCCAGTCAAGGCTTTGCGGAAGTACTCGGAATGTTCTGTGAGAAACGAACGATGAACCGTGTACTTGGTCTTTTCCGCGCCAACCTCTACGATGACGAGCGCAGAACTGCGAGCGGTGGTGCTGTGTTTCGTGGTCAGCTGGAGTCTGTACTTTGAGTATGGGGGAGTGAAATGTACCTTGCGCGCATCGTCTTCTTGCTCTTCTGGGATTACCGCGGTCGTAGTTACTCAAGGCGTGGGGTGGGGTAATTTGCTTCTGAGTGTAATGGTTCGGGTTAGATGATGTTGGCCGTGAGGTAGTCACGAGCGACTAGCGTAATAATCTCTCACTAGTGCTGCTCTCCTCTCTCACCTTTCCTCCGTTACCGACACTTGCGCGCAATTGAGTGTGGATGCTCTGTCTCACTTGCGTGCAATAGCGTGACCGGCGGGTACGAGACTGCTGCCATCCATCAATTCTTTCCACAAACCTACACACTCACTCCCTCTATCTCTCTCGTACAACAGCCACCATGGCCGATAAGAACGATAAACCGAGCTGCAGCCATAGAGCCCCGTAAGCCATATGGATCAAAGCATATGCATTTCTTGGCTCACACTGTCTAGCATGCTCGCCGGCGTCCTGGAAATCAGGATTGCCGACGGTGACGAATCGATGACTTTCATCATATCCACGGCATTACTCGAGGCTCATGCGCCAAAATTAGCGCAAAATATCCTGGAGCAGCGTCGCCAGGGCTCTGAAACTATTGAGCTTACTTGTTTCGACCAAGTGTGCTTTGACGAATTTGTGAAATGGCTCAAAGAGATTCCGAACGATACTAGCACGTTTAAAGCAAGCCGTGCGAGCCTTACAAATGGACTCCTCGATCTGCACACGGCCTTTAACCTTCTCTATGTCAAACTGAGTACGGATTACGAGATTATTGAGCTAAAAAAAAAGATATCCTCGATCAGCTATCGCGCTGTATCGAGAATATCACCACTGACCCAAGAGAGAACATATATAGACAACGCCCGGAGGATATCGTGGATCCCGTCGAATACACGTACAGCCTCACCAAACTTGATGTTTTTCTGAGAATTATCATGATTGTAGGCTTCTGCACTGTTTCTGCAAGAGACAAGAATTACCGGCATAAATCAATCCTTTTCCAGTTACCTAAAGAATTTCTGGCCGATGTCATCCACCGAGAAGGCGACTTTTCAAGTTCCGAGCAATGCAAAGCAGTGTGCTTGGAAGAATTGAGGAAGTAGCAGATTGATGATGGAGACAAAGGACAGAAGAAGAGAAACAGTGCTTAGCAATGGTGGTCTGTCAAGAGGATGACGGAAACAGGACAGTATTCGAGCACCCCTGTGCGAGAATCTGACGCCAGCAAACGATCTGAAATGGAGTTTTGCATTTATCTTACTATTACGGATCGGCCTGTCTCAGGTCTTCGAAAGCTATGGGTTATTGTGTTTTCTTATTTTGGGCTGCGTTATAACAGCTTACAAAAGCTACGGGTTGCTTAGGGATGCAAGTTACAAATGATTTGTGATTGATTTCAAAACCATATCTTCGGTATTGCGGCTCAATCACCATCTGCATCGAGGGTAACCAGAGTATCACACTCATCAGCAATAAATGCATAAATTCAATTTCAAATACATTTCCCCAAAGAAATAACGAAGGTCAACGTGCTATTCACACTTGATATAGTGCACCGACGTATCCAGGACTACAAAACTCGTCATATCTTGACTTCAGTATTTAATAGTGATCTCTACAATAACCAGTAGCACTTAGAAATGTATTTTCACGTCAGTTCCAGACTATGCACCGATAACCCCGCAAGTCACTCAAAACAGAAGCCTACACATGTACGCCATAGGATCAGCTAGAAGACGTTGCTCTCAAGACTGCGCTTTGAATGACTCGTGGTACATGATATTAATATGGAACATCACAAGCGATATTGTCGACGAGAATGAGGTTTTTGTCGGCAAAGTAAAACAGTGGGAAGACATGAACGACGCGAGAAACGATAAGATTGTAACAAAAAGGTTTGTCGATGCGTATGTAGAACAGTGATTAGGCGTTTTGAAGGCTGGTGTTTATGAACCGACTTAGTTCAGGCTGGGAAGTGGAGATTACGAAAATTGGATTGAATTACCCCTCATGAAAGGAACAGAAAAAAACCACAGACCCTTGACCAAGATACTGGCTGACCTAGATATTAGTAGCACAATCCTTGACGTCTGAGAGAAGATTCGCATGCACTGCATCCACTATACAACAGGAAGATATTGGCCAATTGGTGATCATCTGAAACGACGTGCTCTATCACCGGTTATAAGGTATCACAGACGGACTCCCGATATTGCGCTTTTCGAAGTTTCATTGACCCGCCGACCTAACATATCTCATGACGCCATCTTTGTTCTTCCGGGGAGGGCCCGTATGCAAGCCGAGTCACTGAAAGATCGTGACTATTTCCACCCCAGCAATGGGAATATGCCCGCTGATAATCCGTTGTGCAACCCCGTAAAAGGCAAATCTCGAAGAAAGGAAGGGAAGTGATGCGCTTAGTCGAAGAGACCGAAGCCCATGTCGTCGTCTGACTCCTCCTTCTCTGTTTGTGGGTTAGCCATGTTTGTGGGCAGACTTGTGTGTGGGCAGACGCACCTTCTTCCTTCTTCTCCTCAGCAGCGGGCTCAGCAGCGTCAGCACCGCCTGCGGCAGCGCCGGCAGCAGCACCAGCAGCGGGAGCGGCACCGCCGCCTGAACCGACGTTCAGTAGTAGGTCCTTGACATCCTTGCCCTCGAGAGCCTGTTTATATATCAGATTTGTGTTCTATCCCCCATAATTCTTGATTGTGCGCACCTTGGCGAACAGGGACGTCCAGATGGGCTCGACGTCCTCGATCTTTGCGGCCTTGATGAGAGACTGGAGCTTGTCGGCCTGTTCAAATTAGCCATTATGCACATTACTGCAACTGCCATTACACCTCGGAAGTCGTACAGTGATGTCGACACCGTCATCAGCGAGGATGAGAGCGGCGTAAGAGGTGGCGAGCTCGGCGTTAGACATTGCGACGGTTGTGGTCGTGAGATTTGTCGTGAGGTCGGATGTTGGAAGTCGTGAGTTTCGAGCGGAATTGATGTGGAAGGCGCTAACTGATGCCTTTCGCTTAGCGAGGCGCTAAGTTGTTTCGGGACTTGGCCGTGTCCTTGCCCCTCTGTGACGTCCGCGTAGCTTCCCCGCTATCCAGCTGCATCTTGGCTTCCCGACCTTGCGACCAGCCTACTTACGAGTTCGCATACTGCATACTCCAACCCTCCCCGACGTTCCCTTTAGTCGCACCCCCACCGTGATTATCGGCCTAACCATCCCCAATCAACGTTTGCCGCCACCATGACGGACTCACCCTTGCCGCGGATCCCGCTGGATGCGAAAGAGCAGCCCATCCTCGACAAGCTGCAGTCCATACGGACCGAGCTTGAACTAATGAAGCGTGATCGGTCGACATACGTCAAGAGCCAAGATGTAGTAAAACTATATGACCAAGTCATCGAGCAAGTCATGGTTCTGAACGAGATCCGCGAAACCAAGCGTCTCGAGCAAAACAAGGGTATGTCACGTTGCCAGTTACCCAATGTGGAAGATGCATTTACTGATGGGCTGGTTTAGTTGATTATATGCTCGATGACTGTTTTCAGCTCATTTCTCTCGCCTATCTGACTGTTGGAAAGAATCATGAACCACCAGCCGTGTAGGTATCCAAGCGTACTCTGCCACATGTATCGGTACTGACGTTATAGGTATTCATATGTCTCTACCATCAAGGTAATTGAACATACTCGCCCATGGAATACTGGATATTGACTTTTCTAGCGTCTTTTAGATCATCTCAAGGAAGCTACATTCTATTCGCAGAAAGATCTCGAGGCTCTCGACAAGAATGTGCAAGACTGTCGGCGTTATGTCGAGAGGGGTAGGGAGATGTACAGTCCCCACCTCGTGACCCTGCTCGATGCTCGTCTCAAAGTGTGCGAGGAGATTTTAGCAGAGCTGAAGCTTACGTTATCTGAGCTTACGCCCGAACTGACACCGAAGTGGGAAAAGCTAGTGTCGATACTAAGATCACTTTGTGGCTGCAACGCCAGATCAAAGGTCAGTAAACCATCAATGAATAAAATATGTATACTGACGAGATCTTTAGTTCCCTCACGATGAAGTTGAAGAGTATTCGGAAGAGCTAAACAAGCTCGCCGAAGAACTCAAAGAATACGGCATCCGGGCGTATGAAACAGAAGGGACCACAGAGGAGAGACTAGCTGAGATGGTAAATAAGATGCAACTTGTCCAGGAGAATCCCGAGCCGGCGCCAGAAGCCAATACCCTCGTCGGGACCCTGTTGCGGCGAAACCTGCTCTGGGTCACCTTGATCAAGCAGAAGTCAGTTCAATCCTTACCGATATGCGTTGCTGTCTGACACATATATAGGCAAGGACGTATATCACCCGCGTTCAAAGACACTTATGACAAACTGCTCGCTATCCGAAACAAGCTCGAGAAACTTACGCTTACTCAGGCGTGGTCGCTCCGTGAGACCGACCTCTGGGACTTCCAGCGTCAGCTTGACCGCGTGGACGAAGCGCGAGTGGACGGCAACTTTGTGGATGCTCTCGGTCGACCTTCAGAAATATACGAGCAAAGGGTAAGACTTTTTAAACTTCGGTAGGAATGTCGGTCTAACATGCAACACAGACGTTGCTCTACCTTCTGCGAAAGAGCTATGCGTTGATATACCAGCTCATATTAACATCGGAGCCTGTTTCTGAAGCGCTTCTACCAATCTATAACCAACTGACCACGCTTCGGAAATGCCTGCTTGAAGTGAAGAAGCTTGGGGGCGTTTCTTCACCAAGGGAGCTATACCCCTACAGCATGAAGGTTCGTGCGCTTCACGAATGATATACTAAATCGTGTACTGATTTAACAACAGCTGAATTCGATCGACAACATGAGGGTAGACGGAAAGTTTATGGTGGGCGACGAGATACCCGATGGTCAAGGCCGCGTGACACAGCTTCTGGAAGAATGTTTCGAGCTCGCATACGATCTGAGGAACGATGCGACAGACAACAGCTCGGCGGAGGCCACGCCATCGAACGAAAAGGCCGAGCCTCTCAGCGCCTGAGACTTTTCTTTACTTTTATCCAGCGTTGTAGAGCATGGTGTGGGTGTCACTTGCCCAACGAAGGCCACGTCTCCTACAACGTCGTGTCTTAATTTGATGGCCCATTTGCAAGCGTTGAAACTCAGTCGTTGGACTGCAGTGCTTTTTGTACTTTTAACAGCTACTACTCTAATATGGCTCCATCATTCGGAGTTGTTCGAGCTCTTCTTCAGGTGGCGTGGGAGGTACAGGATCTGCGTCTTTGAAGGTTAGGTGACTTCCGTATGAGATGCCTAGATGTGTTAGTATCCCGCAGACATGAATACAGGACTTTCGTTTACATAGTTCTTCCCCTCTGCGAATGTCTCTTAAAGCTCGGTACGTAATAATCTGCCGCCCGAGGTCTCGCATCCAACCCACATTCTGCTCTTGGGTAGAGTGATTGAACATGCTACCCAGCCCAAAGATGACAGCTTGAGCAGTTTGATTGTTACCGTTCATATCCTTGATTGGCCAGTTGCTGAGGAGAGTCAGAGTTTGTATCGATCTTGGACCTTTGTGTTGTCCTCAGAGTATCAACCTTGCCCTGAGATAGGCTCTTGCCAACGAAGACCCTGAAGCCATTTATCTCAGCGCGCGGTTGATATGCAAAAAGTTTGCATAACTTAATGTAAAGCCAAGAAGGATAGGCGCACGTACTAAGTATAATGGTATAACGAGGTCTTTTCTATATGCTCTTTGTTCTCTTCTGTTCCTAGAACCAAGACTGGACAGATGTCTATGATGGTACCCGCTAATATGTTGTTTGTTGCAAACACACCACGTCCTGCCATTCCGTCAGAATGTCTCAACAACCATAACATGATATGTTAGAAAGAGCAGAGCATACCTTTTGGTGTATCGCTCTTTATGACTAGATCCGGACATCGCTGAAGCTGAATATCAGCATGATCAGGTGGAATATGCATGATTTGAAACAGATGCGTCGACTCTATGCAAGCAATGAACACCAATAGAATTCTTCGTAAGTATAAGTATCGGCTACTAAGATTGTTGCCACAATGTTTCATGGAATTCCCGACGACCTGCATAAAATTTAATCGCCGCGCTAAATCCGCGCATCCGGCTCTTGGACCCTGGAGTTGTGCCCCACTCAAGCTTCAGCTCACAGCTGGCTGACTTTCGTCACACGTCGAGCGAGCTTGCAACACGATTGCCACAAACATGGCGCAACAGCGAGGGCACGCGATGGGCGACTCCCTCAAGACGGCGCACTCAGTGAGCCTAAAGGTTCTGCGGTGAGTATGCCCCTTGTCACAACCTGGACAGAGAGCTGTCTTCGCGACAAATCGTGAGGCGTCTGAACATGATCTCATATTCACGGACCTCAGTGTGCAGCGTATCGCAGATCCTGAAGTTCGCAATTACTGATGGTGTCCCCAGGCTATCCCGCCCTTCTCTTGCGACACAATATCCTCTCCCAAACTCCAAGAGCCTGGGCATATCGCCCAGAGCTTCGCTCGCGTACCCGTCACAAAATGATGCAAACGATCAGTTCATCCTCAGCCCAGCGCTGAACCTCCCTGAGGCGTTTGGTAGTGCCTACGTTGGCGAGACATTCTCCTGTACGCTATGCGCGAATAACGAACTCGATCCATCGGACAATGCAAAAGCAATAAGCGGTGTGCGGATTCAAGGCGACATGCAGACGCCTTCCAACCCTACAGGCTCACCGCTAGACCTTTCTGGCTTGTCAGGAGAAGATGATGGTGTCTCCCCCGGCCCAGGCGAATCCCTACAGCGCATCCTAAGGTTCGAGCTCAAGGAAGATGGGAATCATGTCTTGGCAGTGACGGTCACATACATGGAGACAGCTCTAGGAGAAGGAAAAGCGGCTAGTGGCAGAGTCAGGACTTTTCGCAAACTCTACCAATTCGTGGCGCAGCAGCTACTCAGTGTTAGGACGAAAGCGGGAGAAATGGGCCACCGGAATGGATCTTCTAGATACCTTCTAGAGGCGCAGTTGGAAAATATGGGGGAAGCCGCAGTGTGTTTAGAGGTACGTCAGTGCTCTGCAAAGTCCATGATTCGTGCCCTCCATTGAGTTGTCATCTATCGTAAACGAGTCATAGGGCTTTTCGGTTTTCCATGACTCCAGAGGCGCTTGCGCGTTTCGAGCTCAATCAGTAGCTCGATCGCAAGCCCGGTCCGGGGACATCTGTAGATCCCGGCACTATCTCGCTCTTTCTATTTCTAATACGCTCACAACAACCATGTCCCTCGTCAGCATCAAACCCTTACTGACACCCAGCAGACCGTCAATGTGAACCCGAAACCACCTCTCAGATCTAGGTCGCTGAATTGGGACATGCAATCCGCTGGGCTCAATGCGCCGATACTGAGCCCGCGTGATGTGGTGCAGGTAGCGTTCCTGCTGGAGCACCAGGCTGGCGACGATGACGACATGCCGGATTCTGTAACGGAAGATAACAAAAGAGTCTTGGGACAGCTTGCGATTCAGTGGCGGAGTGCGCTGGGGGACAGGGGCTCCCTCAGCACTGGATGGCTTACAGCCCGGCGCTGAGGCTGTCGCTTTTTCGATAAAGTTTACGTGGCGCGCTTCAATATGACTACGGCTCTAATATTTCCGATCGGAAGTTTTGACGCTCGTACCTGGGGTTTCCAAGAGGTCGATCTTACATGAAGGAGCTTGCCTTTGTTGGCTAGGTCCAAGACGACCAAGAGCCTGGTTTACAGCATGATTGGATATGTCCTTGTATCCATGACCAAAGGCGGAAGAGCAAACTCAGGACGATGGTTATGCGCACGCCAGACTCAAGTGTTTTGCACTTGAGCTATATGTACAGGGCTCGATAGGACTTTACCGGAGATTGCCCTGTCAATCTATAACACAACCTGCCTTTCAAAGAGATGTTGTACAGCAGGTGGGTACTCTCGATACAGATGACGGGGATAGGGATGGGGTCCCTGGTCGGATCGGCAAGCGAAGAAAAGCAAACACAGCGTCTGCCACTACCGCATTGAATGCACGTCGAAGCACGGAATCAATTATTCTGGAGAAGCGAATGTAGCCTTGTGTCTTAGACCAAGCAATTTGACAGGTCAAGAAAAGAAAAGCAGAAAGAGCGATACAAGACAGCCAATTCGAGTCGCAAAGGACGGCACGATGACTAGGTACCCCGGACTAGGCACGGATTCAGGCACAGCACAGATGTGGCAGGCAGAAATCACGGGTGTAGACAAGCTTCGAACTGGTAGAGGGTCTCGGGATCGTCAAAGGGTTACGCATGTTGGTGGAGAGGCGTAAAGGGGTCGACTGCCGTGTGATGCGTCGGCCACGGTAAGTGGATTTTGACGCAAGCGCGGAGGATGCGCAGAGAGGGGATATTGCTGCTCGTATGTGCTGGCACTTGGCTTAGGGAGGGGATAGCTGTCAGATGGAATGACGCGCTTAGCCACGCCATGACGATTGAAGAAATTCTCTCCCTTGCTGTCGGCTTCCCGTAGCGGGATCGACATGGCCATGCCCTCTATCCGTCGAGTGGCCGAGCGGATTCGCAAGCCCCCAAGACGAGGTCAAGAAGTCAAGACGGAGACGGCAGCAGATGATGCATGGGAAGACATTGGTCGTTTCTGTACCGTCAGGCCACCAGTTTGAAACGGCAATGGTTTATAGAGGATGGTCAGGGTACACGACAGTGCGACGGGACCAGCTATGCATATGCATGGCAAGGCTTGACGATGCGGCTACGGTAGACAGCAGTTCACGATTTCTGTGCGCGCGGCAACAAGCATGGTGTTCGGTAGGGGGACATTTGATAGCGATCGAGGGGGAGGGGGCGTAAGTATGTAGGGATCGAGAGTGGTGTGCGGGTATTTGCAGGGTTGGTGGGGCCTGGTGTTTTTTTTTTTGGTCTCGCGCGCTGGAGATGTGCAGTGCGGACAGCATAGCATAGCAGTGTACACGGTACACAGGATAACTGCCCCTATTTCCTGCCGTGGTTGCAAGGTGAGGTACGGCGTATGCGTAGGTATGCGTGGTGTAGATATTATGTGAAACACAAGCAGATTACACACACAGCACAATGCATCTTTCCTATGTGGCTTGTATCTAATAACAGCAGTAAAGTCGTGTTGGTTGCGGGCGGCCATCTGATGACCCCTGAGTACGCAAGCCGGCGAGGACAAGCAGCCAATGCGTAGCTAGAAGCCAATCCCGCTTCAGCGCTCTGGCAATCCCACAGGGGCCCAAAGAGGAAAGGCGTCAGGCCGTGCCTTCCCAATCCATGCCGGGCAACCCCCTGGTCGTGCTGGTTGCTGGTCGTGCTTTCCGAGCCGACAGGGTCTTGGGCTTGGGAAGGCAAGGCCGGCACAGTGGACACACAACATGCACGCAACAACTGCCTCTGTCTTGTGTCGTATCTGGCTGCGGCTTCTCTGCCCGAGGCGCCTGCAAAGAACAAAAGTGCCAGGTAAAGTCTAATCGGGGCTCGAGACTAGCGGCAGTGCCTTGCATTGACAGACTCGCGTCGACTGAATGACAGGTCGACTGCATTCAGAGGTGCAGCAGTCCGGTCCAGGCCGAGAGGGGGAGGGGGGATTCCAACGCGGGAGCTGTTTTGCGCTAGACGGCTGTCTGGCAGTGCCAGTGCGATAAGAGCGCAAGCGGGCGTGAGCCCTGCGACGACAGTCAAAGTGGATTAGCTGCCTTACTGCCTTGCTCCAACCCGGACGCCAGTCCTTTTGAAAGTGCTTGTGACCGAGCGCGCTGTGCACTGACTGATGAACCCTTCTCCGCCTACCCTCCTCCCCATCCACTCTTTTGCCCGCAGCAAGCAACCATTAGCTGCAAACCACGAGCACTCCACGCGCACTCTCCCTGCCCACCGACACACCACCCGTTCGCGACCTGCTGTTTGATCAACTCGTTTGCCCTGGCCTGCTTCACCAAATTCAAATCTTTGCAACGCGCGCGCCCGTGCAGCCGCATTTCTGTGTCCCCGTCGCACACACTTTGGCTTGCCGTGCATAAGCCCTGCGCCCACCCGTCACGAACACCCGTTGGAGCTGGCGTCCAATCCCTAATGACCTAGAGCTACAAGGCGACTTGACGCCCATACACGCCCTGACTGCGATTCCAACCCACGCTCCTTAAACTGCCATCTTTTTGGATATCCTATGCCCATCTGCCACCATGGCCCCCGCTCCCACCTCCACCACCGAGCAGTCGTCGACCCCGCTGGCCGATTACTTCTTCATATCCGGCATTGAGTCCTCGCAAGTCTACGACGACCGTGCTCAGAGCACAAGTATTGTCACCTCGTCGCTCGCACAACCCTCGGTTGACGAGACCATTGAGGAAGACCGCGCCCTCGAGACCGACTCCATTCGCCCAACCTCACAGGACGGCCTGCCCCAGGGCGACCGCACACGCCAGAGATCGCGGAACCGATATAGTGAGAACCGCCAGTCGGTCGGCACAATCATTGGCCCAGAGGCAAAGCCGACTGCGAGCAACCGGAGCAGTGCCACCATCAAGGGATTCCAGCTTGGCGGCTCCGGCCTGAGTGACCAAGAGTTCGACATTGCGCTGCGCAAGTTTGCTTCAGAGCGCGATTCCTTCCTCGAGGAAATTCAGTTTACTGCTGGTGTTGCGCAACAGTCCCGATCCACCCCCACTCGCCCGCCTCGCCCACGACCCCAGCGCGTCTCTCAGACCAACCCCGACGATGGCAACAACGTCAGATCTGGCGTCGGTAGCATTCGCCGCCGCATCTCGACTATGCAGAGTAGCCTGAAACGACAGTCGTCAACAGCGAGACAGTGTAAGTCAACTTAACTTTTTACGCCCCGCGGCGTTTTGCATGGGCTGTGCCCCCGGTCTAGCATGGGTTGCTTACTTTTTGAACGACCATTCACTGACAGGCATCCAGCTTCTATCCGAACGTCCAGACGCATGTCCGGCTACAACTCGGTCATCCCCGCCCCACAGCCCTTTGCGCCGGAGCCTGATATGCACCCTCTGCTTCGTCGCTACGAGCCCGTCCTTCTTGATCGATATCCGCCAAGGAACATGGTGGAAGAACTGAAGAGGCGGAATCCCTTTCCTGACTATGTGCCCATGTTTGCTTTTCCGGATGATGTCAGTGTTGTCTCGTCCGACGAGCGACCGAAGAGCCAGTGGCATGGATTTGCCATGACCAATGGCGATGGGTCTAAGCTCTACGGCATTTGCATCATTGTCTGGCTGCCATTGAACGCCGGCGCGGCCGAAGGGCTCGAGCGCCAGTGTGAAGAATGGCGTAACTTGCACATGAACCCAGAAGAGCGCGAATTGGCTAGTAGCTTAGGTGAGCGTCTTGCACTGGAGCGTGCGAAACTATCACAGCTCCTGACCAAGCTCCCATCGGTCGCCCCGGACTCCGAAGAGCGCGACGAACTAGACGACCAAATTGGGGCGGTAGAGGAAAAGATCCAGCTTATGACGGATCTGCTTCGGCCCGTAAGACATGGTGCAGCTTCCAAGATCGAAGGTCTAACCGATGGAGAAACTGGTCTCTGGATACCTCGCGCCTACGGTGTCATGGGACGAGATGCTAGTTTGACGCCCTTTTGGAAAGAATGGCTCAAGGCTGTTGTGGTCCCCATGACTACTGGCGCGATTCTTCGCGTTCCAGCCAGCTCACCGCGTGTGGGCATGTGGCAGCCGCTCGAGCGATATGTTGTCAATCTGTGTGCGGAAGCTCTTAGTCCGATTACATCCATTACACAGGTTGAACTGGCTATCCGAGAGCTTCGCATGTATGCTCGCAAGGAGGCAGTCAACGAGCTGCCTGGATCCCGCAATATCGACATATACGCCCTCTTCCGATGCATGTCTATTCCCAACATCGTCACCCTATTCGAATACGTCCTCTCTGAAGCTAGGATCATTCTCCTTTCCTCCCACGCGGCCATGTTGCATCTTGCGAGTCTGGCCATCACCAACCTCCTGTACCCCTTCCAATGGGCAGGTGTCTTCATCCCTGTCTTGCCCGCACGCCTGGTCCAAACGATCGAGGCACCATGTCCATACATCGTGGGTATCGAGCGCCGCTATGAGCCCGCCGACTACCCCGATGACGACTATGTACTCATCGACCTTGATGCTGACTCCATAGTGTCCAACGGCCCTCCTCCACCACCTCTACCCCGTCAACAGCGACGGAAGCTCATGTCACTACTTCAGCAATCTGCACCCCATCATGTGCGATACGGTGTACCTACTGGACCCCCTGCTTACGCAGTAGAAGCTTTCCCATTCGATACATTTGCCTCCGAAAATCCCAACGTGTTTTCACACAGGGCACATCCCTCTACGGTTCAAAACTATGTTGGTCTCAACTCGGCATCATTTGGTACTATCGTTGGACCGCCCAGCTCTAGGCCTCTAATCTATAACGCTTTCCTGCAGTCAGGCGTTTCGAGTCGTGGAAATGACAGGCCATCCACGGCAGCCACCATGAAAACACACAACTCGCCACCTTCGCCCAAGATCTCGCCAGTATCCACGGTATTCCCGCCCATGCCAAGCACGCCCATCTCACGCAGTGATTCGGGCTACGCACTACAAGCTAACCTGCGTGAGAAGCGCTCAGCCCATTTCGAGACTTCAAGCCGCCGAAGTTCATCGGTAAGTTTACTCAGTGCCGTCATTCTAATAGTGCGTTTACTAACGCTCCTAGTTCGGTTTCGAGCGTGTACCCCCGCTTCGGCGCCCTTCACAGCCATTCCTCGGCCATGCGCAGAGCGCATCAACATCTTCGCTTAGTCAGGAGGTTAGGGCAGGATCTTCCTATGCGCCATCAGTCTACGCTCAGTCTACACTAGCAGCGTCGACAATCATGCCTGGCATGGCTACGCAGCAGGTTCGCAATACTGCCACAACCCAGTGGCAAGAAGGACATTGTCTGCAATGGAGACCAAACGAAGACAAGGCCGTGTGCTCAGTATGCGAAGAAAAGTCTGATGATGGACTATACCGTTGTACTGGTAAGTTTCACGTATTTCTAGCGCGATCCGCTTTGCTAACAACATGTAGGTTGCAGTACGTACGCCCATGGTCGATGTGTGGATACGATTTGCATCGTTTGCCCTACAGCCTTCCGTCCAGATCAAGTGCGTGCGTCCTTTGTACGGTGCTTTGCTAGCCTGTTCTACACGTACCGACGCTATCTCATCCCGGCTACTGGCGATCGCAAGAAGTCTGGTATGATTTACCAATTCAAGATGGATGACTTTGTCAAGAGCTTGCCGCCGGAGAATGTGCAGTACATCACAACCCTCCAACAGACTCAAGCCTTCAACGAGTTCATTCACGAACGCGAGAGCAAACCAGCGCATGATCCTACTATCAAACTCTTCGACGAGGTCATCCTGGCGAAGCGAAACCGCGGGAAGTCATCATTCTTCTATAAGTCGAAGGTGGACTTCCTGTCTGACACCTCTGATCACCTCTGGCGCACTGCATCTGCAACCCCGCCAAACTCGCGTTTCCCAGGTGATTACCGTGCTGTAGTCAGCAGAAGTACGCTTCCCCCGGCTCTCCATCCTAATCATGCTAACGTTGCCACAGTCCCCGCAAAGCTCGACCCCACACTCATGAAAGAGCCTCGCGTCATTCAAGGCGTCCCACGCGTCCCCAATTCGAAGGCACGCCGTAAGCCGATTCCTTCGATGCTCGGACCCAACGGCGATGCCCCACCTCAGATACAAACCTCATGATCTCGACACCTCAACCTTACGCTCTCTATTACGACGTACCCGACCTCCATGCCTCTCCCTCTTTCGTCCCACCCTCTCATCTTTCTGTCTTATTACTGCGCTGCATGTAACATATCTAGCGACGGAGTTTACGGCGCTTTACGGCATGGCTAATGGGTTTTGAGAGAACCCGCTGGCCGGTGCTTGCTTGCGCAGATTGGATATCTGCTGTAAGGATAAAATGTGATTTTCAGAACCATCTTGCATTACATGGGGTGGTTTGCAATTGCCTTTCCGCGAGTCGATTTGGATTCCGACTCCAGTGCTTATGCCCTGACCGTATATTGGCGGGTTCAAAGCAGGCATTTTGTTTTGCGAGTATACCTTTGTAATGCGTTGATTGCGCCTCGCTTCAGATTGTGTTCCCTTATAGCAATACGCGAGGGAATAGCGAGGTTTCTTTTGTATATTATTGCTTCTAAGCAGCAAGAAATGGAGGGCAAGTCCTGTGAGACACCGGACAAACCAGATTGTCATTCGGGCAGGAAAAAGCACAATGCTCAAACCTAAGTAGATATAACAGCATCGACTGTGAAACACGACTCAGATCGGCGCGCGCAACGTTGTTCAATGTATGCAGGTACCCGTCCAATCAATTCCAGTCACGTGCTTGTTTCGAAACTCTGGTGTTCCTGACTAACGTGGTAGCGTGAGTTAAATTAGAAACATACCCCAATGAGGCTTGGGCCAGGCTGACGAAGCCCCTTGGAGACCAGCTTCAGTTGAGACCCTTAGAGGCCTCTTCTTCTCTTCACCAACACTCTCACTGTTGTTCTGCACCCATACATTCTTTTGTTATCTTCTATAGTCACTCTTTAAGACTACACTATCGTTAATACCACACGACAGTCCCGCTCTTCTACACACCACACTCCACGCCACCTAACAAACAACAATAAACCACCACTACAACACCAATAACCCCACCTTTTTAATAAACTGCAAATATGCTCGGCAGTACCGTCTTCGCTGCTGTGTTCTTCGCACTCGCTCAGTTCGCTGTCGCTTCTCCCCCCGGCTGCCTCCTCGGCGCCGTCAACCAGTTCAAGGACCCATCGGACGTCAAGACCGTGTGCAGTGCCAAGGACCTGAGCGAGAAGGTTTCTGGTATTTGTGGTGGCGACGCGCAGGCTGCTATGGAAGCGCTTGCGGATATCTGCAATAACGCTGGTGTCAAGCTCTGTAAGCTGCTCCTTGTTTGTCCTTCGTGGCTATCCGTCTGTCTGTTTGGGTGGGTGGCGAGTGTGGGGACGAATGATCCCCCACCTACTTTACAGTGGAAAGATGTTACAGCAATCGGCAACATGTTATCGATGGGATTTCCTCTTCTTAAGAATATAATTACTAACATGCCTCACAGCATCCACCGACATCAAGTCCGGCTACGTTTCCGCTTCCGCCGTCGCCTCTGCTTACATCTCCGCCGGCACCGCTGGCTCCACCCTCGTCGCCATGTACCCGACTGGCGGCAGCTACAGCTCCGGCGGCAACAGCACCGTCCCCATGGCCACCGGTGGACCCAAGCCTACTGCTGCCGCCACGCCCTCCGGTAATGCCCCTGAGGCTACTGGTGCTGCCGGCAAGGTTGAATTCGGACTCGCCGCTGTTGTTGCTGGTATGATGGTTGCAGTTTTGTGAGAACGTGAGAGCATGATACACAAAATGGGGCTTTGACTGGCATTGGTATTGGGTTCGGTTTGGTTTGAGAGGGGTGTCTAAAATAAAATGGAAAAAGGATGTGTTTGGGAGCAGATATGCTGGTGCTGTGTGTGCGGTATAGATTGATGATGTGTAGGGTGTACTAACGTGTCGGTTATATATTTGGAATGCTTAGAATCTTGCATATATAGACACCTAGACGCTTATTGCTCGAAAACTCACGAAATCCAAAAGTTTATTCGCTCATAGTGGTGTTTTTGGTGTTGTTTGGCCTGACATGACTTTTGCAAGCAAAGATGATCACCCCCGTTTTGCCTCTCCGGGATGTGGGCTGAAGATCCTGTTGCTTTTTGCTTCCAGCCTTATGGTGTGTAGATGCATGGGGCTCGGCTGTTTGCTCTCACATCCCTCCCTCTTTCATTCTTCCCACCTCCTCTTCTGTACTTTTCTTTTTCCCCTATTCCTGGGCTTCTTCACCCCATAAACACGAGAGGGTAGGAAGCTCTACGGTACACTAGACTTCTATTTTTACGCCTTCGTGTGGCGTGACCTGGCCTAGTCTGGCCGGGCTGATTCACCTTGGCTTGCGCCATTGTGGAGTTGCTATGGGATGACGTGGACATACCGTAGGGCCCCCCTGTCTGGATCGCCTTCCCCCCCCTGGCTATTTTTCAGCCCTATCGTCTAATATGGGTCTTGCCTTGCTGGGTTAGTTCGGCTTGGGTATGGGTGCAGGTATGGGTACGGGGGGCATTATGTGCTATTTTGGAATGTTGGTAGGAGTGAAAGGGGTAAGGGCAGGGAGTGCTTGGGCTTGGGTTGCTGGGGTGCTTTGAGTTGAAAGAATAGAATGGGAAGCAAGGATACCTATTTCAGGGTGGAGGGTTTGTAAAAGTCTTGGGAAGGCGGGTTGTTTGCGTCTGGTCTTTCTAGGAAGAAATCTTTGAATTACTTTAGTTCAATGTAGGTGCTTGGTGTTGGGTGAGCGTAGCGCTCATGGGTAGAGGATTTTGTGATGTTTGGATTTGATGTCTAGTTTGTGTTGTAGCTTGTATTGCTGTAGTTTAAATAGTACCTTCCAAGGTTAAGTTGAACATTCACTTAAACCTCGACTTATATTGTGACTTGTGTCTTCTTTGTAGTTCGTGTGCGCTTTACCGCCAGATTATGGGCTTCTCAGTGTAACGCAGGCATCTTTTAGGATGCACAACTATCTTAGCTGGGTAGCTCAACGCTTTGAAAGAATCCGTCGCATGACTGTAAAGTAGGTGAGCAACGAAAAGGCAACCAGTGAACGCATGAGCAAGCATAAATACAGGATTTCTATTGCTGCTGCGTCTTCTACCATAAGCTAGATGCGTGGTGCCTAGATACACTCGTCTCTGCAGGACAGCTTGAATACACCAATCTCGACTCATTCTCTGGCTGGAATAGAAGCTTCAGTGTTCATAAAGGGATCGCGTTTATGCGACCATGATCCTGCTAATGTCCATACCTCGTGTGTTCGCGGGCACTGTTTACCCTGTGAAAATTCAACCTGATCGGAACTCGGAATCGAGATTTTTTGGCTGTTTTGTTCCTCATTGGACACAGTGTCTTGACCGTGAATTCGACGCAGATAGAAGATTCCAAGCCAACTGTAAGCATCGTGATCCACAGATCGTCGTCTACACAAGCCTCAGACCCTGAGCCATTTTTCCAGACTCAGGGTTCACGTCATCACTTTGTCTAACGCTGATAAGTGGGTATCGTTCCGCTCCTAAAAAATTCTGTTGCCGAAATTGCTGGTTCTCCATTACCCCTACACACAGTCGTCATCTATCGCATTGAATATATTCCCCCACAGAACCAAACTTATCTTCCAGGGATAATATTACAGCAAGTACATGCAGGCGTGAACAACAACTCTTGCTGCCTAGTCATACACACACATTTCACTAATAGGCAAGATGGTCGACATACGTTTGTCGCCCAGTGCTCTTCTGGGAGGTTATGTGGTCAGTTGAAAGTTGTAGCGGTAATGCGCTAGATTTAGGTGCTAGTAGAGAAATCTGCGTAGGCTTGAGTACGTATTGTGATGGTTCGGTTGTAATCTGGATGGTTTCGCTGATTGGCCGTAGATCCCACTTTTGTGATGATCTAACTTTCTACTTTTTTTCGTGGTTACGTGAAGTTTGCGGTTTTTGTATGCTCTTCTTCTTTTTTGGGAACAGATCCATGTTCTATGGGCCTGAACTGTGTGAGAACATGAAATGGTTTAGGGAGAGACTGAAACGGATATGATGATGTGTAAAAAGGTGGATCTAAGGACTAGAATGAATGTTTGCATGTCGATACACTTTAGGTATTGTATAGTGAGCCACCACCTTATGGTAATAACTTACTGTCCCGTCTCCCGACTACCTTGTTAACCGTACGATTTGCAACTAGATGATGGCTCTGTTAGTGTATATTAATTCCGTTTTTGGTTGAGTTGTGACTACATCATCACACAAGTAGTAATCTGAGGCCGGGTTTGGACGTTTTCAAATATGAAAAATCGAATAAGCACCGAGCAAGCGACGAAAAAAAGTGGTAAGTTAAGTGCGCAGAGGTAACGAACGAATTTCAGAGTAATGGACTAATTGAAATGGTGATAGCAGCTGATTTAGCTGGACATTTTGCCTTGTAGCATCACTTACTGTTGTGGTCGAACTGGTAGACCACTGAGTAGTCGCGTAGATGATTGATTGGTAATGGTGGTCCTTGCTGTGACGCTCGGAGCCTTACACTTACATCTTCTATGCTCGAGTAGTCTGGCACTAATTCGGTTAGCACCGTTATCCATTACGTATTTAGACAAGAATCATCATACCGAAATATTTTGGAGATACTGTTAAATGCTCTAGCATACCAAACGGAAGCCGACCCGTTGTTACCCCTTGTATCATTATATAATAGCTGGTATGAGATTACAAGAGTTTGTCCACTGCGAATCGTATAGTCGGCAATTTTTGCGGGGTGAAAATTAGTATGTTTACTCGTTACCTAAGTATTTTGTGATACCACGACGCTTGTGAGCAGTCTATATGGCCGCATATTTACGCAATGTGGATTGTTTCAGGCCACACGTGCTGCTCCGGTTGTGATCTGTATCATCTTTCTGTAATAGACATTCCCAGTAAAATGCAGTGCCCGAGCTCTTGCCTACTAGGGGATGTTCTTGCGTAATTTTTGACTGGTTTATCAACTTTTTGGTAAGTACATCTCGAAACTGCCTCATTTGGTACTGTGTGACCTTGAGAGGACTCTTACCTCACGTCATGGCTTCCACTGTTATGACCAACCCACAACAATCCCAGGCTTCCACCAATGTACTCCGAGCCCACATCGGTCCCCTCATTACTTAATACTGCTATTACTATGTATATTACTACGTATATGTCGTAAAATTCCTGCTGTTTCCGTCTTTCGCCATGGAAGATTCCATCTACCAGACTCTCACATGTGGATCTATCGGAGTCAGCGAGACCATATATAAGTCAGAACATCGCATGTCCTCCTACTTCTCTCCTTTATTCTCAGCAACCGTAGTTGAAGACGACTTTACTACATCCATCAATATACTACGGCTTCACAACTATCAATAACACCACCACGATGGCTTCCAAAACAAGCTCACCACAAACACCAGCCTGGAGAGTAAAGAGCAGACCCCTGTTCCTCAGCTCTCCAGATATTCATCGTCGGTGCTCTCTTCGAGGGACAGGGCCACACCGGCATCAATTTCTCACACACGCCCGACTTCTTCGACATCGGCTTCATCATCATCATCAAACTCATCATCATCAAACTCATCACCATCAAACTCATCACCAACGTCGAAATCGTCATCATCCTCTCCATCCTCCTCCATCACCACCCCCACATCCTCCCCTTCCCCATCCTCTCATCCAAGCCCCACAAGAGGTGCGGCTTGGACTACCAACCGCAGGTGGAGGACTGCTTCACCACCAAAGGCCAGCGGAACACCAGACTTCAAAAATCTGGCAGAAGGTCAGGTCCTTTTCCTGACCGATAACGGAGCCCCCCAAAGCTCCATTCTCTGGAACAAGAAGGGCGGAGGCGCACCAAGTGGACATCCCGTCGTCGTGGTCAAGAAATTCATCAACGCAAACAGCGAAGAGTGCGTCCGATTCCGCACTCTAACCAGCTTCGGTGGTCATTCATTGGAGGAGAGAAAACCGCTACATTAGTAGCGGTACTTTATGCTGTGCGAGTGTCGAAATGGCACTGCGCCAGGACCAGGTGTGCAGACAGCCACCTTCGAAGCCGGTTCGGGCGTTCTGGCGAAACGCTCCTACGTCAATCTCTCCGCCAACTCGGTCTACGAGATCGAGTACACACATCTCACGGTCTTTAACGACCAACCATCATTGAGGTTCGACCAAGCCTCAACCTCATCCATCCAGAGTCACGGGTGCTGCTGCTGAGTACCGACTCTCGACAATGCCGAAAGCCACCGATGGCTTATGCCTGAAGGTCCCCGGCTCTCTCTCGATATTGCTGAACGCTACAGACGGCTCATGCCTGAAGGTATTCAGCACCAAATCTCTCTCGACAACGCCGACTGCCACCGATGGCTTCATTCCTGAAGGTCCCCGGCAGATACCTCGACAATGCTGAACGCCACCTATGGCTCATGCCTAAAGGTCACCAGCACTCATATTCTTTTCTTCGCCAACAGGAGTGTTTACTTGCGGTGGGCTATCAATTACAGTGTTACTTTTTTGGGGTGTTCGGGTGGCAAGGCGCATTTTGAAGGAACAACACGGCGTTTTAAGGTTGAATACCTAGCAGATAATCAAGTGCTGATAAGTTGCTATGGGTTGAAAGGCGTGTCGGGTCGTTTATGGCCGTCCTATCTTCAAGGGACGCGCTCTTTAGTTTAGCAATTTGATCATTCTACCTCGCCCAGTTCTCTGTATCATCGTAGCCTATTTGAGTGACTATAACATCGCAGCATGTGTGCAAAATCGAGATCGATGGGCTGGTGAGGAAGGAGGCGCAAATGGTCCCAGAATTATGTCATCCCGCGCTAGGCAGGGGTTGGTCACTCTTTCACGTTGTACAGGTTCGTCGTCGTATAGTCCGATTTAAACCGTGTTACCGATAATTCACGTCTACGTGCATCTATACTGATTCTCGTTGTATCGTTTGTCAACATTTCCGAATGCAATATCTCGCCGACCCCTTAACGCTTTACTTGAGAGCTGTCACGGCCTTTGCGTACGAGTTCGGCAAAGTTGTGGCTCATACTGTTTCTGAGCCGGCTATCTCAATTCTAAGTTTTCTTGTGTTTTTTGTTTTGTTCTCCTGCTCAGGGACCACCTTTGCGTATTCCACCTGGACAGGGAACGTGACTTGTTGGAATCGGCAGGAATGACCTTGCGCTTGCTCATAGTTAATCACAAGCCCATTTCTTTGCATCACATGTCCCGTTACAGAACATCTATATATAAGTGGCTCATTGCACCCCCAAAGCGCAACAGATGGCTAGATATACAGGTAACATCATATGTCCCAAGGTCGACTTGTCGTTCGAGCAGGCGCAAACACTGCCGGGATAGTACAACATGGTGACGAAACATGAGTCGCATTACTCTTCCATTTGATTGAGCTTAATTTCCTCTACTGGAACCTGACTTCCGCAAGATTGCCTTCCAGTTGTGGAGGTCCGTTATCGCGAGATCTTTCACTCGCTATCAAGCGGTTGACTCACTGTATATACGCGTGACCGCATTGGCTTATATTCCCGACCACTACTATTTAGTCTCGCTCTTCCCAAGAACTGTCGCGATTTTACGCTCGCCTTCAACCCCACCCCGCTGTATTGCCTTGGTCCTGTTGCGGCCACCTTGTAGACACCGATAACACACTGCCACTCAACATAGCGCTCGCTTACATCTACCAAATTCCAAGCCTGCGACAGAAGCGATACTAAAATGGGGAAGAAGACAAGGTACACGCCTTTTGACTGGACGGCAGTGTCTCTCGCCACCCCTAAAGGCCACCAGTCCTCCAACGGCCACCGCGCCCACCCTCTCGCCGGCGAGCCACAACACCGAGATATCTCAACACGCGTAACACGAAAAGCCGGTCTCGGAAACAAACAAACGGAACCCAAGGATGGTGCGAGCACCAAAGCACGCCAAGGTCTTTCTGAGAGCTTAGTTGAGCCTGCTTCTGCTGGACTTAGTGAAGGCCGAATCGGTAGCCTAAGCGATGCGGTCACCGACAAATCAAGTATGCTGGCAACTGATACTGGGAAGTTTCCAGATGATAAATGCGTATCGGATCTTATCCAAGTCTCAAAAGAAAGACAAGTTCTCCAGGAAGGAACAAGGCCAGCGCCGGGCTTGTGGAACGAGCAAACAGATGAAGACAACGAGAAGGCACAGCTTAGTACGACTTTATGTTCAACAGAAGTCCCCATCGCAGAAGCACTCCTTCTGGTGAGCGATACGCCGGTCACCTCGAGTACAGGGCTCTCCGAACCGGTCGCACAGCGGAATCCATGCGATCTGCAATCTCCTAGTCTACCGTCACTACTTCCACAAGAATTGACGGGCGCACGACCACCTTTTGTCGATATAAGTTCGATCGTAGGCATATCTATATATCAGCAACATGGAAAACCACGCTCTCGATGGCCTTCAAGGCGTCTCGTTAGCCCACCCACTGTCGGCAAGGTCTACTTCCTCGCGGATCGTGGCAACTTCCCTTACTCCATCATACACACGCAGAAACAGCAAAATGGCTTCTTCAAGCATCCAGTGCTTGTCACTGCTGTTGAGGGCGAAGTTGCCTACTTCTACGCTCTCACGAAGGCAGCCCCACAGGCCATCCGAGACCTGAATATGTGTCTGCTTCTTGGATCTACTACAGTAGACCAAGGCATATATATACTCAGGTTGGATGAAGACTCCTCTGCAATGCAAACAGAGACGTGGGTAAACCTTGAGCAGCGCTACTACATCGAGTGGAGTAATCTCTTCGAGTGGGCACTCGATGTCCGTAGCAACCCTGATGATCTGTGGAAGCTGAAGAAAAGAGTGCATGAGCTGGAGGCCGACCAGAATAGATATATATACAAGCCTCTCCTGCAAAATATGAGCGTCATAAGACCTGGAACAGTGCTCATGCTATGCAATGGCACTCACTCGTCCACGCTGGGGGCTCCTGTATTGATAGTGGAGAATCAATATCCTCGGTGTTACTTTCTACGCATCAAACTTTTCGCCGATAATATCAACTTCAACCCGGAGGCGAAGCGAACCAACGGTCAACCACGTCACATGTGTCTGGAGATTGCGAAACATCCGAAGATTGGCCATGACAATACCCCAGTCATGGTCGTAGAGCCCGACTGCCCGAAGATGCGGGAGCCCTCTTACGTAGAGGTGTTTGCGAAGACTAAGCCGGCCAACTTTGAACTTTGCAAGACTTGGTGTTGGCCTCCCATCGTCATCCGGGAGGATTCGATGCAGGTTTTGCGCCAGTACATGGCCTACTATAGCGGCTCAAATGGTGTAGCTGCGAGAGGATCCCAACAGTCGTCAACCGGTTCTTCGGGCCCATCGACACCCTATGGGTCGATCTCGTTTTATCTGATGTCTTCGAATCCCAGCGGTATTTTCTACACTCCCTCGGGAGCCATGCCTTCTTCTCCGGCTTCATATCACTACGGAAATCAATACGTGCAGGGCATGTATCCACCACAAAGTCCTTATCAGGCACCTTCTTTTGATTACAACATGTGTGGCTATCTGCCTCACGGCTCTACCCAGTTCCCGACTTCCATGCCATTGGCAGGTATGTATAGTAACAGTAAGTAAACTCTGCTCAAGCCACATGGGGATCAACTCTAATTATATGTAGATGCCGATGTTCTGTTTGACGCCTATGGCCGTCCGTATCCGCGCCCTTGAGGTCACACACAAGAACCGTACTGGTTTACTCCAGACTTTTCGTAAGCATACATAGGATGCTGGTTAGAATCATACGGGGGAGAAGGGGAGGGAAATTTATTGATTCGTTGAGTGTGTTCTGCGACGGGCGTAAAGGCCTTTGAGGATTGTACTGGCTTTGATTATGTTTCTCTTAAGATACCCCTGTTGATTCTTTAGTTGTAGTTACCCCCAAAAGTAAGCATAAAAGTGTTTTGCATACGACTACGTTGGCGATAACGAAAAAACCTTGTTTCCATTGCAGTTCAAGTTAACACATCATAAACACGAATGCACAACTAGCAGTATAATGGTATAATCTGTAAGTCACGACATCAGAGAAGCAGCTCATGCAGTGCACAGTATGCAATAATATTCCTACATTTCATACACTACTAACTAACTCTACTTAAAGCGATATAATGATAGGACGCTCTACCTGACTTGACATGCCCATTCTCCTCAACACGTCACATATACTCCTTCATCTACAGTCAACCCGCCGCGTCATCTACTGGCTTGAGGTCGGTCCCTGTAGTGATCACGGCCTCATGAACCAAGTATGCGGCGCCCTGTTGTACACATAGGTAGCTTTATCGCCAGCGTAGGACATCGATAGATATCTTAGAGGTCTACAAAAGCGCGCCTGCCTGACCTACATGCCCTGATGACACCTGTGTGGAAACCTACCTCCTAGCAACAATGGGCAGATAGCCAGCCTGGGGCCGTTAGCATCAATACTCGTAGGGAGCATGAAATCGTTGTCCCCGGTGCTCGCGGCGAACCAGTATATAACCGCTAGCTGAGTATTCTTTGATGAAGTTGAATATCCGATGAAATGCCGTCTACTCTGACTCGCTTTCGCCGTTCGAACTGAGACACAGACTAGAGAATTCTGCGAGGATGTGGGTATAGTGCCGCTGAGGGCCTACAGAGGTCTGAGTTGAAGCCTGGGCGCCCCGAAGACACTAGTAGTATCTTCGCGGAGATTGCACAGAGTCGCGAAAAAGACGAGATCGACCTGGCAGGTCTGACTAATTGTCTGGACGCGTGCTCGTGCGCGTGCTCAAGTCACCGAATGGAAAGAGTCAATCCCGCAATCAAAGTCTTTGCACACGTCCAGATTTGGAGGAATAGCCTACAGTTGCCAGTCTGTTCGGGTTCCGGTGAGAGGTATCTATCACTGTGCTTGAAAATATACTATACACAATTCGCACAGAGGGCGCACAGGAGGTACCGGTAGTTGCATTGCTTTGCAAACAAACGTGGTGGAGCGGGGGTAGCGGGGCTGCTCTCGAGAGCTCCTTCTTCACTTGTCGACACCCCACCTACACCGCTGCCAGCACAACAGACTACAACATGCTGGGGCTTATCGTTGTCTGGCTCGTGATCACTGTGCCTGCCACGGCCTGGGTCCTCTACGAAGTGGGCAAGGTGGTGTGGGTATGGATGAGGCCAACAGAAGGGGTGCAAAAACCCAGCATCGAGTTGGGCCTGATGGCGGAGGGAAGTTAGTCACGGTCCATGAAGACATTTTTGTCGTGGAGGCAGGAAAAGACACCATCATGTACTAGCATCAGACCAACTGGGAAAGAGACGGATGTGAAGGTAAGAAAATTACTAACCCCCTCGACCTATGTTGTTACAGTAAGCGCCATCCAGCGTCATCCAGCGTCATCCAACGCCCTTCCGCGGAGTTCGTTCTGGAACCTCAGACTGGACCTGGACTCCAACCGCCGCAGCACATCAGCCGAGATGCAGTAGCACCGGCGAGCATAATTTTTCGAAGAACCTTCCCTTCTCTTATTACGCACAACCTTCCTCAAGACAAATACTACACTGCGTCGTGGCGACTCAAGGAAGCAAGGACGTCGTGGGGCACTTGGCCGGCAGATGTCCGAGGCGAGCTCGGCGAATGCGCCGACTCAAGGCAAGCGGTAAAAGCCCTATGCTCGCTGTTTACAATGTTATACCCAGCCGTCGTTGTGGTCGAGAGGCGCCATTCTCTGCATGGCTGAAGCAGCTCATATGAGTGCTTCGGATGGTTTAAGCCACGCCGGATCGAACATCTTTTCCAATTTTCGCTGCGGGAGTTGGCGATAACCGCCTCTTGCCTAGTGGGGTATACACTCATCCTGTCTCCGCTTCTCACCTTACCAATAGGCCCGAAGCCTGGTCCTGTCTCCGCACAGGGCTGAAGATCCCACGCAGCTCGTGACCTGTAATCATCGCGGGTCCTATCCATGATGCCTTACCTAACTTTGACCTTATCTCTCATCGACACTCGAGGTCTCACCGACATTTCCTCACTCGGGCAGAAATTGTTACTAGCCCCACCGGAGAATTGATCCGCGTCGTGTGAAGCAACATATTCAATAAGCAGAGGCAATATGGGTGGAGAAGAAGGTGTATACAAAACCGACAGCGAGGAGATGCGCTCAATATCGGCGTATGCCGCATATGGCACTATCTAGCCCCTGTTGAAACAGGCTGCAAATGAGATGCGTGTCAGAAAGTGCGTTTCCAAAGCCACGCTGACGGTGTCGGAATGTCATCGAGGCAGCGGCTAATGCCTAAAGGCTGCGACGTCATGGTTTGCAAAGGCTTGTACAGCGGTGCTGAGAAGGTAGCAAAGGAGCATGTTATTGCGACATGGACGTGTGGACATTTCCCAAGTAGAAAATGGAATGGGCCGGGTCGGTGTTACACAAAGCTGCATCGTTCACGCCAGCGGCCGCTAGACAGAAGGAATCGGCTGCCACGTGTTGAAACCCCTGACATCCACGGCATTATCATGACAAAGGCCAACATGACTCGTCATCCTCGAAGGATGCCGTAAGCGCCGAAGATCTTAGCCTTGGACGGTAGATATGGGAATGTTCGATTGAGAATCTAAAGCACTTTTTCTTGCGGCTAGGGCGCGCCAGGTTGGCAAACCTATGGCGAAAAAACAACCCCAGATCAGCAGCATAGTCTCATGCCTTCCAGGATGACGGCATTTGGATGCGGCCGCTAGGGACCTCTGGCGGCGGAGGATGCTACACCGGCTTCGCTTCCATAGCACCGAAGTTCCGGGTGGCTAAAGAGCAGGCGTCAGTCGAGAACTCGATTCGATGCCTCTAGAGCGTCACCACTACATGCATGACCACCATCCGCTAGACTATGGCGTGGTAGGTGTCGTTTGGTCCGCAAACATGTTTGGGTAAGATGGACTTGCGGACCATTTGCCCTCCGCAAGCGGGCCAATACCTCTAAGAGCTAGGAAGCCGCGGCGAAGCTAGGAGAAAATGCGCCTTCGTCTATTGTCATCATTACATGGGTAGGGACTAGCGCGAGCCCATGTCGCTCTGAAACCCAACTGTGGATTCTTTTTTTTTTCGCACTCGTAGCACGTGCAGCATCATGCGCGAGTTCTCGACGCCTTGCAGAGCGGAATCGTTCCGAAGCGAAGAAGAGTATAGCAGGGCGTGTACGCCGTACAGGTAGGGTATGGTGGCTTCGCTTAGCGTCATGGGGGATACAGTGTGCAGATTATTCAGCCATGGTTACTTACTGTAGCAGTCTGCTTGGGCACTCATCAGCTATCAGCAATGGCCAAAGTATTGTGAAGAGGCCCGGGACTGGTTGGAGATAACCTGGGAGCCCGGGCAATGCCGAAAGTGACAATGACGGTCGGCCGGTGGACAGGCCTTCGGCCTGATTGAGGCTTGACGGGTCCAGCATGGCGGAATTGGCAGTAGTGCGGGCCACAGCCAAGGGGAGTTGGGCGAGCGATGTCTCGCATGCAAGTCCAACGATACGCCCTGCGCCATACTTGAGGTGGGGTTGCACACGTGGATACGCGGCACTCCAGGCTGAGAAACATGATAATCTCATCTCCACAGGCAGGCAGCTCAGCTCAGCTCACAGGCAGATAATCAATCGTCTGTGGATGATGATGCAGATCTGCCGATGGTAGAGTAAGAAATAGCAGAGGCCATATGTCAGCGATTACAGCAAGACTTGGTGCATGGCTTGGAATGCAGTCATGGTGAGCACAGCGGGGAATGGATCAGGCAAGGGTGCAACGTGCATTCCACGTTTTTGTGGCCTCATTTGCAAAGTTCCGGGCCTCTCGTTGTCGTCGACGCGTTCCACATGTTGCGGGCGGGAGTGATGCGATTGGTAGGGGTCTAGTCGACCATTGCACAGTACGACGGGTTCGTGGGTCGATGGGCAATAACGGCGTCTAGCAGAAGAGTTGAACAAACGGCGGTGCAGATGCAGATGCAGATGCGAAACCCGGGTGTCGCTGGCGTGTAAGAGGCTGTTGTGTTTTGCGCAACGACGCCTGACTGCCTTGAGCTGGCCGTGACACATGTCGATGCGCAGCGTCATGTTTGGGCGGCCGACAGCCGTCTGCGTCAGGCCATGAGGGCTCCTATGTTCTCAACAGAGCACATAGGACCGGAGCACAACAGGATGCGCATACCTTTGTCGCACTGGCTTGTGCCGGTCTTGGATGCAGATGCAGCCGTTACACTGCTGTCTACATGGTCTCGCGTGGTGATGGTGGTAGTGATGACGGTCATGGACTTGAGGGCGCCGGATGGGGAGCATGTTGCTTGCATGGCATGCCTTGGGGGTGCATGAGTACCGGTATGACTGACAGTCTGACTCTGCCTGTCTAGTCAATATCAAAGACAGTATACGACGCCTCTCCGGCCGGAAGGATGGAAGCGGGCGACGCTCGTTGGCCTGTGGCGGCTGGGCCTGGGCAGCGTCTCACAGTGAACAGGGGGCGGCAGAGGCCCTTCTTTGGCAACAGGGATGCCTCGTGGAAGCCCCCCCTAGCCAAGCTGCTTTATTCCCATGCGTCGGCGGACGTGCATGCGGCCATGTGTCTCATATGCGACTAAGAGGCCGCTGCGGTTAGGGCCTTTGTCATGACCCTGCTCCCAGGGCTAATTCGGCGCCATGCTAGGCCCTGTTAGCTGTCTTGGGAGGGCGGTGTGAGGACTGTTCAAGTGGCAGAAGACTCAGTGGTCACGGACCCCCAGACTCTCAAAGCCAATCCCAGCTAGGGTACCCACACATAGCCCTTCAGTGAGGTCCGCGATTTGATTCTCCGCGACCATCTTCTGTTCGGCATGCCCTTCCAGACGACTACTCTCCTTCCCTTGACCGAGTCTGTCTCCTTCGTGCCTGACAGTCTAACCAAACCCGCGAGCAAGCCCCTCGATTCCCCCAGCGACCGCCTGACATCCGCGACTGAGCCCGATTCCTTGTCTTCATCCTCTCCCTCACCACCTGCCTCGGCCGCCTCGGACGCTCCTGCCCTGCCTTCTTCGCTGAGCCAGACCAACCCACCACCGTCTTCCTCACGCTCCGCCAACCACGCGAGACGCTATACCCTGACCCGCTTTCCTCTGTTGCGGAAAGGAAGCCGCGAGTTGAGCAGGACACCTTCCACCACCGCGAACCCCGCCCACTCGCCTTTTCACCCTACAGGCGCACCACGACCCTCGCAGTCGATTGCGCGCCCATCAGATCCTTCTGCTGCCCGCCAAACCCCCACCAACCCTCACCAAGAGGCAACCGTCACCGTCCCCGACACAAGACAGCGAGCAGCACAGAGGCCGGGAGAAGGCAAGCCTGACAAGATGCACCAAACAAGTTCGCGGTTACTCCGCATGACCGACGATGAGCGTCCTTTTACTAGAGTAAGCAAACCCGTTTTTTCAACTTTGCAGAATGTGCCCGTGCCGGCCAACCCTGCACCCTCAGAACTTCCATTCCACGCACCTGGAGAGCCCGAGACCTTCAAACCTTATATGACCCTCAGCCCCCCAATCTGCCCGCCTGGATTCAGCTGCGACTTGGAAAGACACCTAATTCCAAAAAAGTCGCTAAAGATTCCCGATAACAAGATTTTCCAGCTTGTCAAATACTAAAAGGCCATCTGCCCCCTGTGGGACTTTTATTCCATACCTCTGCGACCGCATATGAATACTCGTTATCCCAACCAAAGGATGGATATTTTTATAGGCCTTTGATTGATCCCGGCGTCTCCCGGATCACCATTACCTAGAAGCCCACATTTCAGATTTGGGCCTGCTTTTTAAACCCCCGGACATTTGCGATTGAATTTCTTGCTTTTACAGCTATTGCACTGCTGAAGCTCATAAACTCCCCAAAAACTTCGCTAACACCCAAATCAGGATTTCGAGGACCTTTTCTCCACACTTATGGTCTCACTTCCCCTGACTCCTCACCGCGTACGCTTTAGGATGATCGATTTCACTTTCACCTCGGACGAAGCAATAACCAACCTTGGCTCGCTCAAATTCTCCCAATCAAACCGCATGCCAGACCCCAAAGACTCGTCACGTGTGGTGACCACTACCACAACTACCACCTTTTCCATGGCAAAGGAAATGGCTCGCTCCGTTTGTCAGAAGTTTTTGGAAGCCAAGTTTGTAGAGTCGGTAGAAGGCAAGACCGACTTTATGAACAAGAGCTCCGTCTGGCAACTCACGCCCAAGGGTATCCACATCTTGGAGCGCTTCTGTACACGTAATGGTATTGCTTCTGCCCACGTCAGGGCCGTCATCGAGTCTAACAGGAACCCGCGTCAATTGGTAGTGCTTGAGCGCAACACTGAGACCGACAAATTGCACCATGATGAGCAGACCGTAGAGATCATCTTCCGCCGCTTCATCGGCACCACCGCAAATGAGACCCAGTCGGATTCAGATTCTATCCACGAGTTTTCAAAGTGCGACATTGGCGTGAAACTAGTCAAACATCGACCCAACTCTCAACGCCAATACGAGTACACTTTCCATGGGCGCAACGCCGCACAGTGGCTTATGGACTGCTCCACCATGGTTGATCCACGTGAAGCTGCCGAGGTCGGTTCGCTGTTCCTACAGCTTAAGCTTATCGCACCGGTCGATCCCCGTAACTCTGAGCATCAGTTTCAGCCGGTAAAGCAAGTGCACTACTACATTACCACCCACGGGGAGCGTGTAGCAGGATGGCTTCTCGAGGAAGTACCAACATCAGGAGATGTATCAGTCAAGACACGAGACGGCATTGCCCGCGATTCCAACAGCAACCGCACCAACGTCATCATTCGTAATCCGTCATGGCGTCTTCTCTACCGCGAGTTTCTCAAGGAGACCATGTGCGAGGAAAACCTCTCCTTCTATCTAGAGGTCCAGCAATTCAACAAGCAGTACAAGGATGCTATCAACGACAAAGGCGACAACAAAGTCGAGGTGATCCGCGAGACGCTTGCTGCCGCTTATGGTGAGCTTGGACTACTCTGACTTAAAAATACATTTACTAAACGACGCAGGTCTTTACAATGCATTCTTGGCGCCTGGATCACCCAACGAACTGAACATCGACCACGGTCTGCGCACGCAGCTCGCCACCCGTATGACCCGTGCTGTTGGTGACGATACCGCCATGTTGCAGAGTCTCAACGAAGTTGCGTCTCTCTTTGAAAAGGCACAACAGTCCATCTTCAAGCTCATGTCCAGCGTATGTTTGCGTAATTTGCTTTGTCCGGGTGTTTTACTAATCAAACCCAGGATTCTGTACCAAAATTTGTGAAGCACCCCAAGTACGCGCCTCAACTTCGCGGTCTAGATGCCGCCGCCGCGTCAGCGTCATCATACATCTCGCCAACCTCCGCTCGATCATAGAACGAATATTTCGCCAATTTTCACAACAAATCGATCTGATTGGTTTATCTGATCTCTTTTACAAGATGACACGACGATCTGCAATTGCTTAAGCGACATCTGCCCTTTCTGGATCGATTGCATACTTCCCCTGTCAACTCTGTTCTGGATTATCACATGTCTTCTCCTACTCCATGCATCCGGTCATAGACTGCGGCGTTCTTGAGGGTTCTTGGCCAAAAGCTTTAGCATCGGGTGGTCGTTTGCTGACTGCTTTTTTTACCACTTTTCTTTCTTTTTCTTACTACTCGTCCGCTGTCATGCGGTTATATCGATCTGCGTTGCACGTTGCCAGACATGCAATCGGAGTTGAATCTATTTTCGGCATACACACTACTAAGCCTTGGGGATATTGGGGAACCTAGCGAGATGGGAACTCATTGGTCCCCCCGCGCTTACCCGTTGGTTCTTCTGCCCTTGGCTATGGGGTTTTGTTTACTCGCAAGCGAGCTTACACGACGATCAGGGGAGGGGGTAATAGATGGCATGACGACTGAGATGCGCCAGATGGCGGAATCATCACGCTCAGCATCTTGGGTGCGGCCGAGAAGGATCAACCTTACTTTCGGATCTTTAGTTCCTTTTTATTATTCTCTTGGTTCAAGACGCAATCATGCTATGCAGGAGGCCGTCAAGCATCACATGGGCTTGTGGTTTTGCGAACAGAACACCAATGTACCCTAATAGGAGGTTTCCCACGATACCCTCACCTATAGAAGAATTTATGACGACATATACCTACTCAGTTCTTCACGTCTCAAGGAGTGCAGACAATCACATGATGTGGTGTACCCAAGTGTGCTTACAGACTCGCAATACGTACCCATGATTTGTAATACCAACCACCTCAGCTCAGCTCCAGCAAACGCAGATACCGGTACGTACCCTCGTCCTCCGCGCAATAAAGTTTACCGTACGGCAAGAAAAAGCAACTTCCCAATCCGGCTCAACCCCTCTAGCCCTAGCCCTCGGCACCCCCCTTCACCGTATCTTAGCTTACGCCATCATCCATCCCCCCCTCCCCATCCACACCCCCGGACCACAGTTTTACCTGCGCATGTCAGCGCGGCCTCTCCACCATGACCGGAAAAGCCGCTGAGTCATCCTAAAGTTTGGTTCGCGCCCGGGTTTGTACATTGCTCCGAGTAGGTTTTACTGTGGGGTATAGTCTGGGTTTTAGTGCGTGCATGTGCGTGCGGGCATGGCCCCCAAAGTTTGGTTGCTTAGAGCGGCATACATAGTCACGCAGCGGTAGCATGACATGATGCGAGGCTGCGATGAGGAAAGGATGGGCATGGCATGTTAGATGGATGGGGACAGTGGAGTGGAGGTGTGTAGAGATGTGGGTTGGTTTGGGTTTGCACCGTGCGCTGTGCTTGGTTGCGGGCAGCCTCGGCCATGGATGGGAGGTGTGTACGTAGGTACAGTCATATTGGGGAAAGGGTCAATTCCGGTGTACAGTGTCTTGTGTGTGTGTGCGTGTGTTGTGGTGGAGATTTGCGCAATGCATGGTGCTGTTAGAGAGCGAATAGGGGGTTTTGCTCCTATTGCTGGCATCCTGAGGCGTTATCACATGTGCAAGGTAACCGACACCAGAGCAGCGTCCCTCTCACCGGGTACAGGAACCTGTTTCTTCTATTATTACTGCATTTGAGAATCAAAGGGCCGATTCACTTGGTCAGCGTATTCTCAAGATCCACTATGTCGGTTGCCGTTGTTCGGTATTCCCATCATCTCCGCACGAAACACCCGTTCCTTTGCGGCTCGTATTCTTCGATGGGTAGTACACTTCATCTGCGCTACTCAAACAACTGGACTCGGATTTTTTCCTCCTCGGTCCGGCATCCTTTGTCCTCAGCGAACCCCGCTCGTAGCCGTCAAACCATATGCATGTTCTAACTTGCCGCAAGCGGATGTTGACTCACCGATCAACATTCATTCGGATACTTTAACGTTAGCCCAAACGGCATTGATCTTCCATGCAGATTGGCATCGTGCGCTCGCCGCTCGCGTGGGCCTACTCGGCTATACCGGGGGAGACAAAGGCAGGGTACCTTGGCGGCACACTCCTAGTTTTGAGTTTGACATGCACATGGGGATGTTTGGTGGCAGAAAAGAAAAAAAAGAATGCACACGCGAGCACGACGATCCGAGACTGCGGTAAGGTTTGGAGCGTTAGCCTAGATACATATCCTTCGTTGTAAGTTTCAAGGCACAGCCGTGCCAACTTGGATATAGAAGCAGGTCGGTGGGTGAGTCGTGACTGTGTTGTGAGAGGATAGGGGAATTGTTCCTTTCCGTTGAGTTCTGGTGCTAACAAAGACGGTTCCAACGAGATAGGGGGACCCAGAGGATTGCCATGCAGTAGGTTGTGGGATCTACATCAGTTTTTGCGAGGGACCGGACTTCGGTTGTACGCGAGGGTTTTAAGCCTTGCAGCGGAACGACCTACCGTACCGACCGTAGGATGATGATCTACTCGCGCTCCGGACGGCAGGACGGCCATGGATATCCCAACGTCGCTTGCGTGGTGCCAAATACTTTGCTCCGAAGCTACGGGGTGAGATGGGTATAACGTGCACGCATATTGATCGACAGGTACTCTTTCCTTGTTGGGAAGGGGCTAAGGAAAGACCGAGGCTTCATCAGACCGTCCAAGGTTGCAACGGAGAAGGATTGTGGCGCGCGCTGCTGTACACGCTGGCAGCTTGGCGCAAGGGCATCCTAAAGGCGGTAGGTGTAGCGAAACGAAGGACGGACTCCTATTGCGCGGGTCACGTTGCACCGAGACGCGTTGGAGAGGTCAACATTCTGTGTTGAGACGAGACGTGCTGAGTTTGGCCACGTGAGGAGCACGTGATAGGGCGTTCGCGTGTTGAGTCTGTGCGTAGTGTTTTCATCGAGTGACGCGATCCCGCGGATTCTTGCGCGCCGGATCTAGGCAGCAGCAAAGCGCTCGGAAATCTCTTCGACTTTTCTATCTGGTATCGGTAGCATCTTTACTGGCGCTTCCATCTCAAACACCCCGCACTTGCACGCGAAATTTTCGACGCAATCATCACAATGGTGCCTGCGCCGCCAAACAGCCAAGTCGCCCCTCTACCCACAGACCTACCGTTCCGACTCGTCAGTAAGACCATCGGACAAGGCGCATATGCATCGTAAGCTACCATGACGCATCGCGACTCTCTCAGACCCATTCGCTGACATTGTGATGCTCGCAGTATTCGCAAAGCCATTCCTATAAACGCTCCCAAACCCGTCATCGCCATCAAGTTCATAAACAAAGAACATGCCTTCCGTACCGGTCGCCTCACCCCGAAGCAGATCAAGATGGAAATAGTCTTGCACACCCATCTCGGCAAACATCACAACATCATCCACTGTCTGGGCTCAGGTGAAGACCCGCTCTGGACGTGGATAGCCATGGAATTGGCCGAGGGTGGCGACCTTTTTGACAAGATTGAGGCCGACGAAGGTGTAGGAGAGGATATTGCACACCTTTACTTCTCGCAGCTCGTGAGCGCTGTGGCGTATATGCACAGCATGGGTGTGGCCCATCGAGACATCAAGCCCGAGAATGTGTTGTTGAGTGCAGAGGGAGACCTGAAGTTGAGTGACTTTGGATTGGCAGCATTGTTCAAGAAGGACGGGCAGTTGCGACTTTGCAACACCGTATGCGGTTCTCCGCCTTACATTGCGCCAGAGATTGTCAGCGGGAGGCGAAGCAAGAGGGCAGATGTGCTAGACGTCGGATACGCAGCGAACATCTGCGATATCTGGAGTTGCGGCGTCGTTCTCTTTGTACTCCTCGTCGGCAACACGCCATGGGACGAACCCACGACTCGGTCAGAAGAGTTCAAGGAATTCGCTGAGTCGGGAGGCCACACTACTGATGAGCTCTGGGCCAAACTTCCCCCCTCCATCGTAAGCTTGCTACGCGGCATGCTGAAGATCGACCCACAAGAGCGCTTCACACTGGACGAAGTACGCACCCATCCATGGTTTACACGCAAGAATCCATACTTGACACCAAGCGGACGCAACGCAAACCCAGTCGGACTTGCAACTCAAATGCTATCTCAACTTCGCATCGACTTCACACGGCCACCCACCCAATCCCAACGCGGCTTCTCACAAGATAGCAACGGTAGCGATGCCATGGACATTGACGGCGACACATCACCCCGCCGCAGCAGCGCCATCCACATCCTCGCCTCCACCCAACCCGAGACCCCAACCGCAGACACGCCTTTTGACTGGGAACGTCCACCCCGTCTCCCCAGCCATGATGGCGTATCTGCTTCCCAGCCTGAAAACCATCTCACCCGTCGCGTTCAAATCGGTACCACACCATTCATGTCGCAGCTCCCGTCTTCAACCCAGGATATGCTCTCCCAAGACCCCAGCATGACGCAATTTAGCTCCACACCTGGCGTTCCTCTCACCTTCACGCAAGCCGCTCGTAAATTCGCGGATATACTTCCTTCGTACTCGATGGCGCGCTTCATTTCGCCTCATCCCCTGACGAACTTGCTTCCTCTCCTCCTCGCTGCACTGCACCGTCTCGGTGTTCCGGCTCCATCGCTGCCGGCTCAGCACGTTGAGGAAGCAGAGCGCACGGGAAGTATGAGCATTAGAGTTAAGATGGCAGATGGGCGTCGACAGGGTCTCAATGGCCATATCGTGGTAGAGAAGGCCGTGTACGAGGGTGCCGAGTACTGGGAGGTAAGGTTTGTGAAGGCTAGTGGAGATCCGTTGGAGTGGAGGCGGTTCTTCAAGAATGTTGTGCTTTGTGTGGGAGACTTGGTATTGAGGCCCAATTAGTTGGTGGGAAGGGAGGCGAGAATTTAGCTGTGTGATATGAGGGTTTTTGGGCGTTGACAAGTTGCGAATGATACCTTTGTTTGGATGAATTTGGGAATGGAATGGACAATGGATCGAACGGTGGTTATAATAGGCACGATGATAATGATGGAAATATGTATAGTAGTCTAGTAGTCTAGTAGTCTAGTAGTCTAGTAGTCTCTAATAGGAGTTGCCATTATTTCGTATCCGCTTTGGTGCGTGTTGTGGTATCATAAGTCATGAGTCATAAACCGGCATCGCATGTCCCCAGGACAAATGGGTAAACATGCCTGCCAAACAATAACTCCACGCTATGCTTTTTCGTAAACCCCCCAAAACTCCACGCTAATGCAAAGAAAAATGCAATCCAGTGCACCTACAATGCCATGAAAACGCTAAATGCAACAGCAACAACAGCAACCACCACACCACCTCTCTTCACACCACCACTCGCAGCCGCACTCTGTGCGCCTGCGCCCTTTGGCTGATCCACCGTCTTGAGTTCCCCAGCGCCATACGGCTGGAACCCACCCGAAATGGAACTCTCATGTTTAGTAGACCCCTCAACGCAGTTGCCCTCATCGAGAAAAGCATCCCAAGCCTGCTTCCACGCAGCATCAGGATCAGCGTACGAAGCCGGTGTATAAAAAACCCTGCAATCACTCGCCTCGTAGATGTACTGCAGCGGCGTACCCGTCTTATCGCCCTTGCGCACTTGGTCCTGCGCTTGCATCCGCGAACTCGCACCATCAGCTCTCATCATAATCTGAGGGATATTCGCAATACCCTCGAGCACAGTGTCGTTTGCCGAAGCAGTGTTGAGGCTAATTTTCTCCGACACGTTCAGTGCGACGTCGGCGAACAGTTGGTAGTAGTATAATGGGAGGACCTCTCCGCCTTTTGTGCCGGTGACGGCTTGGATGGGCTTGTTTTCTGGGCGGCCGCCGACGGTGACGGATTTGACGCCCGCGATGTTTTTGAGCTCTTCGTGGAAGGAGGCGCATGAGGAGCCGCAGAGGGCGTCGGTGTACATTACGATATTTGCGGGCTGGAAGGGCGTCGCGCGTGTGCCGTTTACGAAGTGGAAGCCGGATGGTGTTATGGACATGTCGTCAGTGTACTAGATGGGGTGGTTAGTGGTGGGATTTGTAGGAGGGCATAGGGGAGGCAACGTACGTTGTATCGCATTGTGGCGGTGTACTTGTCGCCGTTTAGCTCCACGGGACCGTTGAACTCGTCCCAGCTGGTGAATTCGACGCCTTCGGAGTTGCGGAAGTGGTTGTAGAGCCAGAACCTGTAGAGGTAGTCTTCGTTGATCATCTCTTCGGTGACTTGCTTATATACGTTTGATTTCGCTGGGTCCGCCATGATCTCGTTGATAACGTCACCGATTTTGAGAAAGGGCTCACTGGCTCTGTAGCGTTGTCCGGAAAAAGGCTCCATATCAGGAAACAGTTGCATGAAGGCGTCGAGTAGCAGGTTGGTGTTGCCACCGCCGTTTTCGCGCAAGTCGATGATGAGTTTTTGCTTCTTGGCGGCCATGCACTGGCGGAGGAAGGAGGCTACAGTTGACTGAAATTCGTTGTTGAAGTCTCTCTCGCTCATAAAGGTGGTCGGGTTGTTGAAGGACATGATCTTGAGAACTGCCACATTCTCGTAGCCGGTGCCACTCAGGAAATACCCAGCCACGACGCCGCTGGATGCCTGGGCAACTGCTGATGGGTAAGTAGCGGTAGGCATCTGGCGCTTGTTTCGAATGTGGTATTCGCTGATCGGTATAGTCGGTGTTTGCCCAAGAGCCGTGCGGGAGAGGAAGGGGTGGGCGCCAGCGCCAGTCTGGGCCCTCTTCTGCATGGAACTCTCTGTTTCGTTTTGAGCCTTGCAAAAGGTGTCGAAGAAAGACTTGCCGTCGGAGACACCAGAGAAGTTGAGTTCGGAGCTGACAGTATTGGGAATGGATGCCGTCGAGCCGTTCGCCCAGGTAATCTCTGTCATGTTTCCGCCGTATGTCGACATGCTCATAAAAGAGCCTGCGTTATCCGTGTCTCCCTTGGCAAGCATGTCGTTGACCAACCCATCAGAGTCAATGTATTGTGACCGGGAGGCAGACTTGAGGAAGTCGTAAGGTTTCTCACCGTTGATCTCGGTGATGTCGGAGACGTCCTCTCTGCCCTCAGCCAACAATGCGACGTCATCGGCAACGTACAACTTCGGAAGAGCCTTGCCATCCTCTGAAATAGAAGCAACGTTGATCGGTCTACCCCAGTCAAACACCTCCAGTATATCCGGTCGCCAGTTGAAATGGAAATTGCCGGTCTTGATCGTGATGTCCTGGATAGCGAGTTGTACGGCGTATTCGCTTGAAAAAGAGTTCAAGTTGGTCTTGACATCGTCCAACTCCTTCTGAATATCCAAAGCTCCGTATTCCCACTCTTCTCCCGGATTCTTCAGCCATAAGATTTCGGAATGGAATTCCCACAACTTCTTGAGTTCGTCGATGAGTTGTGTGTTTCCCTGAACGTCAACGGGGACCGACTCGAGACATTGGTAGGCAAGTTCAGCTGGGATGGATTCGAGTCTTGCGAATTGCGATGCGACGATAGCACAGGGCTCCGAAGATGAGGACTGAGCGGCTACTAGCGCCGCTAAGGTCAGAGATATAGTGTTTCTTAGGAACATGGTGGTGTTTGTAAGGATCGATCAGGTATGAATCATGGTATGGCAATAAGGCGCAACTCGCGATCGGTACATATAACGAGGCACAAAGCTGACAGCGAGGAATGGTAGTGTGACAGAAGATGAGGAGGCTATGAGACAGGTTCAAAAGTTGGGCATGTCTCATGGCCAAGGCAGCCGCAGCCGCAGCCAGGCGCCGCCTACTCCATGTACAAAAAGCAGATGAACGCGACAGCCACATCTGACACGCTTAGCCCTCTTCAGTTTAGAGCTACCGAAGATCTGAGCCGCATTCACCAGGCAGTCTTGCGACGATACTGTATATTGACAGGATTCGTCAGGCAAGCATCAGGAAGCCGGCTAAGCGGGTGCTAAGGCAGAAGGCCTTGTACGCCTATTACCCACCATCCAACATTGCTTCGCCACCATGGATACACGGCCTGCTCATTCTGATAGATTTCATCTGGGATCGTGATATCGTGGGGTGGTTCACTGCTTGGCTCAAACGCGTAACTGTATTGGGGAGTGCCAAGCGGATGTGCCATTGCACAAGCTGAAGCACGTCCAGCCGCGATGAGACGAAAGCACCTAAGTAGTTTCCTGCAGTTCAACGCTCGATCGGCGCCCCACCGTGCGCCAAGGATGGCACGGTGGTATGCATACGCACGCCGTGACGGCAAGGCGTGCTGCCGGTTGCCTGACTGCCTGCATCATCAGGCAAACCTTGTGAGGCTATGTTCTTTCCGGCTTGGCTAGTCTGCGCCTGGACGAACAGGAATGTAATGGCAATAGATTTCTGCTAATAGCTCAGACCTGTACAATTGCGCAGAAAAGGATCTGTTGTTGACATGTCCGCATCTGGAGGAGTCGTCATCCACTCTATGCTTTGGAGAGATTCCGGCAAATCGAGAACCCATGGCGCTACCAAGCTTGACACATGTCACGACAAAGGACTGACGCGAACTGCCATGACGGATCTAGGCACTTCCCTGCTGCGCCGCACAAGATGTAGGTAGCTCCACCACCCAGTCACCGAATGCGCGTCTGCACAGGAGATTCCAACGCGTCACGCATTACATATATCAGTCTCATGTTATTGTACAAGGAAACGTCTCCATGACTAGACATCAAGCTTCAGCGCCAAGGCTAGATAGGGCTGAAAACCGAAGCGGGCCTAGCATTGCGCCAGGCCGATCACAGATCGCCAGATCCAGATGCTGTCTCGTATTTACATCGGACCCCCGATATATCACTTGAGCCCACATGTCGCACTAGTCGGTAACAGTGGTTTGACGTGCGTCGTGCCAATGCCAGTCCCACGTTTCTTGACCCCAGCTAAACTCCGTTCAGGCATCACTGAAGCAGCTGATCAAACGACCGTAAGCCTGACTGCACTGACTTCTCCACGTGTCCCATGATCCAGCCATGCGCCAACACATCATCAAGGCTCATACGCTTTTCCGCTTCGAGATTCAGCAACTGCCATTAAGTCAGCATGTCTACGTCCATGTTCGTGCCACTGCATAAGAAGCACTTACCTCACGGATCAGTTCTTCCGCGCCCTGACTAATATGTCCCGGGAACTTGATCCCCTTGCCCTTGAAGTTTGCAATCTTCCGCTGTGTGCTCTTCGTATTCTTCATCTCAAAAGGCGGCCTACCAACCAGCAACTCGTACATCAAAACACCCAAGCCCCACTGATCAATCGCCTTGGTGTACCATCCTGAGCTCATCCCAGGCTTCAACATCATGACTGCGACCTCGGGACTCAAGTAGTCAAGGGTCCCACGCACAGTGGACCGGTACCCAGACTCAGAGTGTACAGAGTATCCAAAGTCGGCCAGCTTGATCTCCGAGTGGAATCCAAGCAGTATATTCTCAGGCTTGATATCCCGGTGCATGATGTTCTTGTTATTCATGTAGCGCAGAGCTGATGCAATCTGTGCCATGTAGATGGCCGTCTGGTGTTCGGTAAAGCGAGATTTTGGCTGCTTCTTTAGCCTTGAGTAGAGGCTGCCACCTGCTGCGAACTCCAGGACAAGGTAGATGCTCTTCTCGTCGTGAAACCAGGCAAGAAGCTTCAGAATATTCTTGTGTGCAAGGTTCTGATGGATCTCCAATTCGCGCCGTATCAATTTCTCTTCTTCCTGTGTTGATGCCTGTACTTTTGAGATGATCTTGAGTGCGCAAATGTAGTTTGTAGCCAGGTGACGGGCGAGATAGACACGTCCAAACTTCCGCGTCCGAGAGTTGCACCGACTTCGAGGTCACGCGCCGCAAGCGAGGAGTGAGGCGAAGAACTGGCTGTGTATGAAGACGCTCCAGTGTCGCTTTGGGATTCATCACTGGAGGAAGAGGTGGCCATAAGGCTAACAGTTTCCTCGATGACGGAGAACCGCCCTGTCGTCTGCTTCCAACGCTCTTGCTTCTTGACTGCTTTGCCTTTTGCTCGTGCTTTTGTGACTTTAGACCGACTGTACGACCGGAGCTTTGCTTTGGTGCTTTGCAGCTATTCTCCGTGTCAGCTAAAGCATGTGTGAAGAGAAGCAATGACATACTGTCGACTTCAGGTTCGCAAGTGTGGCCTTGCGCTTTTTGGGTTCGGAGGTGCGCGTGAGGTGTGCGTCTGCTGCGGCTGTGGGATTTTGAGGCGCCATTTGCCGCCGCGGGTGAGAGTTTCGGTCGCAGTGACGTGGTCGAGCCTAAGAGGTGGTTGTTACGGTTGTTATGGTGTGTGAGCGAGAGAGCCGAAGAAAGCATGTACATATGACCCTGAGCAGCCTGCACGTCATTGCTCGACCATCAGTATTGATCTGACCCCTCATCGCCCAGGTGAATGCGGCCCACGAGCCCTTCATTAACCACAACAAACGCAGAGCACTCACAACACAAGCTTATCCCAACCGCCAAATCCCAGCTATTCTTGGTATAAAGACTGAGTATCCTCTACGTTTCTCATTAAATGATTAGGCTACGAGCCTTAAGCGCCTAGCCTAGTGGTCGTATTGTAGCATCGCTATAGCACCGCTAGGAGTCGCTCATTCGATTCCCTTCCAGTACTAACTATTAGGTTCAGACAGAAGGGAGACTACACAGTCACCCACCACGCCGGGTCGAGATGCAACGGCGTCACCGAATGTCTGTTTGCCTCGATCGATCGAGGGAGTCATGGAGGTCGTCACCATGGGTTGCGTGGAGGGGCGCCCATCAGAGTTCTGTCTTTTTTTGTCCTCGGATACAAGCGCTGTGCTAGGTGAGCAACACCTAATAGGCGTAGCAGTGATAGGGTGAGTAGTCTAGGAATACTTTCTTTTTGCCAACAGCATATGTCTAGTATAATAGACGTAAGTAGAGGTTATTGCGATGCAAGGCCTAGTCGCTCCTCAACCACAGCAACAATCTCCGCCCAGTCTTTCATCGCGCCACCTCCAATATCTCCACATGCCAGCTCTTTCTCCATTGGCTGCAGCACCTCAAACCAGCCTCCGTTCTTGACACCCCATTCCTCTTCCAGGGTTTGCACCTGTTTTCTTGTGATTGGCTGAAACCACATGGCTGTGTTCATGCTTGGTGCGACCAAGATCCTCTTCTTCTGCACACTGCTTACTTCTTGTGGCCATTGCACACCGGGTATACTCCTCAATGGGTCGATCAGGCCCGTGGTATCCCATGCGCGCACAACGGAGAGAAGGAGATTGTCTGACCAGCCTTGCGTGATCTTCGCTAGTTCATTCGCACTGAGCGGGGCGATAATCATCATGTCTGCCCACCGCCGTAGCTCGATGTGCAAAATCTTATTACCGCGAACCCAGGGCTCCCTCCACTCGTCCTCGTCAAAGTATACCGCGTCTACGTTTGGCAGCGCCTCAATGTCCTCTATCGACGGTTGTTCACTGCTCTGGCCCTGCAGGAAGTTTGCCGCCGCAGCCGTGAAGACCAGGCGTATGCGCACATTCTCGTGTTTGGCGAGCGCATTAATCATGTTCGGTATCTTGATCGTCGCGACAGAACCTGAGGCGCAGAGCAACACGTGGATTTTGTCATCGTGATGATCGAATGCAAAAGGGTCGGTTTTTGGCGGGTCTCGGATTGGGGGCTGGACGGGCCTGATGTTGAGGGGCTTGAGGTCTCGAACCTGGATAGCCATGGCAACGAGGCTATGTGTCAATTTCTAGCAGGTGGTTAGTATACGATCAAATACGTTCAATGCGAACGTCGCATCTCTTCGGTGTGGCGGCTGCATTACAAATACCGTGTCTTGTCATTTCACAGGATGAGTAATGTGGTGAAGTTTGACGGACGCTAACGCGCATAGACTTGCCGAGGCTTGTGCAGCCCCAACATCAAGTCTCCCCGTCGCCATCTTTACGCAGAAGTAGTTCAATTTTGTTAATGCACTATTTAGGCAAGTTCTCTGTCCAAAAGAAAATCTATCTCGACTACTTGGGACTATACCAAAACCATAACCTCTACTAAAGGGAACAGCTCTTAATAGTCTTATAAGCCTGCGCATCAACGTTGATATCTAAACCGCCTGCATCATTAGCTTTCCTTCTTAATCATGCGACGTCGAGGGTCTTTTAATAAGATAATTAGTCTTCACAGAAGTGAGTGGCCAGTAAAACATCACAACTCCCCTTTCGAATTCTTACCCGCGTCAGGCTGGCAGACACTATCCAACACTAGCTAGTTGATATCTTCCACACAATGGAAATTATACCTAAAAGCCGATTTCGATCAGCTATCTCCAAAAATAAGGCAAAAGAAGTACAAATGAAGCTTTCGACATTACGTTTTTTTCGCAACCTCTCCCTTCCATTGGAACAGATGGGCTTGGGTCCTGCTCTGTTATCCTTATCGTTTCTTAGTATGCGGCATTCCTTAGACACGTATTACCTCTTCTACACTATCGTAATCTTGACGATCCTTTCGCTAACGACAATTATATACGATCTTTTATAGATCGCCTTACGCAGTATTACCTTTAATACTAGCAATACTTCCTATAAAGTCTTTATTCTTAGGTTGTCTGCGCCGTATACAACAACACTTTGCTTTGCCTAACTAGCAGATAACTATTAAGACGAAGCTACGCGACGTAGGCTTAAACGTGGATATTTTAAGAAAACATCAGGTCCCGCCCGTGGAGGGTAAACCCGAAAGTAGTTCTGTTTTTGTAGATGCTAACGGCAGTACCATCCAAGTGTATGTGGAAGACACGAAGGAGGGATTTGAAATGTAATCAACGTCACTCAATTTCTAAAAGATCATACTTAAAGGACGAACCCATCAACACCGATTAATCAATTATACCTAGAGGCACACATCTCATGTCACCCCAATCTCTCAGCGAGGTGTGCACCTGGGCAGTGCCTCAGACCACGGTTCCGGCTGATTAGTGTCATGTAGGTACTAGCGCTACGTAAACCCCGCTTTTCTCCAGCTCATAAGCGGAACTGCTCTAACCTTTGTTTCGCAACATGGATTCAACTTCCTTCTGACTGATATGCACTCCCAACAAATCTTACCGCCGCCTCCGCCTCCAGGCCGTTCCGCTATACTAGGCCTGAATAAGTCGATTTATGTTATCGTGCCGCCCTCAATAGAGATATGAACGGAGTTAAAGAACAGGCCCGACAGCTATTCCACAGCCCTAAAGCCGCATTTGTGGGACTCTAAAGTACTTGTTAGAGATGGGCGCCGATCCTCTGAAGTTAGACAGCAAAGGGCGAACGCTACATTATTAGGCAGAGCAGAATGGCAATGCGGCGGAAGTGGTACAAATCCTCAAAGAAGCAGAACGGTCGTCGCGCCTGAGTGAACGCCCGCGAATATGAACTTAGACTCCAAGACGGCTCGGGTTTATGTACGGGGTTTCAATGTACTTCATAAGTGAGTTCTTGAACTTCACAACTAAATAATATAATAATAATACATCGCTAAATAGTAGACATCAGAGTGTTGAAGTTGTTGTTTGATTAGTGTCATCCAGGACGCTTAGGTCCCTGCCGGGCCCCACCGGCTATGAAATCATGGCTGTCATGGGTGGCGGGGTTAGGACTTAGGATGGACCGGCAGTCTCACCATCATCATCTCCATTTCCATTTCCAGTTCCAGTTCACTCTCAGTCAAACTCTTCGTTTCGTCCGTGGACATACCTAAGGCCGAATTGATTCTAGATCTTACTGTCGCCAAGCAAAGTATACCATACGTTTGAATTGTGCCGTGAGGGTATAAATCGAGGGTACGTAGCAGCCAAACAGCCTCGACTCCCTAGCAAAGTTGAATCACTTCGAACAATATCTTAGAAACAAAGCATCCAAATCGTCATGTCTCTCCCTACCGCACCTCTGGGCCGCAACGGACCCAAGGTCAACCGCCTCGGTTTTGGCGCAATGGGCCTATCCGCCTTCTACGGTAAACCGAAGCCAGACGATGAGCGTTTGGCTGTTTTCGACCGCGCATACGAATTGGGTGAGCGCTTCTGGGACACCTCAGATGTGTGAGTACTCAGATTCTCTTCGACCTAGATGAACCTCCTCTTACACATCACGTGAAACCTGGGCTCAGGACAACAATGCTAACAATCACTTTTAGTTACGGCGACAATGAGTTACTCATTGGAAAATGGTTTGCAGCCAACCCTGAAAAGCGCGTCGACATATTCCTTGCCACCAAATTCGCTGCGAAGGACGGTGGCGCATCTGTCGACTCGTCGCCCGAGTACGCGAAGCAGGCTATTGACACATCGCTCAAACGTCTTGGTGTCGAGCATGTCGACCTCTACTATGTTCACCGTGTGGATCAAAAAACGCCCATCGAGCTCACCGTTCAAGCGCTGGCAGATTTGGTCAATCTTGGAAAGATCAAGTACATCGGGTTATCCGAGATCAGCAGCGACACACTGAGAAGGGCACACAGGGTACATCCGATTACCGCAGTGCAGATAGAGTACTCCCCCTTCGTACTGGACATTGAGAGCAAGCAGATTGATCTCCTCAATACGTGTCGCGAGTTGGGTGTAGCTGTTGTCGCCTACTCGCCATTGTCGCGCGGCATGTTGACAGGCACCCTCAAATCTCCAGATGACCTTGAGGAGGGTGATTTCCGTCGCTTCGCGCCGCGCTTCAGCAAGGAGAATTTCCCCAAGAACCTCAAGCTTGTGGATCACATTACCGAGATGGCCAAGGCCAAGGGCGTTACTCCTGGGCAGCTGACGTTGGCTTGGCTCCTGGCGCAGGGCGAGGATATCTTCCCGATCCCGGGTACTACTAAGAAAGACCGTTTGGAAGAGAATGTGGGAAGCTTGAAGGTCAGTCTGACAAAGGAAGAGGAGGCGGAGATTCGTAAGGCGTGCGAAGAGGCGGAGATTGCTGGTGCGAGGTACCCGGAAGACTACATGAAGAGCTGTTATGCTGATACGCCAGCGCTTGAGCACGGCAGTGGGGAGACTGCGGCAGGAAGCAACAGGAAGCCGACGAATACGGCTGATATCATGGGTGGTGTATAGAAAAGATGAACTATGCCAGTAACATCACTACACATGCCCAAGCAGATGTGTCAGCATAGTAGTGGATGACACTCAAATACGCTTAATATCCACATAGCCAAATAAACATTCAATGATAGCTTACTTCCTTGCTGTGAGTTTGACAATGACATCGCTCTGCTTGTTGAACCCAGCATTCCTCGTCTTCCACGGCCGATCATGCGCCATATGCATATCGAAATGTCTAAGAATCTCAGGTGCGATCTTATGTATCTCAGTCAAAGCAACCTACATCGCACGTATTAGCAAACAATTCCTTTGATCAATCAAAAGTACAGAGATTTGGCACTCACATTCTTCCCCAAACACGTCCGCGTCCCCGCCCCAAAGAACAACATACTCTTCTCCATAGCAACACTCTTCTCATGGCTCTCAAGCCAACGCTCAGGATTGAAAGAACCAGCATCTTCACCAAAGACACTGGTTTCATGTTGCACAAATGCCGCATTCATACCGACATGGTACCCAGACGGGATATACACACCCGACAAGGTAAGGCCCTCAGCCGGCGAAACGCGAGCCTGACTGTTGGCGAAACTAGGGAAAATGCGTGCCGCCTCTTTGATACAAGCACCAACATACGGCAGATGCTTTGCAGATTCGTGGTACGTGATGGGCGTGCTGAGGAGACCTTGATTATTTGCATTTTGAATTTCCTCGATGGCGCGAGACATGCAGTGTGGGTTCTTCATCAGGTAGTAGAAGAAAGCACGGAGGTTGACAGCCACGGAGTCTGCGCCTGCCATGATGCCCGCCCAGGCTTCGAGCACGACTTCGTTGTGTGTGAACCAGGCTTTATTTTCAGGCACATTCTTGTCCCCGGGGGTGGTAGTGCGAGAGAGGAGGTTGGAGAGTATGTCTGTACGTTCGGCGGCTTCGTCGGCGGTGTCTTGCATGCGGCGCTGTGTTGTGTCTCTGGCTATTATGGCAGTGGCACCAACGGCTTTGAAGCTTTTGAGTGTGCCGGGTATGCACATTGCACAAAGCATGATGGCAGTGCGGAGGTAGCTGGGTGCTGCAGCGCAGAGACATGAGAGGGGTTGTGCGGCGTCTACGGATTCGACAAAGGAACCTACATCCGTGCCGCTTTCGAGGAACCCAAACGAACTGCCGAATAACACGTAGCCGATGACGTCGTGGGCGTAGAGGTCTAGCCAGTATCCTAGGTCGACATCTTGACCCGTTCCAGCTACTTCTCCCAGTCTCTTCAGTAACAGGCTTGTACACTCGTTAATGACACTCTCGTTTTTGAGCACGTTACTCATTGAGTATGCGGACTGAACCACCTTCCGAAAGCGTGAGTGCTTCACCTCGTCGGTTTCGGTGAAGATGTCGGCATGGGGGCTTATGCCTTGGGGACGGAAGGCAGTGTACCAGTCTGATTTTGCGAGGGGACGCTGGGTGCGGTAGATGATGGGTACGGCTGAGGGAGAGCTCGAGAGGACTTCATTGGGAGCGATGCGGACGAGTGGACCATAGCGCGTATGGAGAGCTCGGTGGGCGATGTCGAGGTCACCTTTGTAGGTGTGGTACACTGTTGTTGGGGCTCGGTGTTAGTGCATGTCAAACATTGGCTACATGCCCAATGTCCACGGCTTGAGATGATTGAAAATGGGCCTTCCTACTACTTGTACGTCAGTACATTTTGTAATGTATCAATTCGGGGTATCAGGAGACCAGATACCTGTAATGTGTTCTAGAAATGGAGGGCCACAGAGGACCAGGCACACGAGCCAGGGGATGAAGTGTTCGACAGTAGACAATCCATACCAGCCAATACGCCGCACTGAGCAAGCATAGTGTTCCCAGAGAGGGGATTACAATCAGGTCTTGCCAAGACATTGGGAGATGTCTGGAATTTTTGCTTGAGTGATAAAATTCCACTGAAGGGCCTATAAGTAGGTGTAATGCGGCTGGGTATATTCATGCATACACTTCCTGCAGAGCAGACTCATTGGTCGACTCGGCTTTACCTACTGTGATACCCCACTGCGATACATGGGAACGCATGGCATATACTGTACTAGGCACATACGTCCGTGTAGCTGCAGTTACGCGCTTTGTGCTAATATGACATACCCACAATGACTGGCTAGGCAATCCTTCATTTAAGGCGTCCAATCTTTTTCGGCAGATTTATCATAGGTACCTGTGAAGCGAGCAAGGAGCATGCGCATGGTGTGCCACACATAACAAGTACTCATATGATTGCATGTGCAGTTCTTTGGCCTAGAATATGATCAACATGACGTTGATAATGTTGGCTAGTATGAAGATGGCGATAGTGTGGTGTCTTGATGAACATGGAGACAGGATCAATGGTCCAGGTATGCTGAATGACCTCCGCCTGGCTGCCCGCGGCGGTTCGCTCTTGGGGGAATCGGTTGAGCTCCTGTGTGGTGTGATAGATGGCTCGGAGTCTAGGCAGCATACGTCATACTGCTTATTGCCAATGCTGGGAAGGCATACCTAGTGGATAGGTCTTTGTGCCATGAGAACGGATGGAAAGAGTGCACGAGCCGAGTGAGCTAAGGCTAGTTACCCGCTACGCTGCTAATGCACGAGTGCAGCTCTGACAGAGATCGACGGCTTTGTTCTGAAGTTGCCCCTTTGGGAACGGACAAGCCCTGGCGATCCCGGCACTGACCTCACACCCGAATCAACTTTCAACCACCTGAACATATTCGCCTTTGCGCCCGAAGCTGCCCTGTAAATTTGGCGAGAATTCAACAAAGAAAGTCGTAAATTACAATCGCAAAGCCATTGGCCCCCGGCGCATCCCGTGGAGACAACAAAGAGGCGACGTTTTCTAGACAAGCGGAACTCAGCCATGGGCTTCACCACCGGCTTCGTACGTACAGTAGCATTGCCTCGTGTCTTGAAATTGACTAATTGTCGCAGCTTGGAGGCGTCACCCTCACATCGGCCGTCCTCTACCTCACAATATCTCTACACACACAGAACCGCGCAACACAGGCCGCGCTCCTACGCCAACAGCGCCAGGTCCTCGCCGACTTCTATGAGCCGAAGAAGCCAGAACCAGAGCCGACCAGTCGGGAGGCACCCGTTGGACTGGCAGAAATGGCCAAGGACAGGTGGAACAGGAGCCTGGAGGAGGGTGTGAAGAAGGTGTACACGACGGACTGGCGGAAGGTGCGGGAGGAGGCCGAGGACAGAGCGAGCGTGATTTTGCAGAGAATCCGGGAAAGCACCAAATGAGCGAGTGTATATGCGGGGTAGCTATTACCAGGTGATATCAGGTCAACACGGGCGCCGAGATCGGTGCGTTGCGGCGACGATGGTGATTTTACAAATATTTGAGCGATTCCAATAAGACTAGTATACATGTCTCAGCTATCGAGTCTCCCAGCGACTGTGTGAGGGTACAATTTCTTTCACTACTTTTGTCTCATTCTCCACTGATTTCGCAATTGCGCTCCACCCGTGCCCTGCGCCACTTGTTGCTATTGTTCGTTGCGTTTACATAGCAACACCGCACTGCTGCCTAGGCGCTACCCCTCTCACCCAACAACAACAAACACAAGCATCCGCCCGACAAGCAACGCGAATGCTTGCACACTAACATGGCGTCACACGGTATAGTGTACGATCTATTCGACGACCGCTATCTGGAACTACAAGATGTCGCCGGCAGCGTCGAATTGCTGCCCACGCTGGTACCCTACGATGAGTATACCCACTGTCTTCACGTCTATCGCATGAACACAGGCCCCGAGCTATTCATGGCTCTGCTTCAGGATTTCACCAAACGTAAATCAGCTGAGACACGCAAGGAGCTATGGACCTGGTGTGTGCAGTGGAAAGTTGATGAAGCTGCCACTCATCAACAACTCACGCCTCCGCATTCACCCAAGAAGCCTCGTCTCGCCGCGCCCTCAATCAAAGGCCATGTACGTGCCATCAACCCACAGCTGATGAAAGAGGGAGAACTGTTGCGGATATTGCTCGGCATTCTACAGCAACCGAGCTCGATAGTCCCCAACTTTATCGAATTCCTATACCGCTGGATCGACTATCACGAAGGGGATGGGATGGCGCTCAAGGCGGCAATGCACAGGGAGATCCCGAGCCTGTGGGCCTTTGATTATCATCCGCTTGTATTCCCGCAAGATTTGAAGAAGAAGATGGACGAAGCGATTCACAGTTCACATATCAATACAGTTGCTGAGAAGCTCGCGCAAGCTTCCCAGACCAAAACAGTGCGCGAAAAGCCTGATTTGAAGGAACTACAACGTAAGGTGGAAGAAAGCGAACGCCTGCAGTACCGTGAAGTCCAGTTCGGCATACAGCCGCCGAAGCTCAAGGAGCCCCTTCCACCTCTGATCAACATACCACGCGACCCAGTAAAACGAGTCAAATTCCACGCTGCATGCTTCGAATCTCGCCAGCGTGCGTTCAATCTGCTCTTAGAAGCCGGCATGACCGCAACACAACTTAGAGACTACCAGAAAGATCAAGAAGAGGACCCTAGAGACACGCCGCTAGCTTTTGGCAGAGATGGTCTCCAATTCTACAGAAATGATGCCGAACTCGCACAGAGAGTTACTGGTAAACAGGACAAGCACGTGGACAAGACTATGGAGATCGCCATCAGCGAGAAGCTGGCGTTTGAGGCTCAGTTTGCGGGTCGCAGTGCTACACCAGAAAATTTCCTTCATTTCCCGCTCATTCCTAACAGGCCTGGACCAGTGGCGGCCGCGGTCGTGGTTCCTACTAATGACCTAGGTAACGAGATGCTACGCATGGTTCAGAAGACCAAGAATCGTGGCGAGCATTTCATCAACATCATCCCTGCACCTCTAGTGGGTAAGCTGAAAGGCGAGCTCTTCAAGAGCGCAATTGATAAGGATGCTCTTCTCAAACGATGGCAAAAACTCGGCGAACGTTCAGGACCACGCTTCACCGATACATCGGACAAACGCAAATCAGATGCAGAAAGTACAGGAGAGAGCAACGCAGGCGAAGACAACGACTCAGACGATGACGATGGTGCCGCAGATAATGAACCAGACATGTCACTCAGACTTGCAACCTCTGCTCATAACCCAAGTCTTCATGCTCAACATCCGGCTTTCGCAGTCACATTGACCCCACCCCAGGAAACCCATGGTCAAGAGCCGCTCGGTTCATTATTGGCGCTACCTTCTGGTCCTTCATATACGAACTATGGACCTTCTCCGATGCCCGGTCAGTTGCCACCGCCTTCACCTCAAGTCCCAAATGTACCTAGTGGTTTCAACGGAGTACCTTCACACACATCTGGAAGTGGTACGTGGCCGCCATCTGTACCTCAAGAGCCGAACTTCTCAGGTAATCCAACCGGTACATCGTCGTATACATCTGCTTCTGGGTTGCCGCCACCTGTGTATCCACTGGCGTCTTATCCGTTCACACAAAACCAACAGCAGATTGGCCCACCGAGTTTTCAACAGGTCCCTCAGCTATCATCTTCACATCCTGTCGCATCAACTCCGTCTACCCCAGCTACAGTGCCTGCATCTGCACGGCTTCTTGCAGCTATGCAGCCGAACCAGAGCAGTCCTACATCCGGCCAAGGTTTTCAGAATGGCGGACCATCTGCACTCCAAGGTTCAGGAAATTCTGATTTCAGCAACATCCTCAACCAGTATCTACGACCCCAAGAACAGCCTTCTCTTGTACCGAATTCATTCCTCGCGCCTCCCGGTCAGGGTATCCAGCGCACTGCACCAAGTCCGCTCCGCTTGGCCCCAGCACCATCTCCCTTCAACACTGCCGTGCCCTCCCTCACAGGCGCATCTCCCTTTCAGCATCCTGAGCTCGGCATGCCCGTTCAAATATACTTCAGAGAAATCCTAGTCCCTGGTAACCTCATCGGTCCCGGAGGAGCAAAGATGGGCAACGACGGTTGCGTAAAGACCGATGCCTTTCTCGTTGGCTACGCCCAACCCGGCAGCGGCAAGATCACCCTGAGCCATGCCATCTTCCTTTCAGTTGGCGTATGGGAGAACTGTATGGACAGGGTGAGGAAGGACAAGTGTAGTGTGTTAGAGTCATACCACGGTCCTCAAGACAAGATTCACGGTACGACACCGGTGCCGTATCGGGCTGCGTACGAAAAGCTTCGTCAAGCGTACAGTATGATGCTGTCTTCGTCACCTGAAGCACGCGAGGAAAATGTTACGAAACGCTGGCGTGTGACCCCAGGCCGAATGTCGGGGTCGGAGCGCGGGTCTATCTGGGAAGGCTGGGCGGTTGGCTTGGACAAGGAGATTAGCATGAGTAAGCAGGAGAGGGAAGGTGCGTTTGTAAGGAAGGAGTTCATTGATCATGGTGTGGAGATCAGGTATGATAGTGAGAAGGCGAGGCGGAGGAGGGAGCATGATGAGTTGCTTGCGGAAGAAGAGGCTGCGGGAGTGGATTATGGCAGTGATATGGACACGGACGAGGATTGAGTCTTCGCAAAGGAGTCGAGATGTTTGGCTGTGAACAAAAGCTTTGAGAGAGGGTATGTACGATAGTTCCATGTCAGAGTGTTGGAACAAAGCTTCAGGTTCCTACCTCGGATGAATACAAGTGGCGATTGCCTAGATACATCGTCCACCATCTACCTCGAGATTGACACCAGTAATGAAGCCCGCTTCCTTACTTGCCATAAAGATGCACGCATTCACCACATCATCAACTTCACCAATCCGTCCCATGGGTACATTCGAAGTGAACTTTGTCCTGTTCTCCGGTGTATCTTCCATGCCTGTAAAAGCAGAGAAGAGACCCGTTGCAGTGACAAGCGGACAGATGCTAACAACGCGGATCTGGTGTGGACCGTACTCTGCAGCCAGACCCTTCGTTGCCTGACAATTTGTAAGGATACCAATGAGGCAACAAATAACACGTAGTAGGTCACTTACATTCCAGATGGCGCCTTTGGACGCGTTATACCACACAAGTCCTGGTCTGGGTCTAGTAGCGCCCACACTGGCAATGTTGATAATCACACCACCCTCCTTCCGCTCAATGGCTTGATCGACCCACGCATTGCAACCCAGGTAGACTCCTTTTACATTAACGTCAAACGTCCTTTCGAATTCCTCCTCGGTGACGGTCGTAGTGGGTTTGTTAGTGTAAGACCAGCCTGCGTTGTTGACGAGGATATCGCATCGACCAAACTTTTCAATGCATGCTGAGACTGTTGCTTTCCAGTCTGCGGATTTTGTCACATCCATTTTGTGGAAGGCTAGGGCTGAAGGGTTGGTGGCTGCGGTTGCTTCGCCGCCGGTTTGGTCTGCGGGTGTTGTTGGGACGGGCTTGGTGGAAAGTTGGTTGAAGGATGCTTACTTATGTCGCAGACGAGGACTTTTGCGCCTTCTGAGGCCATGCCTTTGGATATGCCAGCGCCAAAGCCCGAGCCGCCGCCTGTGATGATGTTAGGATATAAAGGTGTGGATGGGAAGATGGGAATCACCGGTCACGATCGCGACTTTTCCATCTAATCTACCCATGATGCGTATGATGGAGTACTCAGTAGAGTCAAAGGTCTAACCCAGTCAAAGTCAAAGTCGTGACGTTCTAAGCAGGGCCGATGTTGTTGCCAAAAAGGTGCCTACGCCCTTGACCAACCCTCCCGGGGTCCGCTATAAACCCTGATGTCTGCCATAGCATGCATCACCTCCAATCACACCTCGCACATGTCAGTTCTTCGGGCTAGAACACCGCAGTGAGGGGTAAAATCGTGATGTACGTGGTTGAGTGGGAGCACTGCCGATGTTCGGACCAATCGTGCGGCTTTCCCGCCGACAGCGTCCTTGCCCGTCGTGCCCGTCGACGTCCTCTGACGCCTTCCCAGATCACTTTACCTCGAATAGCCGGCACGCTTCCTGGTCGGTCGGGTGGGCTATCTGGGCAAGGGTGGGGAACATGTTACTCCTGTGATGCTTCTGGCCGGTAGTTAGTCGCGGCAGACGCTAACTACCCGTCTGATCAGAAAGACCACGAACGGCTGTCTTGGACATCCTCCCATTCACACACGGGATTGTCAACTCATCAAGTCAAAACTTCTACATCAATAGCAACATGGTTTTAGAAAGCAAGTATCAGCTGCCATTCAAGGTGTGTTCCGGAAGCGTGGTGACCCACAGCCTGTGCTAACATGCAAAAGCTCAGCAACCCGGACTTGCTTCATAATCTCTCATATGTCAACGGCGAGTGGGTACGAGCAAAGTCTGGAAGAACTTTTGAAGTAGTTGGTTAGTTTTTCACCTGGTCCTAGACTGTCGTTGTCTGATGCGTAACAAGACCCTGGGACCGGAAAGCCATGGATCGAGTGCCCGACAAACGACGCATCTGATGTAGACGATGCGGTCAAGAGCTCGCATGAATGCTTTCAGCAGTACAAGAAGATCAGCCCTCGACAGCGCGCGCAGATGCTGCACAAATGGGATGCCCTCATCAAGGAGAACAGGGAAGACATTGCAACCATGCTAGTATATGAAACTGGAAAACCCAGGTCTGAGGCCTATGGCGAGATCGACTACTCTACAGGGTTCACATGGTGGTTCGCCGGAGAAGCTGAACGGATCCAGGGAACCGTCTTCACACCGGCTTTGGCGAATCGACGCATATTCACTATTAAACAGCCTCTCGGTGTCGCTGTAGCGTTGGTGCCATGGAACTTCCCCATTGCGATGATATTGAGAAAGGCAGGCGCAGCATTGGCCGCGGGCTGCACGATGGTTGTGAAGCCCAGCCCAGAGACACCCATTACGGTACTCACATTGGCATATCTCGCTCAAAAGGCTGGATTTCCAAAGGGGGCGCTGAACGTCTTGACTACAGATCTGGACAAGACCCCTGAACTAAGCGAAGCACTTTGTCGACACCCCCTTGTGAACAAGGTCACTTTTACAGGCTCAACGCGCGTTGGCAAACTGGTTGCTAAGATTTGCGCCGATAATCTGAAGAAAGTCACATTGGAGCTAGGGGGCAACTGTCCTGTTTTGGTGTTCGATGATGCGAGCATCGAACAAGCAGTGAGCCAGATCTTTGCTCTGAAGTACCGTCATGCTGGTCAGGCTTGTATAACCGCGAACCGGATCTATGTTCAGTCTGGCATCTTTGACAAGTTCCTCGAGCGCTGGAATGCGGAGACGCAAAAGATTGTCGTCGGTCACGGCTCCGACGAGAAAACTACAATGGGCCCAGTTACTACGCCGCGGGGTGTAGAGAAGGCGCTTGCTCTTGTTGAGGACGCGAAAAAGAAAGGCGCGAAGATTCACACTGGTGGCAACACGATTGAAAAGGATGGCGGATACTTCTTCGAGCCTACCATCATCTCTGGAGTTACATCAGACATGGATATTGCGAATGAAGAGGCATTTGCTCCGATCAGTACGTTCATCAAGTTTGAGACGGAAGATGAAGCGGTGAAGGCAGCGAACGACACTAGCATGGGCCTTGCTTCTTACTGCTTCACGAAGAATGTTGATCGCACGTGGAGGCTATTCGAGAGTCTAGAGGCGGGTATGATCGGACTAAATACGGTATGTCGGGTATCGTACGCCACGAAAGACACTGCTAACATTATGACAGGGTAATTCGTCTGCGGCAGAGTCGCCATTTGGTGGCATCAAACAGAGTGGTTATGGCAAGGAGTCTGGAAAGGACGTGGCTGTCAATGAGTACCTGATCACTAAGACTGGCACTTTCACGCTCGAGGAGCAATCCTGAAGGAACAGGTGCAGTGTGTCGCGACGTTTGAACTTGTCTCGCGTGAAGCCATTGTCTTTGAAATGTTTGAGACTAGGTAGATTCGAGGAACAATGACTACAAGTTTGGATGTCACCTGCAGTGTTCGCGTAAGACCCTGGTTCAGGATGCACCCTCTGTTTCACCAATACTTGTGCATATAGGTGCGCGCCATTATCCAATTGCTCAATAAGATCCTGGTATTGTTGTTGCGCTTGCGCGTAGATATCGGAGCATCACGTGATCACGTTAGTGCCCGCCAGCTAACCGCGGCGCGCCTTCTGCTTTCCATCTCCCGAAGTCCCCAGCTTTTACAACAAGCACCCCACAAATCCTCCAACGTCGACCTCGCCGCACCGCCAGGCCGCCCTTCACCATGGAAGACCTTGACATGATTGACGTTGCTGACGATATTGACATTCAGATAGACACAGAAGTAGCTGCTCCGATCGCGCAACAGCCGCAACAAGTTATTCAAGTGAGTTCCACGCAAGGCTGCACAAGGCTGAGTGACATGGACTGACATGCGCACTATAGAATAACACAGCAGGCGCACAAGAAAGCATTCCCGCAGCTTATCTCGAGGACATTGTAGTCCACAGGCCATGGCCCGAGTCCTTAAACCTGCAGGGCGTGGACAATTTCGACCCGAACGATCCCCTCTATTATGCCATAGAGCATTGCCAGTCCGACCCGCGCGTCAAGCAATTGCGATGGGTCAACGATACCTCAGTCAACCTGGATTACTACAGTAGCGAAGATGCGGCACTCGCCCTAAAGATGTTGACCGCCCCAGAGGTTGGCGACACAAGCCACCTTTCGATGCAAGCCAGTCGCCCAGCGAAACCGTACTCCAAGAAGCCGGATAATATCCTGACGATTAGGCAGTCGAACGCTGGCGACGAGAAGCCAAAGGGCGCGGCCCAGAAGAGTAACTACTACCAACGAAACCCTGATGTGGCCGGCAACCGCCAGCGAGCACCGCGCAAGAGGTCGCCCGCCCCCAGGAAAGATTACCTCGACTACGGAGAAGATGACATGGCTTCTAGGGGTCAGGACAGGCGGAGAAGTACCGGTGACGAGTCAATGGGTGATTCCGGTGCTGATCGAAGAGGTCCGCGCCGCAATGGACGAGACGAGCGTGACGGACGCGACATGCGCGGCCGCGGCAGAGGAGGAGGCCGTCAACAAGGTGGCAGGTTCCGAAGTGACGCCCAAAATCAGGATGTCGACTCCTACAGACCAAGTTCGAGAAGGTATATGAGTCTTGCTTCCGTTGTTGACCAATTACTAATAAACAATCGCAGTCCCAATGAGCCACGCTTCGGTCGTCTACGAGGACGTAGCGCATCTCCCACGCCATACGATGAAGGCGACGGCCGCTTCGGATTCTCCGAGCACGACTCCCATGCAGGGCCCCGTCGGTACCGCAGCCGTAGTCGCAGTGACAACCGGCGTCGACGCGAACCTAGTGCCGACCGCTGGACTCACGACCGCGCAAACTACGATCGTCAAGGCGGTACTACGGGTGGCAGTCGCTGGCAAAAGGACACTGCCCTTGTCGAAAGCTCCCCAATGGGCAACCACCACCGCTCAAACGCCATTGATGCATCGTCCAAGTCAAAAGGAGCAGGCGAGTCACTCTTGTCACGCATGACCAAGAATGGCCAGCCTTTGGCACCACAGCAGAAACCCAAGCGTTCGCTAGCTGATAGGATTACGCGCGACGATAATTCAGACGAGGTGTTTGGTCGGCTGAAGAACGACTACAGCGACCCCTACGTCACCGAGTTCTCTGAATCAACTCAAACTCGTCGTGGTCTCGCCGACCGCATCACTCGCGATAACGACATGAACATCCGCGGACGAGCACGAAGCCAAGAAGGTATCAACATCCGTGGCTCAGCTGATCGCAGTGGAAGTGGCATCAATATCCGTGGCGTAGCAAGTGGCGCTTAGAGAGCTGCTGCCGGTAGACGACAAGCAACTCAAGTAGTACTTGTGAATACTGATGAAGTCTTTGTCAACGTGGTGGTTAGTCGGTTCAACCAGCCAGCACAACTACCACATCGAGGCAACTGGTACCATCCCAGGGCACCGAACGAATCAACATGGCATCTCGAATTTGAGGGAAACTGGGCATGACAGGAGATGAGATCGAGTGCTTGACTGCGGCGGGCATCTAGGAGGTTGTTCCGGACTCCAGACTACTGTTTTTTTTCTCCTTTCCTTTATGTATATCTAGCATAACATGGCAGTGGGTATATCCACGGAGTGCACGGAGTGGGCGTCACATCAAGATTGGTTCAGCCTTGTCCCTCGTTGCTGATCGGGCAATGGGGTTATGCCTAGAAAACATAGGGATCCCGAGGAATACGAACGAGATTATACACATGTTGACTTGAATCTACGTTGCTTTGACGTTGACTGAGACACAGTGATGATGACTTTAAGGTGCAGTATTGACATTTTGATTTTTTTTTCACTTCAATTCAACTATTGGTAGGTGAGTACAAATAGCGTTTCGTCCACTGCCCGATAGACGAAGCAAGCTCTACTGATTAAGGTACTTGTAAAACTTCACAAGGAAGAAGAAGACAATCTATGGGGTTTGAATACATCAATCGCTCAGCTCATGATCTCTCGTCCTGATGAGAGACTCCAAATCTCCAGTCTATATAAGAAAAAGGGAAAGAAAAAAAAAGATAGCATTTGGAATCCATGCGAAGACCCAGTAATGAGAAAAAAAAAGGAGATGAGATGCATCCCCGATGCGTCCCGTAGATGACAGCTCATACTCAGAACACCGGCCGTATGGGCATCATGTGATTCCTACACTTTCCGCTGTTCGACGAGACATTCACCTTGTCCCTGGATCTAGCCTTATGACTCTTGCTAGGAATTTATCCAGCGTGCATGGCCTTTGTCAGAGCTAAACGCTTGCTATACGGACTGAGACTGCGCTCCCTTTGAACGGGCGGCGCTGCGTGCATGGGCGGAGGTGGGGCCCGGCCGTTCGAAACAGGGGGACGGTCGTCGAAACGATTCCTTGCGGGTTCTCGGGGTTCGTCGTAGCCTCGGCTTCCGGCTTTGACGTCGTATGGGCTGGGCGAGCGGCGGGCGACGGCAGCAGCGGCGGCTTTGCGCTTGGAGTAAGGACTAGGACTGCGATTGCGACTGCCGCGGAATGACGGTGGAGACCTCGAAGGCTCACGCTTGAGTGGGGGTGAAGCCCCCCATTTGCCTCGTAAAGTGCTGTTGGGCGGGTGTCGGTCGTCAGATATGTCCATGGGGTCTGCACTTCGTGATCGTGACTTCGACACTGAAATGCAACGACGCGGTCGCTCGTGGTGGTGTCTCCTGGCGCTCCTGCTCCGTGACCTGAGGCTGCCGCTCATGTTCCGTGGTAGTCTCCCTCGAACGTTCTCTTGTGATCGCTGCGTGCGCGCTGACCTGGTCCTTGACCGCGACCTGGTCCTCCTCCGACCACGCTCGCCTGGACTGAAGGCACTAACTCGCCGCCGTGTGTTCCTGTCGGCCATGTCTGATTCGTATGATGAGCGTGAGTCCATGGAGACTGACCGTCTGCTCCGCTTGCGCACTGTCTTGTCGTCGTTGGCTCGGTGTCTTGGGCCATCATGCTTCTTGCGTGGCGGAGAGCGCGACCGAGACGGCGATCGGTTGGTAGATATGGTGGATACGGAGTCAATGGACGATGTAGAAAGCGATCGTGCGCGCTTGCGTTCCTCCTCCTTCTTCTTCAAGATGTCGTCGGCTACGCCCTTCTTGCGTACCAGGTCCACAGGTACCTCAGTGGTAAGCTTAGGCTTCAGGTTGGGGTTGAGTAGCTGCTGTGTTCTCGAGGGCCGCGGCTTATAGGGGCGCTCCTGGGCTGGGGCCTTGCATTCATAGCTGTAGTGTCCTCTCTTCAGGCACTTTTGGCAGAGCGTGTCTGCTGAAGCCTTGGAGCGGCCGGTACCTGGGCGGCGGAACATGGCGGACGTCAGACAGAGTCGTAGACGCAGTCAATGGGCGGTTTGCTGGCGCAGAGTATGTGGTGCAGTTGGGCGATAAAGGAGGTACACAAGACGCGACACCTGGTCCCCATGCAAGTCTCCGTAAAAGAAAGTAATCAAGCCTCGCCAAGTTCAATGTTCTTCTGTCACTTTCGGCGGAGGAAGCGCGACCAAGCTTGGCTCCAAGCAGTCTAGCCTCGATTCAAAGTCCAGAATTTCAGGCGGAGCGCATGACTAAGCCTGCCCACTCGCGGCTTCAGCATCGCTTCTCCGACCTTCAAACCGCCTCGCCGTGCACCCCGCATAACCAGCCTGGTCCCCGTCTTGCACCCAGCATCGTCTGTCGCTGACGAGCCAATTCAACGGCGACCCTCGTACTGCGACCTATACCCGGCCGCTTGGCTGCTTTCTGCTCCCTCTCCGCTAGTCGCAACCTTGGAGCCCAGGCCAGACGTCAAGACTACTTCATCTCAGCTCACGACACACCCGCTCCACCTACACCTTACCCACGAATGTCTGCACACCAACATGTCCAGCTTTCTGGCTCCGGTTATCGCGACTTTCCTTGAGCACCCTATTTCCTGAAAACCTTCGTTCATCACTTCGGTTAACACCCCCTTCATTTCCGTCTTCGACGACCCATATACGGCGTTGAGCTTGGTGATTTTTTCGACTTTCTGCCCAGGCGTCCGTCCCTCCATTGGACTATTTGGCTACTACAAAAGCCTCGGGATCGTCTTCGCCCTCATCACCGCATTTCAACACACATAGCGCACTGTGTCCAGATCATCTACTTGACGACATATTGCTCCTGACTGCCTTGCAAGCGCCTAATGGTCATGGCGTCTGCGACTTCAACTCCTACCGAACAGGTTCCTCCGAGGCCTCTTTCCTTTGCCAAGGTGGGCCGCCAAAAAGCAAAGTTTGTGCGCAGTTTGCTAATAATCCTAGGTCGCGGCTTCCGCAATCAAACCTCAGATGTCGAAAGACTCTGCTTCCAAAGCGAGACCGCCTGTTGCGACACCCAAAATACCCACCGTTGCTCAGAAGGCGCGCTCTAACCCGACAAATGGGGACGCGGCGCCAAAAGCGCCCACAGAGAAGCAAGGCGACAATGATGCGAGTAAGAGTGCTGGAAATGCAAACTCGCACATGGACTCCACAGGCCGATCAGCCACACCGCCTCCCGACGCCAAGCTCGAAGCGACTGAGAGACCTCAGTCTGCCGCAGTAGTTAAAGTTGCCGCTACCGAGGATAGCAGCACTCAGCTATCTTCTTCCGATGGATCTGGAAAGCCTCCTAGTATTGATGGGAAGAGCGTTGCTTCTGCGACAACATTTGCACTCGACGAGAAGGAGTCATTGCGACCAGACGACAGTGCTAGCCTGAGGGCGGTCGAAGAAGAAGACGTCATCTCTCCTCCAGACTCTGTAATCGCGGATTCCCGACAAGGATCTGATCATGGCGCCGCACGTGCCTTCCGAGATCAGTTGCAGGAAATTGCCGTCATGAATCCTCAGCCTCACCGAGGAGTTCCGCCGGGTCGCTTTCCCACTCTGCCGAATGGAGCACAAACTCTGTACGATCCTAACCAGTCACTCAACGGCGCAGGTCCCATGTCACAGCCTCTCGTGAATGGCATGCCTTCGCTCAACGGCCCTCCCAACATACCCGCTATTCCGGATGAAAAGCTCCTCGAAGCGCTACGATCGCCCCGTGATCGTCTGTTTGTAGTCAAGATCGAACAAGACTTTATCGACTTCATAAAGGACTCTCGGTTGGTGTTGCCATATCAACACGTCGGAAATCACATTTTGCTAACGTGACCTAGTGAGAGTGAGTTGTGTCTACCGAACTGTAATACTTTCTATAGGATGCTTGCACATCGTCTTGCGGACTATTACTTGCTTGGCCATGTAGTTGATACCACTATGACTGGCGTGAAGATCACGCGTACGCCGTATTGCAGAATGTGAGTTCCTATCCAAGATTCTTACACTTCCATTGCTAACCCTTCACAGCCCGCCCCCAGTATCGCAAATGGTTGATCCTGCCAAGAGTACCAACACACCTCCCGTAGAGCTTCCTGCACGTAAAATCATGCGTCGTGATGATGGTAAATCTGGTACAAACACTGGAGCTAATTCGCAGAATGCATCCAAAACAACCTCTGAAATGGGAGCCAGTGATGGCAGTAACGACGGTGAAGGTAGCAAGGACAAAGCAGCTCTATCTCGTGAAGAACGCGAGGCTCGTTACCGTGAAGCTCGTCAGCGCATCTTTGGTAGCGCTGAGAGCGAAGAGACTGACACTACAGAGGTGAACGGACAAGGAGAGGACAAAGAGAAAGCGAAAGACATGTCAAGATCAAGCTCGGCTGCTGGGAAGAAAAAGCCCAAGAAGCAGCGCAACTACGACGATGACGACTTCCAAGCTCGATCCCGATTCAACGTGTATTACCCACAGCAATATCCTGTTGCGGGCTACACCGGAGACAATGCTGTCTACTACAACGGCTATGCTGGTCCTGCGCAGAATGCACCGTATGCGACTATGAACTCCGGGGGATCACCTCCAGCTGCGTACAGCAACCCATACCCGGGTATGATGGCCCCAGACGCACAGTCTCAATACGGCTGGAATGGCCAACAATATCAGCCACCCAATGGGTCAGCTATGATGTATCCCAACTATGGACCGATGCAGAACGGCTATGACCTATCAACAGATTTCCAGCGTGGTATGTCATCGTTCCAGAACGCCGGTATGCCGTCTCAGGTGACACCGAAGATGGCCAACCCGTCAATGGCACCCTACCAGGACAACTATCAGCAACCCCAGCACGTGCCCATGAATGCAGGGTGGTCACCACAAGTGAACCAGCAGTTCCCATATCACTCGGCCACGAGTGCGTTCAATGCTCAAAATGGGCCAGGCAACAGGCCCATGTCCGCGCCTCACCAAGCTCCGATGCCTGGCTATCCCTATGGCCAATTTCCTCCGAACGGTTTCAATGGCAAGCCAAATCGCAACCAACACCCTCTCCCTGGAAGCTACAACCGTGGGCAGTTCAACCCGCAAACCCAAGCCTTCATACCCGGCGGGCGTAACATGCCTTTTGGAATGCAGCCGAACATGATGCAGGGCCAGCCCCAGATGAACCCACAGATGAATCCACAAATGAACGGCTACGGTGGCTACCAAATGTCTGCCCAAACTTCTATGCCTGCTCAGATGCCTAGGCACAGCCCTTCTGCTACTTCTACGCCGTCTTTCGGCTCTCCGCAAAGCATGCAAGGCAACTACGCTGCCCCTTCTATGAACAGGATCGCATCTCAGTCTGGCGATCCAGGTTCCTCGCAAAGCAGCATCGCTAAGTACGGTACACCTGCGCACCTACCTCCAAAGCCACCTGCTCCTGCTCCAGCCCCGCCCTTCGCTCTACCTTCCATGACCCGAGTGCCATCGTCCAGCACCTTCAACCACAACTCTAACTGACGTTTCATGACATGATCTCTGCATTGCGACGGTGCATCTACTGCTTGCATCTTTTCCTCGGTGGTGGGCATGGGACGGTTCAGAAAGACACATGGGGCGCTTGCTTGGCATTTTTGCCGGTGTCTCCTGTGAGTGAGACGCTTCGGCGTCGTAATGACGGTCTTTCAGGTCTTTCAGGTCTTCTTTCGGTTATCAAGGCACAGGCAAAAGGGACGATTTCTCAGTCAATGGTAGTTTGGGTGGCATTGTGTAATACTACTAAAATTGAACTTTTTCACTGCGATAGTTTGACCTGGTCTTTGCTGCTGAGTTTTCTGTGTTGAAAATAGCAATAGCAAGGAAGCAGTCTGTACTGCTCTTGCCCGCTGACTGCTGATCAAGCCAGTACCCACCATGTAAATGGAATTGGGGTAACCAAGGCTAATAAAATGCAAACTTCTAGACTCACAAGACATAGGTGCTGCTGGTTAATCAAACCAACCCAAGCACCAGTGAAGGATGTTCTGGAAGACCAAGATATATTTTTTTGTATTTCAATTCAATCTATTCATCCTCTTTTAGTGTTTTGGTGTCCCCATAACCCAGCGTACCCTAACAGCACCGCGTCCAACCCTCACACGCCGATTCCCTCCATCAGGCCAAAAAAAAAACAGTTTCTAGGAAATACATTGAAAAAAAACAAGGTCAAGAAGACAGTAGAGAAAGGAAAAAGCTAGGTTGCCAAAGGTAAAGGCGTGGTGAAGGATGAAGATAATTACAAGAGTGATAGATTTGTTTCGCACATGGCAACCGTCAGAAGAAAAGGATCTGTCAATTCCCAGCTACGTGTAGAAGCAAGCGGCCTTCTATGACGCAAGCAACCCAACTGAAATTGTATTATTCATTGGACAGAATGCGTGTAGTACGGCTGGGAATAAAAGCCAGATTGCTTTTGTTGTTTGCTTACACACACCATGTGTAAAACCTGAGTGAGTCTGGGCCATAAACTGCAACCTCAACGTGCAGCATCTTCCAAGCTGTTACAAACTCTGACGTGTTGGTAAAACCCGCTTCCGCCTCTTCCAGAAACCCCGTCATGTGTAGTGGGGCATTGTGGGCCTGTATGCCGACACCATCCCGGTCCGTTGCATACACATACAGCACCAGTAAGTAGAAAAGAAAAAGAAAAGATCGGGATACAAGGCAAGATGAAGCCCGATAATCTGCCAAAAGAACGCCACCGGCTGGATATATATCGACTGAGATGAAAGGAAACTGTTAAAATGATAGAGGTCGCAATGTACAGGTAGCGATGGATCGATGCATAAGGTAGTGCTCAGACGGGAAGTTTAGAAGTTTTGGGCGATGCCAGAGTTTCCTTGTTGTGGGAAGACACTTGGATTCTCGATCCTGGTGTTTCGTCTTGCAGACACGTCTCTTATTATAGGCTGCTGCTGAGCGGCATACGGGTCTTGGGTGCCGTATGTTGGGTTCTGGTAGTAGTCCTGGTTGGTGTAATAGTCTTGTGGATGGCTGTTGTTCATGCCAGGGTAGTCACCAGAGTTGTCGGAGTGGCCAGCTGCCGAGTATGTCGACGAGGCATTGGAGATTCCGCGGTGTACGCCACCTTGGTTGTGGGCCGAGTTGGCGGCTACAGCGCCACCAGCGCCCGCACCCAATGCACCTATGCCGTCCGAGTCCATGGTGTGGCGACGCCCATCTACGAGTGGGTCGTTGGAGTGAGCGTCGGAGTAGGCACCGTTGGTGGGGGAGTTGGGGCTGTTGTAGCCGCCTGGGTTGCTGTTGCTGTCCGAGTAGGTCATTCCAGAGGCGAGGGTGGTGGACATTTTGCGGTTCGAGTTTGTAGTGGCGTTGCCCCATCCTCGGTAGCCACTGTCGTCTTCGGCCATGGCCAGACCACCGACCGGAGGCAGGGTTGGATCGTGGTTCGGGTTGAAGCCATACTCTTCCACCTCTTTTCGGCGCTCGTCCTGGGCACTCTTGCGCTGCTTGCGTTTGCGCCAGAAGAAGATGCCACCAAGTACCAGCAGAGCAACTACGACGACGGGGATGACGACGGCGATGGCAGTCTTACCACCGGTGCTCATGCCATTGCTGTTCTCCTTTTGCGCATTCTGCAGCTGGGTCGGGTCGGTGCTGTTTGGGTTGGAGCCTGTGCCGGTACCGGTTGGGCGCTGGGCAGCGTTTGTTGGCGTGATGACTGAAGTGATTGTTATGACTTGCGGCGTCTCGCCTGCTTTTGTTGGGGCAGACGTGACTACCACAATGGACGTCAGGACGGCAGTCGAAGGAGGCGCCGACGGAGCAGTGACGGTGCTCGTCTCAGATGGGGGTGGCGCATTGGGAGAAGATTGCGCAGGCGGTGCAGTGGATGTTGGCGGGGGTGCTTGGTTTGACGTCGGAGGCGGAGGGGCTGAAGAGGCTGGTGGTGGTGGAGGAGCAGAGGAAGCGGGCGGGGGCTGGGTCGTGGAGGCAGCTGGAGGTGGCTGTGACGACGGCGGCGGTGCTGCTGCTGAAGAAGCTGGCGGGTTCGAGGCAGGCGGCGCTGAAGAGGGAGTCTCTGCTGGTGGTGGAGCGGACGACGGAGCGGCAGCGGGCGTGGAGACGGCAGGCTGCGAAGGCTCGGGTGCTGTGGAAGGTGTTACAGACGGCGAGGCAGGGCTGGAGCGAAGAGTCGAGGGAGATTGGGGAGGGCTCGCAGAGGAAGGCGCGGGAGCAGAGGAAGGCGCTCCCTGGGTGCTCTGAGGGTTGGAGGGAACAATAGAAGGAGACAACGTACTCGCAGTAGCATTGCTTGACATTTTGACGATGACAATGAGCAATTGCAGGCAGAAAGCCAGACACGAACAAAGGAGCGACGAAGGCTGGAAACGAGGGACCCAGAGACGGCGGCCGGGGGTAGGGCAAAGGTAAGTTTCGAAGCTGAGAGGGTGAGGAAGTTAGTGTCGCGGAATGCTGCTGCAGCACCGTGGGACCGCTGGTTTGCTAGTGAACTGGGCGGTGATCTGCTGTTTCTCCGCCCGTGGATCCGCAATGATGATGTATGGACGCGGTCCTTTGGTTACGAGTGGGCGACGGGCGAGGTTGTGCAGGAGTCAAAGTGGAGCATGCACGGGAGAAAGATGGGCGATGGCAGCGCCAAGGGCCTGTTGATTGCGCTGCCGAACCCAACAACGGGCAGCGCGCGCCTGTTTGGTTTGAGCTGAACCGTGCTGGCGGCAACTTGACGACACGAAGAGTGATTTGCGCTGAATGCTGATGGGCTTGCATGCCTTTTGATACACAATTGCCGTCGCAATGTCGCAACCTCAGCGCCCCCAAATCATCCTTTACGCTCGCCGTCGTCCGCCAAGCCCTTATTGTGTTGCAGCCGGTATCGAGTGGCCTGGAGCTTTAGACGGCAACCCGGAGTCTAGTGCACCCAACGCTGACTAGCCCCAGGCCCGAAAGGGGAGGTTGTGAAGGGCCGTGGAGCTGGCTAAGGACTAATGCAGCCTGTGCATGGCTGAGGCGCGTCTGGGAGATCTGTCTTTGCTGCACCTTTCGTCCTAGGGCCCATGGCATGATGCTCGCTGCTCGTCGCACCGCTGCTGTCCTCATGACGCAGGGTCGCCCACTTGCCAACCGTTGCTCCATCACACCCATTACACTTTGATTGCCAGTTACCTCATACCCTACCCATAACCCGTCGCGCAAAAAGTTGGAAACAATGCAAAAGCTGCAACCCCCCCCCCCCAGTCCAATACATCATAATACGAGACTTTCTGCCTTTCCAGCCCGTGCACCCGTGGCCACTCTATATTAGGATGGTCAGCGCTGTCCTGGTGCGCACCCACCTCGGCTCATATGTACGCCGTATGTACTGTACATACATGTGCTATCCACCCTGCACAGCAATGTCATCCCACTAAGAGGCGTCCTTCGTATCTCCCTCGCTCGTGTCTGCATTCTGGACCTCTAGCTACTGTCAAACTCGGAACCCACCCTGCTCATCTCGTAATCTGGCACTGGCCACGTGCAATCGCTGGCTGAACTATATCCAGAAAAGCAATTGCCAACGTATGAAGAACAAACTATCCATTAGATTTATTAGCCACTGAATTGTCATGTACCCTGCCCGTGTTCGTGTGCATTCTCGCCTCCGCCATCGTCAGCCACCGCAGTGTCATGATTAGTGTACCGTCGCCTTGCACTGCATCCTAGCGTTACTACTCTCACTTTCCAAACCGACCCAGCCCCTGGTCTCTACCTTATACCAAGCCCGGAATGATCGCCTTGCGGCCTTGAAGCTTTTCCTTCCCAAACTTCTTCTCGTACCATCTCTTGCCCTGCAGCGCACGTGGCAGCATCGTCGCAATCTCGTTGAGCAAAAACGTGCGCGCAGGATGGCATTTCCACCCCCCAATGATCCACCATCCTCCCCACTCGATCCATTCGCAGAGGTAGTGCGCATGCAGCGAGTATTTGAAGAGCCCATTCTTCGGGAGCATGTAAATCTTGTCCACACTCTCTACCGGCTTACCCTGCTCCTTGGCTTCCTTGCGCTGCTTGCGGTCCGCTGATCGGCGAATCTCGCGCAAGTCGTCGTCGTGAAACATGTTGCCCATGAGTCCCCAGCACCAGATGACGAGCCCGACAAACACCCATTCCTCCCGCGCCGCCCATTCGAACTGTGATGTTGGTCCATAGCCTGCTAGGTATCCGCCAATGGAAATGGCGTTGAACATCTGAAAAGCAACGGCCGAAGACCAAACCGATACATGTATGGGAGACATACTTGGGTTGAGGAAGAGTGGCGAAATCACCGCGCGATACATGTAGTGGATGACCTTATGTCTGATGAGTTCATCTCCTGCAGCATCGCCTGGGTCACACTTACATAGCAACCAGCCATTGTCCAATTGCCCCATGGTAGCTCTTCAATGCCCACTTCCTTTGGCAATGAGTACATCATGTACAGCAGCGTAATAGGGCCGACCACCTCCATTGTTGCCCATCCTATCCTGCCGTTCACGTTGAGCCGCGACTCAATCGATGTTTTGCCCTGCGGGTAGTAATCCCCAAGCCATTGCACTACCGTGATCTTGTTGAGACCGCATGTCAGCAAGCCCATCCATGGTGAGGTACATACACGACAGCAGATGTCGTTGCGGGGTCGCAAAACGCTGTTGGGAGAGAGAGCGAGGGGCGCGAAAGCTTACAAGAGGAAAGTACTGAAAAACAGTGTATACAAGCTCCCAATTCTCGCGCGACGGCGGCAGCCAATTCTGCACAATTGCCATCCTGATGCTGTATTTGCGCAATCTTCTCCACCACCAAGATTATTGGCGGTGTCGGTCTAATTAGTCGTCGCGAACAGTGATGTCAGCACGACTTCCGCAATAGGCCGGCGCATGTCAGCAGATTCAGTGGTGCTTCCAGCACGCCAGTCCCGGTCTCAGTCCCCCCGGAGACCAACAACCTCGCCAATGAAAAGTCAAGTCCTGCCGCGCGCCCTAACCCCACAAAATCAGCAATTATGGATCGGACCACTGTTGCTGCGCCGCATCATCTCGCCTCCACCGTAAACAACCCGCGTATATATTATTACAGACTGGGTTTTCTTTCATCAAAAACCCGTCTCCTTAGCTCAATTGGGAGAGCGCCAGACTGAAGTCTTCGGTCATTAAATCTGGAGGTATCGTGTTCGATCCACGAAGGGGACAACGTGCCTGAGCTTGCTTGGGATTCTTCGAACAATTTCTTTTTTGCATTTTTACTTTTCTGCGCTGCGCCTGTGGCGCAATGCTCAGATAAACGGTGGGAAAGTTGTTTACCTATGGTAGATAGGGAACGGCAATGAAGGGAGTGCTTTTTGTAACCTACTTTTTTTCTGTGCACTATCCCGCTCGCTATCTGTACGGTTGATCGGAAAAAGTCCGCTGCAAGGACTTTTTTTTCTTTAAGTAGCTAAGCTAGAAAGGCGTGGGGAAGGCCGTTGTGCATGAATTTGCAATCTGGGGCTTAAGGAGGCTGACACGTTTTGGCACAATTTGAAATGAACGACGAGTCACTTTGCGATGAAGGATTTAAGGTTTCAGAATGAAATCCGATAGACTGAATCATATGTTCGCTATGAAAATAACAAACCATCGCTACCTCTAGGGTATACAATACTACTCTTTCCTCGCGCCACTGGCCTGCATATCCGCATCCGTCACGGGAACATCCTCTGTTCTCATCTGCTCAGGCGCTCTAGCCTCATTACCCTTCTTGATACCCCTCGCACCAGGCGTCAGGTACGTATTATCTAGCGCTGGCAGTTCCTCTCCGGGAGTAGGCGTCCAGTGCTTGCTCTTCCAGGGTGTAACATGTAAGATGTACATGGTGTCGATTTCCTCGAGGGTGCGACCGTGGGATTCACAGACGAAGAAGTATACCACTACGGCGCCGGTGAAACAGCATGCTGCGAAGACATAGCCGTATCTGTAATCAATGGCGGCGGTGATGTAAGGGGTAACTGGGGTTTTGTTAGCAAACGGTAATATAGAACGTGGGTTGAAATGGTGTCGTCTTACAGAAAGAGATTAAAAAGTTCCAGGTCCAGTTACTGGCTGTTGCCAAAGCCATGGCCTTGGCTCTGTATCTCGACGGATAAATTTCTCCAATGACCGCCCAAATGATTGGTCCCCATGTCATGGCGTAGCCTGCGATGAAGAGACAGGCGAAAATAATCATGGCATATCCGGCGCCTTGGCTCGTGCTTCCATCAGGGTTGGTAAGGACGAAGTGGCCTACTGACGCGAACACAAGGAAGCACATGGACATCCATAAGCCTCCGACGATGAGTGAAGATCTTCTTCCAAACTTTTCTACTACGTAGAGGCCGGGGATAGTCATGCCGAAGTTTACACCACCCAGGATCATGGATGTGACGTAGGAGTTTTGGATACCGACGGATTGGAAGATGGTAGTGCCATAGTAGAAGTAGCTAGACAGAAGGTCAATATGTTGTTTCTGTGTCGCTTGGTAGACTAGACTTACTAGTTGGCGCCCGTGAGTTGTTGCAGAGCCTGCAGAGCAATACCGAGTAGAACACGGTACCTCATGCGCGGACCAGTGAAGATTTCGTACCATGGATGGTGTCACCACCTGCATTCTCCGCCTCAAACTTCTTCTGAATCTCCTGAATCTCGCGCTGGACCTCTGGGTGATCTTCCGGAACACCATATGTGAGCGCCACAGTGTGTGTCGCGCTTTCAATCTTGCCCTTGCGATACTCCCAACGAGGAGATTCCTGCATGAAGAGTATTCCGACAATCATCAATGCTGACCAGATGAAGCCAATGCCCATGGGGACCTTCCATGACCAGGAACTCAGTCTAGCCTCTGTACCGAAGTTTATTGCGTATGCGGTGAAGATGCCGAGCGTGATGAATAGTTGGTAGCAGGACACTAACGCACCTCGAACGTATCGTGGAGCTGTCTCGGACTGGTACATGGGTGTGAGCACCGAAAGAGCTCCAACACCCAAACCAGCGACCCATCGACCAAGGGAGATTTGGTACCATGTGTTGACAGTTGTGATCTGGACGATGACTCCGACGCAGAAGATGATGTTCCAGAAAACGATTGAGTATTTGCGACCAAACCTGTCTGCGACGGGAGCAGCGATTAAAGCGCCCATAAGCGTGCCGATAGACAGCTACCAAATTTGTCAGTTGATGATCAATCTTACGGCGAAAGGTACTTTGACATACCAGAGCTACAATTAAACCAGACTTCCAGTTGCTGAACGCTGGCCCGCCTGTTTCTGGATCCGTTTGGTCTGCGAACCTGTCAAGAAAATCCGGCATCTCTAGGAAACCTGAGATCTGGCCGGTATCGTATCCAAAGATGAACTGTATGCGTTAGCTGTGATGCTTCTAACCTCACCATCCCATACATACACCACCCATTGAAACAATGATCGCCATTGCTATGATTCGCATGCGGAAGATTTCTTTCACGCCGCCCTTGAGCATCTGTGGTTTCTTCTCAGGATCCTGGTCAATCATCGTAGACGACGCTGGTGAAGCATGTGAATGCCCCCGAAACCGATCTGTTATCGCCATGGTTGTGTAAAGGGCTCTGTGTTCGCGCCGATCAATTGCGTCGAAAAGTACGGAGTATCGTGGGGTCTCCAAGCCTATATAAACTTGCCATGTTTACTCCACTTCTGGGGCAACTGGAGCCCCCAGATGCCGTCATAACGGCAACCCGTGTACCGATAGGTCGTCACCACACTTCTACCCCATCAGTACCACGTTGCTTAGCGAAGCCCGATGTATCTCGTGATCGTGTGCCAAATCTCGACGTCATGGTGTGATAGCCCAACGGCCCCCGGCCGACTAGTCCTGTCGCTCATGGACAAACTGGGGTAATGAAATGCTTGTCAGGGTTAAGCCATACCCAAGCGCTGGAATCCTACTGGTTGCGGGTCCATGTCGGTGCCAGCTTTTGAGCCTCTAAAGCTTGGCACTGTAATCGTCCTTTGACGTCGACAGTGCGGAACGTCATTTTCAACCCAAAATGTGGAGTAGCGAATGGACTGTTGGTTGGTAATCGAGATGACTGTTGGCTGCTACGGTGTTACACAGCCGATGTACGCCGTTCCAAGGTCGTGCCCAGTAAGATGAAATTCACCGCATCGATGCTCGTAGGTGAAGTATGCGCGCACCGTGTAGATCGTCAGGCTTGGCGATGAAACTTGCTTCTAGACACTAATTGCAACTTAACGCGGTTGTCACTTCGAAGTTTTCAAAGTCACAATAGAATGTCGGACGAACCAGTTCGGACAGGCGTGAGATCGGGCGGATAACGGTTCGGATTTTGTTCTCGTTCTACTCTTCTTCCGAGTCTGTGGAGATGTTGTGGGCCATGACCGCCACGGGGTCGGAGTCGAGAATTCCCGGAGATACTCCACGCGTTTACCTGCTACGTCATACGGATCCATTCGAAAAGAAAATGCTTACCACGGGGTATGGAACGAAAAACGTGTAGCGACAGGGTGTAAGGACACTTGCAGAATAGCAGTCCAATAGTCTGACTGACAGGAGCGAGGCATAACCACGATATCCCCGCAATGCGCTCGAACCGTTGACCCCAGCTTTTCCTTTTCCCTTATCATTAGAACCTTGGAAAGGGTCTACATACAGGAAACTGAAGCCGACCCTTGTGTATTCTTCAACGGTGAAGCACCGGCTGTACCTTCCCTTTCAATCCAAAACATCATACGATTTTCTTAAGTTTCTCACTACCACAGCCAACACCACGGTGAAAGTCGCCAAATATTTGCTATACGAATCAGCACTCAATAGCAAGCCAGCAACTGACTACGAGCTCCCAACGACCAACGACCTCTCAAATCCATCAATCCCCCTCCACACACTCTGACCAACCACGCGAACCGTGCCACCATCCGACATACCGTCACACACATTAAACGAACTACCTATGAAACCGCACCGGCGCCCCAAAAAGTCATCCCACACATACCCAAACCGGCAACTTTGCTTCTAAACCGTTGATTCCAGCTGCGAAACACGGGTGCAGTACCCGACCACTACTCACCTCAGCCCCGAAATCCTGACAAAGAGGTAACAAAAGCACCATACCGGGAAATGTGTGGGTAAGCAGTTTTTTGGCCGGTCCGGATCGGGCACACTATAGGTGCCAATCCGGGTGTCTCGGCTTTGGGTGGATTTAAGTATGGTGTGATCGGCAATTTTGATTACGAGATGCACGGCGCATGGGGGTGATGAGGACGGTGGAAGGTGCCGGTCTTGCGCCCGCGAGAGGAGAGAATAGTATGTAGAAAAAGATTATCGTGGAGAGGAGGGAATGTATGTGTGTGCCTCTCTTTGACCAGTACACCACCGTCTGCAAGCAAACCTGCATCGGGAGTTACGCGGAAAAGCCAGCCCAGCGCAATGTCTCGGGTGCGTTGTATGTGTCTCGAGTGCCTACTGTTTTGGGTAAGTTTAGAGTCGAGGTGTGGAAAGTAGGCGTCTCACACGGCTACGATTCCCGCGATATAAGGTTTGGGGGTGTGGCTTGGTGTACCACGGACCGGCCGTGTGGTGGGTGGTGGAGGCTGGGTGCTGTGGCGGACGGATGTTGTGTGCCAAGATGGGTTTTGGGGGTAGATAAGGATTTTACGGTGTGTGAATAGTAGCTGTTTGTTCGCGAAGGGCGGTTTTGTTCAAGTCGGTGTGGTGAGAATCGGTGGGAGTGGTGTGGCTATGCGCCTTGCCGAATTATACAAGCTCGACTAAGGTTATGTGTGCACATGTTGAATGATTATATTCACACTATGTAAACCCGTTCAATCGTGTCAAGGTATCGTAATTTTCGTTCTACATCTGCTACAAAGTCTTATCACTCTGGGTTATCGCCCTTCCAAGGCTTAGCAAGGTTGAACCTGTGCGCCTTTTTCGCAACAGCAGGTTTCTCAGGTTGTTGTCTATGCCTGGCCTTCTCCATCATGCTTTTGAGCTCCAAATTTGCACCGAATAGCTTAGATTGTTCTTGAGATTGGAAGCCGACTGGAGACTCAGTAGGCTCGATAAGACCCATTTGCTCTTGAAGTTTACGGTATTGAACCTCGGGGTCTCGCAGATTGGTTTTGGTAGCGGTAGAAAAGCGCGTGGGCCGAATGCTACGCTGTAGCAACTCCTCACTATCAGTGGCCTCGGTGATGGGAGGTGGGCTGGATGGCTCTTCGGGAATGACTGACTCGTTTGGCAGAGAGCCAAGTACATGGTTTTTTGCACTTGTCATGTCAGGCGCAGTCGACTGGAATTCGCCCACTGTTGCTGCATTAACATCGGAGGATTCAAACTGCGGTGGTTGCCATCTCGAATGCTCCCCTTTCGCCTCTCTCTCTATTTTCTCTTGTGCTCTCATCTCTTTATGGCGTCTACTCTCCTCCAGTGTGTGTACCAGTTGCGGCCTATCGACTACTGTAGCCAATGCTCTCATCATGTCAGGGTCCATTTCTTGCTCAGCTTCGATATGGCCCAGAATGTCGCCTATACGGTCCACCATTTGAGCCTTGGCATATCCTCTCAGCAAGATCCCGTACGTGTACTGATCCGGTTCAATACCCTTGCTACGCATGATCTCAAACACACGCTCAGCTGCCTGTATCTGCTTCGTTTTGGAGAAAGCCTGCATGAATATATTCCAACTGTATACGTTGGGCTTCGCTGGGCCATCTGTCATGTCTCTAATAGCCTGAGACGCACTTGCGAACTGCTGCTTCTGACAGAAAGCAAGAAGGAAGGCGTTCCAAATGGTTGGATTTTTGACTAGCGCTTTGAAGGCTGGATCGTGGGCTACTTCGACGTACGACTTGAACTTCTCATACAGGTTTAAGACTCGTCGGTCGCTTATGGCCAGCGCTGATTCGATTTCGATTTGTAGCATAATGTACAATGCTACCGGAGGGGCGGTGAGAAGCGTGTATTCTGGCGTGGATGAGTTTTGCGAGTAAATGGTATCTCTCAAGTCGTTAGTCCCATGGTTTGCAAAGACCTCTAACGGTGCCACGGAGAAGAGTTCGGAATAGGCATGCCACAATAGGGCTGAGCTGCGCTCGGGGTTATTGTCCGCCCGATGAGACGCATACAAGTAATAGAGGTAGTCCGTTGCTAGCCAAGGGTCCTTGATTTCTTTAGCTACACCGGCACAATGTTGGGCGAAAGTCCTGAACATCTCTGGGTTGCTTTGCAAGGTACATCCGTGGAGGAGGATCGAGTATGTATGTTTGTCCGGCTTCAGCCCATTGGTTTCCAATGTGTTGAACACCTTGAAAGCAGTAGTGTAGTCTCCAGCTTCCATTGCATTATTCATGACAATGTTGTAAAGAAGGATATCCATCTTAATTCCCAAGCGCACCAAAGTGGCAACAACTAAAGGGGTCTGGTGGAAATCATGGTTGGTACTCGTACTCTTACGAAGTATGGTAGCGCACGTCCACCGGAGTCTTAATTCTTCGACCATAGACTCCCATACTTCAGTGGTGCGTCTCGCTTTAAACTCCTCAAGACATCTTAAAGCATACTGTACTTCGCCAGCCTCACCAAATGCGCTCGCATAGTGCAACACTGTATCGAAGAACATGGCCGTGTTGTGTCTGATCAAACAGTCGAATACCTTCTTTAGGTCCTGTATCTCGGCTAGCCCAACCAGGTTGTAAAGTAGATCCTGAGAACAGACTTCATGCTGGGCAGCCAACGCCTGCTCGTATATGTGTACAAATGCAGGCACAAATATCCGCTTGTGTACTGATGAATCGGTGCCCCAGCCCTGATTGACGAGATATAGCTTTTTGGTATGGATATTGGACAGGTGGCCGAGAGCATCCGCAATAGCTTCGGTTTTCTGGCCTCGTAGAAGCGGATCATTGGCCATGACTTGTATGAAGCGCAAAGCGCGACCCGGCTTACGGTCCAGTAGGTATATGAGCAACCGTCGGGCGTAGAATCTCCTGGTCCCGACATCGAATTCCATCCATTTCTTCCAGACTTCATGTGAGCCAACTGGCACACCACGCGGAAACAGCTTGAGGCTCAAGTGGACACATCGGGTATCGTGTTTCATAACCACCCTTCGCGCATGTCGTCGTAGAGTTGTGTAAATGGTCCGGTCGAGCGCCGCGAATGTCGCATTGAGCCCGAGGTGTCCTTTCAAAGCATCGGAAGCCCTAGTCAAATCCAACTTATTCGAGTCCCAACGCCGCAGGTTCAATATGCGACGTGTAAGAGACCTGTACTGGCCTCGTTTCATTCGCGCTTTCACCGAAACGTTGGATGGTAATCTGCGGAGGTAATTGTGGAGTCGTGTTTGTTCTAGAGCAAGCGCTTCTAGGCGTTTCGAGGCACGCATATGTCTATGTCGAAGAAGACCTGCTGAGCTACGAGCCTCAGGTGCTCGCACATTTCTGCGTTGTGACGATCTAGTTGCGCCACTACGATGGCGGGGCGTCGTGGCGTAGGATCGGACATGCTGGCGAGCCCAAGTAAACATGTCGGAATAGAGGCAATTCACCGGGCTCCAAGCATTTACATGGTTTCGCTGGTAGCTGAACATCTGTGAGAGCCCCGCAGCAAAGCTCTCTTGTCTTGGTCGGTGATAATGCGGTACCCGGGTTTCTTGATGAACTGCCTGAGCGTCATCGCGCCCTGAAATTGAGATTTTTCCTATACGTGCGGCTTTCTTCTCCTCCTCTTTCTGTACTGCATCGCTGCTTCCATTTCGTGACGCAGTGCGAGATGCGACGAAGACTCTCGGCGCAAGAAACGGAAGAGAAATAAGGTCCGCGCTGGCGATGAGGCTAGCATTGGGGACGCGGACACGGGGCATGGGAGGACAGAAGTGTCGCGTACTTCATCGAGCCATGGTGCTTTTGGCTTCAATGAGGCTGCAGTTGGCTATGAGCCACGCGAAAACTTGAGAAAGTGCGTTGTTGGTAGGCTGCGCTAACCGGAGAAGATCTTCAACCTCCGAGCTCTCAACACTCACGACAACAACCACGACATTTGCAACAACATTTTATACGCTCAGAACCGCGCCTCTAAAAAAAGGGCCAGTCTACGCGTAGAAAAGGATTCACAGCATCACTTTCATAATCCTCCGTCTGCTCGCACATCCGCAAATTCCCCTGGCGCATACCAAAGCTCCCACTATGTCCTCACACGAAAAGCTGTCGGCAGCAGCCAACGACCGCAAATCGCGCCTTGCGCAGCTGAAGTCGCTCAAGCGCAAACAAGAGCAAATATCAGACGCGCCAGAAGCTACAGACTCACCCTCCACCCAACCTCAAATCGAGACGTCACAGGCTCTCACGCGCACAGAAGAGGAGGAGCCATCAGTAGCAACCACCTATTTGTCCGGGCGGAATTATGACCCCACGACACGGAATGTCAAGCTGGGCTTCGACAACCTACCCATCGCCGACCCCACAAACACACTAGAATACAAGGCGGAGCAATTAGCTCTCGAGACAAAGGCACAGCAGGAAGCAGATAAGGCGGAAGATAAAGGGCTGGACCTGTTCAAGTTGCAACCCAAGAAGCCGAATTGGGACCTGAAGAGGGACTTAGAACAGAAGATGAAGCCACTGCACGTACAAACTGACAACGCCATCGCAAAGCTAGTTAGGGAGAGAGTGGAAGCGCAAAAGGCCATACGAGAGAAGCAGCCGTCAGATGGCAGTAACGGAGAAGAAGTGGGCATGGAAGGAAGTGAGCTGGTCGAAGCTATGCACCTGAAGGAGCAAGAGGAAGAGCGCGAAAGGAAACGAGACGAAGAGGATGAGGATGTGAGCTGAGAATATAAAACCGTCTGAGATCAACTATAAGATACCGATCTGAGCAATACCGAATTGCGGAGCCGTGTGCGGAACACAAACTTGAAGTCCTTCGGGCTCAGGCAGAGCGTGGAATAGAGGCATAGAACGCGATTCGACAGAGAAAAAGCAGGGAATACGCTTGAGAGAAGCATGCAGGATATCTAATGCCAACATTTCAGACACTGCGATCTAGTACACACGTCTACAATCCTGTAGTTTCAAACAGAAAGCACTCAAAGATATGCACACTTTCTCAAACCGTCCACACACATCTGTCAGCTTATTACCGTTCCCTCTGCTATTCCACAGCAAACATACAAACATACGACAGTAGGGTTTTCCTAGTCGCCCACATCATTACTAATCCGCCAGTACCTTGCTCAATAGGACTAGGCGAATAGGAGACCTAACTTTGCCCCACGCGACTACTGAGATGTTTCTTAATTTTCTTGCATCCGGTGGTCCGGACGGCTTACTCTAATGGATATAGACTACTAGCATACTGACTGGTATTGGTGGTTCCGAGATTACTCCGGTACTGGCGCTTAGTTTCCTCTGGTATGGACGCCTGAAGCACAAGGCACACATGAGACTCGCTGCTGGTCACCTACACCTACCTAAATCCGCTAGTATACTATATGGCTTATCTATCGCTAAGCTTGGCGCTTTGCTTAGCTTGACTGCGAAGTGGCCTTGAATGGGTGCGCTGCCTTAAACTTGTCGTCTCGCAACATACAGTAGGGTGACAAAAAGAAAACAACATTAAAAAAGCTACCTTTTTTAAAGCTATATATCTAGACAACTAGACTAGCTAGAACTATAATTTTTAGTGTTTTGGAAAGCTAAGAACTCCCTCTTGAGGTGAGCGTCCTAATATACCTGCTTAGTAAGCACTTAGGAGAAGATAAGTAGCAGTAAATATAAAGATAAAAAATATCCTAGTTTAATGCAGCTACAACTTTTTAGTGAGCGTATAAAAAGTTCTAAAAAAAATTTATGTGATACTAGCTGTTGGGAATCGAACCTGCGGTAGATAAGGCAGCTGGTTGCTGCATGCACGAGCTTGGATTACACGGCTGACTAAGCCGTGTGGTCCGAGCTCTAGCTGCTGCCTTACTGCCGACCTCCCTCCACCTCCATAGAACAACAAGAACAATCACAATCATTTCAACTCGTTGCAACGAAGGTGATTCCGATACCTTAGCCGTATCAACACTGATCAGTGGTTGCTACACCACAGATCGGCTAGATATCTGACAAGGAGACCCATCAGCTCTTTTGCTGTGTAGTCTTGGCCAAGAAGCGACTCCTCCTACCTCACAGTAGCAAGGAGTGCGAAGTACAGCACCGCCCGCAGAGACTACCTATCAAGGTAGCGCTTTCGCCGACAGTCCTGAAGGAGATCTTGAACGAAAAGATCTGCGTCAACCACGCACAAAAACAACTGACAACGCCTGCAACTAACAGCAAACAATCGACTGACTTCAGCACCATGGCACCATACAAGAGCGTCAAGTACCGATCGTGGTACTCCGAGATGCACAAGAGTGAGTATGTCAACGCGGAACTCGACCCGACCGACACAGTCATAAACACCGACAAACTGAACACTGTCGTCCTCGATTGGGTCGTCCAAGTTGAAGACGATGGACAGTTCGACCTCTTCATCCTCCAGGAGTTCCAAAAGTCCTTCGAGGATTGGACTCAAGATATCATAAGTGCGGTCGACGTGCGGCTCCGGAAAGCAGTCAAGGAATTGCTCCGACACCGAGGGATTTACATCCAGATCAACAGTCGTGACACAGTAATAACGCAACTGTACAACCTCCTCCATCTCTCGTCGTGCCCGATATGGCCTGACGACGAGCTTGAGCTTATGCGACTCGTCGACGGTTTCAAGTGTCGACAGCTCACAAACAGCAACTACAGTTACCCTAACCCTCCGCAGCCACCAACAGGATACCCACAAGCACAGTACTCACCGTCGCCAGCTCAACTCAACGTGACAGCACTCACAAACCTCGCGAAGCTGTACAATAACAACGATAAGTTCAGTGGTGACAAGTATGACGTGCTCAGTCACAAACTGGTCATCTTTCGAGAGCTTTGCGCCAAAGTCGGCATTCAACCTGGCCAAACTGACCGCTACAAGCTAGCCATCTCCACTATGCTTACTGGCAAAGCGTCAACTTACTACTACCAATCTATCGCTCCACTTGACCTTGGATACGAAGACATCATCGCGAAACTGGGCGCCTACTTCCACACTACCGAGAACTACCAGTTGTTCTTGAACGAATGGCGCACCATTATGCTAAAGGACGTCATCGCAAGTAATCCTGACAAGACAATTGCGCAATGCCTTGACTTGCTCATCGACAAGCTCCACAAGCTGTACCAAGCGATGGCTCAGCAGAATGGACTCAGCGAGTCAAGCCTCACCGGACAACTTGTGTCAGCATGCCAGGGTGTCGAAGCCTGCAGCGCAGTCCTGATCCGACCTGCGTCGACCTTTGAAGCAGTCGCTTCAGAGCTCCGCAACGCCGTCGGTAACTGGCAACGCTGTCACCCGCATGCTCGAACGCAGTTCAACTATGACAATGAACAGACAGACGATGACATCTTCTACACAAACCGACGATACAACCGAAACGACGAACCTCGCGACAGACCCCGAGGCTATGGCACCGGTCGCTTCAACCGCGGACCGACGCTGTCACGACCGCGATACCCTCCCCGCCGCTCGCACGATAAAAAGTGCTATGTGTGCGGCAAACAAGGATGCTGGTCAACGCGACATTCACACGAGGAGCGCAATGAGTCGCACCAACGCTTCAAGACTTATGTCCAAAACCACGATCTCGATGACGACTACGACGTGTTCCTCGCCGGATTCGAAGGCATCGAGCTTCATGACGAGGCAGAGGACGACGACGGCAACCGCGTTGATGACCTCGATGCGTACTTCCAACATGAACAATTCAACACCGCTGCTTGCGGAACCATCGACGGGCAAGCGCTCACCATCAACCTCAACGACGCCGCGGCGACCCACGCGATCACTGGGATCGACCCATACGCGTCGGAGACTGCAAAGGAGGCACCCCACATGTTCACCTTCGATCACCGATATGGTGCTCACTGTTTCCAAGGCATCATGCCCGACACCGGCGCGGCCGGAGTCTCCACTGCAGGAAAGACCCAGGTCATGGCACTGCAACGCCTCCAGCCATCGGCCACGATCAATGAGTCCACGGCAGGTCGCCACCGAATTCGATTTGGAGATAACCCAGAGTGTCTCTCACTTGGCGAGGTGAAGGTCAAAACCCCGCTCGGCGTTATACTTTTTGCGGTGATGCCGACCAACACGCCTTTCTTGCTGTGCCTTGCAGACATGGACCGCCACGGGATCTACCTCAACAATGTTGACAACGTGCTTGTACACGAGTCACGGGAGTACCCCATTGTGCGCAAATGGGGACACCCATGGCTCCTGCTCGACGACCAAGAGACCGCGACGCACTACCTCACCGAGGTAGAGCTTGCGCAACTCCATCGGCGCTTTGGTCATCCAGCTGCGGGACGACTCTACAAGGTCCTCGCGAGAGCAGGTTATGACGAAGTCGATGCGGCGACCATCGAAAAGATCAACAAGTTCTGTCACCAATGTCAGATTACTGGCAAGGCGCCAGGACGATTTCGGTTTACCCTCCGCGACGATATCAACTTCAACTATCGACTTATCGTCGACGTGATGTACATTAATCAGAGGCCAGTACTTCATGCTATTGACGAAGCAACTGCCTTCCAAGCAGCGCGCTTTCTCACCGACATGAAAGCAAGCACAACATGGGACACACTCCGCGCCATGTGGATCGATATGTACGTTGGTCCGCCTGATGTCATAGCCACCGACGCTGGCAAGAACTTTGCGAGCGAGGAGTTTGTCAACAATGCAAAGACAATGGCCATCGAGGTTGACGAGGTGCCTGTCGAGGCGCATAACTCCATCGGCAAGGTGGAGCGGTACCATGCGGCCATCCGCCGTGCCTTCGAAGTCATCTCCGCCGACATAGACAGCGACACGTCATCTGAACACCTCCTCCAGATGGCTGTGAAAGCCGTCAACGACACTGCTGGTCCAGATGGCCTTGTGCCTACTCTCCTCGTCTTTGGCACCTACCCCCGCCTATCCAAGACATCGCCGCCATCACCATCCATCAGCGCGCGCGCGAAAGCGATAAAGAACGCGATGGCGGAGGTCCGCAAGATCAAAGCAAAACGCCAGGTGAACGACGCACTTGCGACACGCAACGGACCGAACGTCATTGAAACGCTTCAGCTCCCGATCCAGAGCAGCGTAAAGGTTTGGCGCGAGAACCGCGGTTGGACTGGTCCCCATACCCTCATCGCCATGAACGACGACCTAACCGCCGCGATTGTCGACGTCGACGGCAGGCAGGCGACATTTCGAGTCACATCGGTGCAGCCATACCACCGCAACAACTCCACCGTTATCCCGCGCGACGACGACGACAACGACAATTGCGGGGATGCGGACGATGACGAGTTTATCCCAGAGACAGAAGTTCCACCTCCACGAAAGCGCGGTCGCCCCAAAGGCTCCAAAAACAAGCCAAAACCAGCTCCCATCGAGACCAACGACGTCAACCTCACGCAACGCGAGGAGGACGACTTAGTGCTGTCCAGGAAGCTGCGTGCCACTGGCAAGATCACAACCCTAGGCGAACCATTCGAACTATCCACCAAGGCAGAGATTGACGCGCTGATCACTCGCGGAGTGTTCCGCTTCGAGGAGTATGACCCTCAGCGCCATGGTGGCATCCGCGTCTTTAAGTCACGGATTGTCAACGAGGTCAAAGGCAAAACTACCACTAAGCCGTACGAGAAATCGCGCCTCGTTGTTCAGGGTTATGCCGATGATGGAAAACGGATTGTGCTCACACAAAGCCCGACGATCCAGCGCGCCAGTCAGCGCATTATTATCGCGCTTGCACCCTCACTGCTTCAAATGGGCATGACGCTATGGCTTCGAGATATCACGCAGGCGTACACGCAAGCCGATGACCATCTCCAGCGCACGATCATCGCGGATCTTCCCACGCAACTCCGCGATGCCTACCCCAAAGGCACCATCATGGTGGTCGTGAAGCCGCTGTACGGCATCGCCGAGGCAGGAGCGTACTGGTGGTCAACCTACTTCAAACACCATACCACGACACTCGGGATGGAAACATCAACCTATGACCCGTGCCTCTTAATCACCAAGCCAACGGCGTTAGGCTTTGGTATTGTCGGCATGCAAACTGATGACACGCTCGGTCTGTCCGATGACGTGTTTGCCAATAAGGAGAGCAAGGAGCTGCGCTTCAGCGCCAAAGAGAAGCAGTTTCTTACTACTAACAACCCTATCGACTTTAACGGGTGCGTCGTTAGTCTCACAACAGACGGCGTGATCACACTACGCCAAAAGAAACAAGGTGAGAAACTGGAGATCGCAACTGACAAGAAGACGTACATTCAACAACGCGCACGTGGCGCTTACATCGCGACAATCTGTCAACCCGAAGCAAGCTTCGACCTCGCCGCTGCTGCGCAAGCGAGTGAGCCTACAAAAGAAGAAATATCCAAGTTAAACAAACGCATCGAATGGCAAAAGAAGAACCTCTGCCATGGGTTGACCTACGTACCTCTGGACATACGCAACCTCAAGCTGTTTACCCTAGTCGACGCGTCCTTTGCCAACAACAAGGATATGAGCTCCCAGATGGGATTCGTCATCGTACTCGGCAATGAAGTCACCTCAAGCGACACAAACTTCGGGATACGTGGCAACATCGTCCACTGGTCCTCAGTCAAATGCAAGCGGATCACCAGGAGCGTCCTCGCCTCCGAGATCTACGCGATGGCGCACGGCGTAGATATCGCAGTCGCGATCGGCGGCACCATTGATATGGTCAGACTTTCCAACAAGCAAGTAAAGCAAGTCACCGCTCTAAACTTGACTTGCTTGGTTCAAACATAGGCTTTACTTGACTTGCTTGGGGTGATTTTTTTACTTGCTTGACTTGCTTGTATTACTTGCAAGTACTTGGATTACTTGACTACTACAAAGAGATTAAGCTACATACAAATTACCAAAACTCAGTGTTCCACTCTAGTATGTTGTAATCTCCTACAAGCTGCTCATCTGAAAGCTTAGCCTCGCTACAGTTGTACGGTTTATAACCAGCTCGCACCCATGACCTTACTAATTGAAGAGCTGCGAGTAGCTCACTGCCCAGAGCACGTCGTTTAGGTTCAAGAAGGTCGCCAAGCTCACTGAAGAGGCGCTCACAGTCGCTGCTTGATGCTGGGATAGTCATGATATCGATTGCAAACTGCGCTAAATGCGGGTATTTCGGCAGTAGTTGTATCCAGTATTGGACAGGATTTCCATCTGCGTTGTACTGCTCCTGCGTCCACTGCGGCTCTTGTGTTTTCCAGCGCTCAAACTCGTCAAGTGGAGCCTCTCGGTCATTGTTGCGGCTAAGTATAGCAATAATTGCCTCGTCTATGTTGTTGCTACTCGGCGCAGTTGTATACCGCTGGCGTGCTCGTTGAGGTTTGTATGCCGCCCAAAGCTGTTGGAACGACGCGTTGGCACTAGTAAGCCAATCAGCTTTGTCTGCCCACGCCACATCGCAGTAGTTCTTGTAGTACGGGTGTAGGCAAACAGCGGCGTAGTAAGCGGGCGAGTCGTCGAGCTTGTTGTAGTAGTCGTTGGCTTTGCTCCACGCGGCGCGGAGGTTGACGTTGAGGTGATCCTCTGGAGCCTCGGCATGAGCGTTGAAGTCGACGTGCTCGAACGGGCGCGCCCGGGCCTCAAGCTTGCTGAGTACGTACTCAAAAACGGGTATAACCTCATAGATTGCGCCGTATTTGCCATCCTTAGAGCGTCCCTCGAGGCGTTTTGTGGCGTACTTGAGCGGCTCTAAGCAGTCCTGGTACTCTGCAATCACCGCCCAGTCAGCAGCTCGGAGCCCAGTTGATCTCATCCAGTTTGGGGCGTCGGGCCGCTTATTATTCCGCTGCGCAGCGTGCGCATCTTCAAGGATAACCCTATTGATATGATGCTCAGCGTACAAGTTATACGCGGCTTGAAGCTTGGTAGCGCGCTCAAAAGCAGCATAGTATGAGTTCCAGCGAGTGACGACAGGCTTGACTGGCTCGAGTACTTTGAGACGCCCTTCAGCAGGCAGGTTGTTGTTGGCAAGGCGCTGGTAGCCACGAAAAAGCTCGTACTGTTGCGGCGTTTTGATATAGTTGATGACGTCAACTAGCACTCCAATAGGGCCATCTTTCCGCCACTCTCGCATATACTGCTCCTCGGTATTGTACTGCTCTTGAGTGTTGCCGTAGGCGTCTTTGTTGGTGCCAAATATAATAGCCTGGCCGATGAGGTTAAGCGTGTGACAACTGCAGCGGAGGCGCCGGTGAGCGGACTCAAATTCGTACTCGCGCGCGAGCGCGGCGATCGCAGTGTCGTTGTTGGTAGCGTTGTCGAGTACAAAATAGCCTAATCGGTCGCTTGTTATTCCGTATGCTGAGAGCGTCGTCGAGATAGCTTTGGCAATAGCCTCACCGGTGTGGGCGCCAGCGAGCTCAGGCAGATCGATTGGTAAGTCTCGTATTATTCCAGCTGCGTCGGCAAAGTGAGCGACTACTCCAGAGAAGCCACGTTTACCACCCTTTGTTGTCCAGCCATCAAAGCTTACGTGTATTTTGCTTACTGAGCCTGACAGGGTGTCGATAACTTGCGGTCGTATAGACCGGAACAACCTCATCACAAAGGTAGAAACGCTGGTATTACTTACCCACAACGCTGCCTCTGCCTCTGGGTTGGCAAATCTCATCATCTCTCTAAAATCAGGCGTCGTAAGTTCGCTGAGCGGGTGGTTTCGGTTAACAAGCCACATGACAGTGGCTGTTCGAAAGCCCTCTACGTCGAAGTTTCCAAACGCGTTAGCAGTGTTTTGTTGTACGTCTAAACCAGCGTCAAAAGCTTGCCGCAACGACAGCTGGCCTCGAGCTCTCTGCGCTAACTTTGGGCCATCTTTCGTAAGGTTGTGGCCAGGCTTTGGTTGGCTGAGATGGGTGGCTGCTGAGGTTGTAGCCTGAGTAATGTTAAACAAACCACCACGGCCAGCGTCGATAGTTTTGTGTACATGGCAGTACTTGCACACAAACCAGATTCGAGATGTAGCATGGCGCTCAACAACGCGGTAGCCATACTGAAAGATCCAACTTTTTGGGCGCTTAGAACGCGCCAATGGCTTGATAAAATCAGGTAAACGTGCCCAGTCAATGCCGTCAAAGTTCTCAACTAGTGCGCTGTTTGTCTCATCCTGACCACCCTCTCCAGCCTCAGTTGTAGCCACCGTGCCAGCTCGGCTGCCCTCGGTGGGCGCGACAATCTCAGCCTCCGCCTGCGACTCTAAGAACTGCAACTCGAAGGTAGGTATTGGCGGCGAGGCGTTAGCCTGGCTTGCGGCAGCTAGGGTTTTGCGAGGTGATCGACGCTGAGGTCTAGGCTTAGATGCAGGCTTAGATGCAGGCTCAGGTGAAGCCTCAGGAGTTGAGGCGACGTTGTTGGTGGCAGCGGCTACTTTCGTACGTTTGCTCCGAGCAGAAGTTTGTGGTAGGCGACGTTTGGCCATATTGGGGGTATCAGGGCAGTATAAATCACTGGAAAACGCGTTGCTATAGGGGATACTGCATTGCGATAGGCTTCTAGACAGGCGTACGTCGAGATTGGAGCAATGCGCTAGACTAAGGCTAACGTTATTTGATAGCCGCTTAGCCTGTTTGGGACTCAACCGAGGCAACTGCAACACTTCAAAACCATCGCGACATCTACCGTACAGCAGTTTTAGCACCCTCATCACAGTAACGCTAAAACAACCAAGTAAACCAAGTAAGCCAAGCAAGCAAAGTATCTTGACTTGACTTGCTTGCTTAGCTGCCCAGCTCTTACTTGACTTGCTTGCTTGGTTTAAACCAAGCAAGTCAAGCAAGTAATCCAAGTCAACTTGCTTTTTGGAAAGTCTGGATATGGTCATGGAACGACTCAACTTACCTAAGGTCCCCATCGTGGTATGCACCGACTCGCGATCGCTATACGATTGCCTTGTCAAGCTCGGCACCACCAAGGAGAAACGCCTTATGATTGACATCATGGCAATGCGCGAAGCCTACGAGCGCAGCGAACTCATGGATATCAGATGGATCGACGGTCGCGACAACCCAGCAGACTCTATGACAAAGGCAGGTTGCAACGCCGCGATAGAGAACCTCATCAACTCTAACGAGCTCAACCTCCGAGTGCAAGGGTGGGTCAACCGTGATCGCAACACCAAGCCCACGACCGAGAGCACCGAGCTCAGCAACCTTGAAGGCACCAAGTAGTCAACGGGCACGTGTGCGCGATAACGAAGGACACAAGAGGAGGACATAAGGGCATACAGGAAGGCGTATAGCGCTAGCCGAGATAGGCAACTAGCTACATTTCGGCAGCAGGATATTATTACAGATTTGGAGGATTTGGGGACGGATCTGATCTCCCGGCACAAAAAGAAAAGATAGTCAGTGTTGGGAATCGAACCTGCGGTAGATAAGGCAGCTGGTTGCTGCATGCACGAGCTTGGATTACACGGCTGACTAAGCCGTGTGGTCCGAGCTCTAGCTGCTGCCTTACTGCCGACCTCCCTCCACCTCCATAGAACAACAAGAACAATCACAATCATTTCAACTCGTTGCAACGAAGGTGATTCCGATACCTTAGCCGTATCAACACTAGCTTATATAAGCATTACGTAAGCAAAATTAGAGCTAGGGTATTTTATTTACTTTTTTTTTAAATCAAAGTTTAAAAAAAAGGACGCTAAAAAAAAGACGCTAAGATTACGTAAGCTTCTTTTAGTCTTATTCTATATATTTTTCTCTTTCTAATCTCAATTTTTCTCTTCTATATTACCTCTCTATGTCTATTAAACTTTCGAAATTTGAAAAAGAAGTTTATACTCTATCTTTACAACAGCTATCTACTAGTGCTATTAGTACTATCCTAGAAAAGTCTTCTAGATCTATTACAGACGCTTTACAACGTATTAAGAAGAAAAAAAGTACTTCTTTACTTCTTTCTAAGCCTAAACTAGGTCGCCCTTCTAAGATCTCTAAAAGAGCTACTAGAGTAGTTAATAGAGACCTAGAACGAAGTCCTAAAAAGACAAATCAACGCATTTTAGAAAAGAACAATCTCGATTTCTCTACTAGAAGCCTACAACGCCTATTAAAAGTAGAGAAATACTCTGTTTCTACTGCTAAGAAAAAACAGCTTTTAAACGCAAAAAAAGCTGCTTTACGGAATAAATTGTTACGATTGCAAGGAGGAGGACAAGCAACAACGGCAGGACAACGTTGAAGGCGGGGCACAGCGGGTAAGCTTGTGCCGCGCAGTCACGTGACCTGCCCTCCAACCTTGGCATGACCGCCATGGAGGGCACGACCTCCACGGAGGGTGCGACCTCCATGGAGGGAAAGGCCACAATGGAGGGCACGCTTATTATATAACAGTAGGCAATGAGCCCTTACGGTTCATTGTGTTCAACTTCGAAATCTAAGGATTAGTACTTGATTCTCAACTCCCCGTATATTACATCGATCTACCAATCGTGCTATACAACCTCGTGTTCATCGCATCACTCCATCCCCGAGAACCAACCCAAGATCATCTTCGGACGACCTTCACATAAATACGCTAAGAAGACACTTAAAATTCTAAAATATATACATTTTAACAAAGTTATATTTTCAGACGAGTCTTCTATACAGCGTAGACACGGTGCTAGGCAAGAATACGTTAGAAAGAGAAGAAACAAGAGAACTGGCAAAGAACAAGTCTCTACAGCTAATTCAAGTGAGTTTAAAAAAAATCTGAAAAACTTATTTTATTCTCCTAAAAATCTAGTATTTTTCTAGTTTTTTAGATTATTTTTATCTAGCTTACTAACTAAGTTATAGCCCGAGACATTACTATCTCTGTTTGGGGAGCTATTTGGTTAGGTGGGAGATCTAAGTTATATATAACTAGAACGCCACAAGAACCGAGAAGCTTTACAAATACAAGATATATACGAGAGGTTTTAAATCCAATTCTTAAACCTCTTTTTAAAAGAGGTAAGAAAGTATTACTTTATTTACAGTTTTAAAAGACTCTAACTGTTGGTAGGCCTTGTACGATCGTACGGGTGAATAACAACAACGAGGTTCTTCTGGTGACTGGTATTGGTATTGATCTTCTACGAACATAGCTGCTACGAAGGTACACCTAAGCTCTGCGCAAGGTGGGCCGAAGTCGGGCCGAAGTGTCAAGCAGCCGACGTCTCTACCGATACTCACGATTCGACATTGGAAGTCTTTTCTTTCTGGATAGCTAGTAACTCTGCTTGTATCGGTAGTGACAGTGTGTGTAGCATCAAACATCAAAGCTTGTCGGCCTCTGCACCCATCCATCTACTCGGACTGTCAGCTTGTTGCCGTCAATAAAGCGTTCAAGAGCGCGGTTTGGCGATGCCTTCGTGAAGGCGTCAGCAGGATTATCGTCACCATTGATCCAGCGGATCTCAGTGATCTCGCGACGCTCATATGATTGACGCAGCGCCATGATGTCGATCATAAGACGCTTCTCCTTCGTTGTTCCAAGCTTAACGAGGCACTCGTACAAGGAGTACGAGTCTGTACAGACAACCAAAGGGAACCTCAGGTATTCTAAGTCGTTCTGTGACTATTCTTAAGGTAGTGGCAATAGCGATGCCTATATCAAAGCCGTTGACCATGCCATAAATCTCAGAGGCTAGTACGCTCCTTGTGACGCGCTTACATTTTGTAGAGCTGTAGTGGATTATGTTGCCTTGGATTGTGAAGGTGTTAGCGTCAATAGACTCGTTGACGAGCATGAGGACAAAGCCGAGCTGTGAGCTGAGGTCCTTGTTGTTGGCAAAGGAGCCGTCTACGAAGACCATCAACTTAGCCTCCGTGAGATTGACAGTGATGTAACGGAGGCCACGATCGAGGTTCTCTATCTGCCACTTCAGGCGCTTGTTGAGTGCCTTGATGTCCTCATCTGATGGTTGCTGCGCCTGAGCGGCGACGGACAGATCGAATGACGCCTCTGGTTGGCATGTTGATGCGATGTACGCTCCGCGGGCGCGCTGCTCTGTGTACTGTTGCGCGCGGTCGGGTGCCCTAACGTCCACAAGTTTGATCTTTCCTCCTTGTCCTTTCTGCCTAAGGTTCAGAATTGGTTTGCTAGCGTCGATCGTGAGTGTACATCCATTAAAATCCAATTGAATTTCTGGTGTAAGGACAGACTTTGGTTTCGATCTAAACTCTGCCTTCTGGATCTTTTTCTCTTCAAGTAACGAGAACGCGGGTGTCCCAAGCATGAGAGTGTCATCTGTTTGCATGCCAACGATGCCGAAGATGCTGGTGTCGCTGTTTGTGATTAACAGGCATGGGTCGTACGTAGATGTTGCCATGTCCAGTTCCTTGCAATGGTGCCCATGATAGGTTGTCCACCAGTGGACTCCTGCCTCTGCGATTCCATACAGTGGCTTGATCACATGGAGTAGCGTGCCCCTCGGATATCGTGGTACCAGCTCAGTAGGAAGATGTGCGAGTATCGTCCTCTTCAGGGTTGTCTGCGCCTGGGGATACGCCTGCGTGATATCACGGAGCTCTATGTTCATTCCGCGTTGTACCATCTCGGGCGCCAGCGACATGATCAGGCGCTGGCTGCATCGCTGGATGGTTGGAGATTGCGTCAAGATAGCCTCTTTGCCGTGGTCCTGGTAGCCTTGGATAACCAGGCGGGATTTCTCATAGGGCTTGGTTGTCTTTCCCTTGACCTCACGTACCAGGCGTGACTTGAAGATCCGGATCTTGCTGTGTAGCCTCTCGTCGTATTGCTCAAACTTGAAGACTCCACGACCTACGAGGTCGCTGATCTCTTGGTCATCAGATGCTTCAAAGGGTGCGCCTGGTGTTGTGATAACTCCATCGTTACGTAGCTTGATAGCTAGCTCAAGATCGTCCTGCTCCTTCTTGGTGATGTACGCGTGCCCCTTCCGCTTGTTCTTTGATCCTGGAGGGCGGCCTCTCTTGCGTGGTTGCACTGCCGGTGGTACTGCTACCGGCTCATGCGGCTCATTCAGCGCGTGTGGCGCATCGGGGTCGCTCCAAAGATGGTCCGGTCTGTAGTATGGCTTGACGACAGTAGATCTGAATGTTGTTGGACCATTGACCATATCGACAGTAACGTTGTGGCCGTCTATACTGGCGATCTTGTACGGGCCATTCCAGCCATCACTCTCTCTCCATACTAAGACTTCACTCTGGAGTGGGAGCGCGAGCATGTCTGCAGTGGCTGGTCCATTGCGGGTGTTCAAGGCGTCTGCAACTTGGCGCTCTGCAGTAAGCTTGCGCAGGGCTTTCGTCGCCTTTTGAATAGCCTCGCTGCGCCTAACCATTGAAGGTGCCGGCGGCGACTCTGTAGTCATTCGTGGGTATGCTCCAAAGACTAGTAGAGTCGGGACTAGACCATCGGGTCCAGCGGTGTCATTGACAGCTTTCACGGCCATTTGAAGGATCGCTTCATCAGACATATCGTCTTGGAGCTCGTCATGGAGTATATCCCATGCTCGGCGAAGTGGTGCGTGGTATCTCTCAGTCTTGCCCACCGACCAGTGAGCCTCTGTAGGCACCTGCTTGCATGTAACTCCCATGATCTTTGCCTCAGCACGGAACTCTGCGCTTGCAAAGTTGGTGCCTGCATCATGTGTGATGATGTCTGGTGGTCCTTGATACGTGTCGATCCATAGCATCCGCAGTGCCTGCCATGTCTCCTTAGCTGAGATAGCGCTGAGGAATTTTGCGCCTTGGAAAGCAGTTGAAGAATCAACCACATGTAATACTGGCTTGCCGCTGAGATACATCACATCCACCAGGATCTCATAGTTGAAGTGGTGATCATCCTTCAGAGTGAATTTGAATCGGCGCGGCGCGGAGCTGTGGAGCTGGCAGTGGTGGCAGAATTCAGTGACCTCCTCTAGGGTTCTCTCTTCAAAGTCGTTATGGCCAGCGTCCTTTAAGAGTTTAACTAGTCGCGTGACAGCTGGGTGTCCAAACCGGCGATGGAGCCGTCTCAGCTCTGTCTCAGTGAGAAACACCGTTGCTCTCTCTCTCTTGTTGAGATGGAACCATGGGTGTCCCCATTTGCGTAGAACAGGGATGCGTATCTTGTCCTGAACAAGCTCATCTGTAGTGTTATTGAAGTAGACTTTTAAGCGGTCCATATCTGCAAGGCACAGCAAGAACGGTGTAGGCGCCTCGAGCACTTCGAAGTTGATCTTCCCAATCTCTGTAGAGACCTGCACTGTTCCAATAGACGCTGTAGCCTCGCCTTTTCCGAATTTGATAGATGCTTTCCCAGCTGTAGATGTGTCTATCTTAACTGTTGGATCTTCTCGTGTGAGTGCAAGATACTGCTCTTTGCCAACTGTAGATACGTTGGCAGCGCCTGTATCCGGGAGGATACCTTGGTACAGAGATCGTGTATAGCGGTCCTCGAGCAGAAACTGCGACGCTGGTGCTGACGGCGCGCCTCGACCGTATATGTCGTCGCCAGAAATGTGATGCAAGAACGCCTGGTCTGCAAGGCATTGCTCCTTGAAGAACTGCTGCTCAAAGTATTGTTGTTCGCCAGTGCCGTCGTCATTGTCGTCATCCTCGCAGTCTTCCTCCTCTTTCCAGCCTCTCTGGTTATACTGGCTGGTGTGCTCAATTCCTTCGTACTCTGCAAGGTGTACTGAGAAGTCCTTGGGTGGTGGCGCACCTGTAAAATACAGCATAGAGAAGAACTGCGCACGGGCAGTCTTGCGCTCTTCGTCTGTGTGGTTTGTGGACCAGCATCCTTCCTTCTGGCAGACAAAGCACTTCTTCTTCCAGCGTGGCTTGAATCCACGGCTACTGTCAAAGCTTTGTTCGCCTTTTTGAAATGCGCCTCTAGTTCCGCCTCGGGACCCACCTCGGTTTCTTCCATTGCTGTTGTACCGGCGGTCTAAGTAGTACTGGTTACCTTGGTCTACCTCTGTGAAGTTGACAGAGGTAGTCATAGCGAGTGAGTTTTCAATCGAAGATCGTAGATCTCCAAATAGGACCTCGCATTCTAGAGACGGCCTGTAGAGCGCCATTGCGAACTCTTTAACGCCTCGACATGCTGTGATTACTGTGGTCCGGAGCGCATATTCTCCCATATACTGCTGCCCAAGCGCCCTCTGGCATAACTGGAGTTTGTCTAGCATAATGTCAAGGACCTCATGGAGTGTCTTGTCAGGATTCTCCCTATGGACTTTAGCAAAGGATGTCGTCGTCCAGTCTGCATAGTAGTGACTGTGGTTGACGTCCGTGTCGAAGTGGTTCTTAAGCTTCGTGTATACAGTCAAGAATGTATCTGTCCGCTGATCAACGAAGTGGAGGTAGTAGTCTTGCGCACGGCCTTCCAGGATCCGTGGAAAGACTGCATGGAATTGGTCTGGCTGGATGTCTACGTGATAGCAGATGCTGTAGAAGATCTTCAATTTGTCGTCTAGGAGGTCGTACGGCTTCCCTGTGTATTTCTTCTCACGATCCCACATCTTTGTAAAGACATTGATTGTCTTCGGATCTAGTTTCCCATTATTAAACTCGATTGGGGGAACTGCCTTGTATGGGTCTGTATCCCCTGAAGGTATAATTGGAGGGACGCTCGGTCCCTTTGGGCGTTGTGGGTATGCTGGCGTGTATTCGCGGAATCTGTCAAAGTTGTTGTACGTTAAGCGAGGTTGATGACTTTGCTGTCGCTGGTCCGCCTGGTGTCGCCCGTCTGCCTGTGGTGTCTGTTCAATTGTCTCTACAAGCGGATCTGCTAGTTGTTGGCTGACCTGGGTACGGGTGCGGGTCTCGTCTTGGACATCGGTTTGTTGATCCTCTGCGTCTTGGTCTCTTGACCTTGCAGAGGTTTGGCTCTGCGCTCGACTCGCTGTCCCTACGTTTGTAGGTTGTACCGATCCCGTAGTGTGTCGTCCTAGTAGCCTCCGCTGTTGCAGCATATACGCCGCTGACCGCTCGTCGAAGGCAGTAGATTGGAACTGATCGTCCGGCCACTTCGGACAATCCTCCTTGTGCAGTAGCTTGGCCACAGCTTCGCTTGGCGGCATGTTAACACGGCCAGTGTACACGCCCTTAAAGCGGAGGATCCGCTTTAGTTCCTTAGTATACGTTGCATGCGCGCGCATAAACATAGCTTCAGTCCAGCCTTCAAAGTCCTGACAGAACTCACCAAAGAGCTCTGCGTCTGCTGTTGGCCGGTCTGTGTAGTCTGCGATCGCACGCGCAATGTACGTTGTTGCTGCAGTTCCGTCTACCTCGTCGTCTGGGGCTTCGATCTCATCGTCCCAGATCTTTGGATCAATGTGACGCCACTCTCTTGCCTTTAGGTTTGTGGTCCCTAGCAACTCCTCTCGTGTGAGTGTACAGCCTCCATTACTGCTTGCTGTTTCGCTCGCCATTTGTTGTTGACGCGTGCCGTGCTGGCTGCGTTCGCCAGGGATACGTCGGTTGTCGTAGATTGTTGACGTGTGCCTTGCTGGCTGCGTTCGCCAGGGACTCGTCGGTAGTCGTGGGTTGTACACGGGTCAATGGCGCGACCAAGTGGGGGTCGGTGCGTGTATGGACTGCGTCTGGGAACGCTCTGATACGGCTGGAACGGTCGGTCTCAAGCCGGATGAGACGCCTGATACAGCTAACAGTGAACTTAGCACAGATAACTCCGCCGCTGATATAGGCGATCTAGGGAACGCGCGGGGTTATAGGATCTGTCTCTTCTAACCTAACTGTCTGTGACTGCCATGCAATCACTGATCAGTGTTGGTAGGCCTTGTACGATCGTACGGGTGAATAACAACAACGAGGTTCTTCTGGTGACTGGTATTGGTATTGATCTTCTACGAACATAGCTGCTACGAAGGTACACCTAAGCTCTGCGCAAGGTGGGCCGAAGTCGGGCCGAAGTGTCAAGCAGCCGACGTCTCTACCGATACTCACGATTCGACACTAACTAAGTTATTTTTTATTCTTTTTCAAAACTTCTTTTAGATATGGAAAGCTGACATTCTTTTCTATCTAGGGTGGAAATTTCAGCAAGACAACGCCAAGATTCATAAAACGCCAGCAGTTATTTCTTGGTTTTCAAGAAATAGGATTCCTCTTTTTGAGCATCCTACCTATAGCCCAGATCTAAATCCTATCGAAAACGTTTGGAGTCTACTTAAAAATAGACTAGTTAGAAGATCTACTGCCTCTTTAGGCGTAGGTCAAAGTATAAAGGCAGTAGAATTGTTTAAAAAAGCAATTTTGGAAGAGTGGGAGCAAATACCGCAAGAGGCAATAGATAACGTGGTTGGCAAGCGAGTCGGTCAGACAAGCGAGTCGGTCACCCCACCAACTTTTGCAACTTTAAAGCGATATATCTCAACAACACGATAATATTATTGCTAGATATTGATATAGTAGACTACTCTATATTAATAGTATTAGTGTTGCATGTGCGCGAGTTGTGCCCGGTCTCTTTGCATCTAGTGCAGCGCCTTTGAGCGCGCTGGCTGAGGCCTAATCGCGCTCCTCCTCGACGCTCTTCATGAGCAATCTGCTGGTCAGCCTTATTTTGAGCTAGTATATCCTCTCCAGTTCCTTTTATAAGTACTCCGTGCTTCTGTATACGCCTTTTAGAGCGCCGCCTACGCGCTGAGGCTGCGCTGTTAGCCTTCTCAAGACTGGAGATCCGATCGCGCATTAGCTTAGCAGAGAGCATTATCACCTCAGCGCCCTTCTTCAGCTGGTCAATTGCCTTAATAATTAATGCTAGTGATGAGCTCTTGTGCTGGCGCACGCGCTCACGTATTAGGCTTGACTAAGCTTTAAGCTCACGCGCGTTGCTCGGCGTTTAAGCTACCCAGGGAGCCTCTGGCAGAGCTGCTGCTGGAGGAGTAGGTGTACGCAGCTGTACATCTAGCTTTGATAGAACAGCCTCTAGTTGTAGAGGAACAAGGCCTGCGCCGCGGAAGGCTGAGCAGATGTTGGCTGGCGTGAACGCTTAATCAAATGCTATCTTGAATGCTGGCAGAAACTCTAGCTTAGTGATGTGGTTGATGTGGTTGCGCATAAGGCTCTCCACCTCACGGCTGTACGCGCGCTTCAATGGCGAGAAGCAGCCAACATCAAGTGGCTAGAGTAGGTGAGATGAGTAAGGAGGCATACAGAGCGTATAGATATTGTTCTCCTTGCAGAGCTCCTGGAACGCTAGAGATTAGTGGCTCTTATAGCCATCAATAATAAGCAGGCGACGCGCGCCTATAGTACGAGCCTGCGTGTGAGCGTTGAAGTGCTTTAGCCACTCAACTCCAAGCTCATTATTTGTCCAGCCATTGTCGCTGACTGCGATTGCCTAGTCGCGTGGGATCTCAGCTTCCTCGTACCAGGCTGATAGGTGGTACTGGCCAGCGAAGATGAGGAACGGTGGGACTGACCAGCCAGCAGCGCTGATAGCAGCGATCAGCGTTACCCACTCGCGATTGCCTAGCTAAAGAGTCTTCGGCCTGCCTCTCCTCTCTGCTCCTGTTATAACCAGCTGCGTTGTAATCTTGCCCATTATAAAGCCAGCTTCATCAAAGTTGTATATATCCTCATCGCAGATACCAAGCTCAGCCTTTGTCTTCTCTATAAGCTCAAACCAGCTTCTAATAAGGGCTGGATTCTCACAGAGAGCTCTCTGCCTATCGTACGCTTGGTTGAAACACGTCCGAAGACTATCTGTCCGCTTGACAAAGTTGGCTGGCCACTTCTGCCCAACCTGGCCAGCGCCGCGCGCAGCCAGCAGCTTATCAGCCATATCGCGTGCAGCTGCGTAGGTAGGCGCAAACCCGCGCTGATCTAGATGAAGTATATAGCTAACAATCACCTCCTCTTCTCTCTGGGTAAGCTTCCTTGAGTTAGGCTGGCAATCGCGTCGCGCGCGCTTTCCAGCGCGCCGGTCAATTAGGGTTGATTTTGGGATATCGAAGACTGTAGCAGCGCGTCGCGTACTCTGAATTTGGGCAGAATCTATAGATAAGAGAGCAAGCTGAATATCTGCTTCATTTGAAGGCACAAGAGGAGCGCGGCGTGGAGGCATTATGTGTTGAGATAGAGTAGGTGATTAAAGTTGGTGGGGTGACCGACTCGCTTGTCTGACCGACTCGCTTGCCAACCACGTTAACTGTATTTCGTCTTTACCTAGATGTTGGAAGGCCTTGTACGATCGTACGGTGAATAACAGTAGCTAAGGTAATCTTGTGTATTGGTATTCTGGTGTATGATGATTCTACGAATGTGGGGGCTACGAAGGTATACATAGCGTTGGGTCCGAGTTGGGCCGAAGTAGGATCGAGGCGGTACATTGGGCCTTATTAGGCGACACACCGTGTGTATGCCGACACTAGACGTTATACTGCGGTAAAACAAGCTAAAGGTTGGTATACTAAGTACTAGTTACTAGATCTAGCTAGTTTAATATACTAAAAGCTTAAAAATTAACTTTCTTATCTAACTATTGCAATAGCTGATAGAATAGCTCTAAACTACAGTATACTATTCATTGATATGTATGTAATAACATATGAAATTTCTAGCCAAAAAGATACTCTAAATAAAAAGTTGTAGCTAGAAAAGAGCAGAGCTTTTTAGTATACTTAAGTACTGCCAAAGTTACACGAATCTAAGCTTACTAATCAGCCTTTTAAATAAGCTAGCCTAAAGAAAAAGATCTTCGCTTTCCAGAACACTAAAAGCTAAAGTTCTAGCTAGTCTAGTTGTCTAGATATATAGCTTTAAAAAAGGTAGCTTTTTTAATGTTGTTTTCTTTTTGTCACCCTACTGTACCTACACCATCTTTACCCTAAGAATGCCGGCCAAACCCCTTGCGATATCAGCGAGATCTACGACTTCATCCTGGTCGGGGCCGGATCAGCCTCATGCTTGGTCGCGTCACGTCTCTCGCAGCAGCAGCCCGATCACCAGATTTTTGTTCTGGAAGCTGGAGAACATATTCGCGCTGATCCCAAAGTTCAAACTCCTGGTCTAGCGACGGCACTGCTGTCGAATCCCACTTACGATTGGGATTATTCTTCTGCGCCTGAGCCGGGCTTGAACAACCAGAGTGTGAAGCATCCAAGGGGGAAGCTGGTGGGTGGTAGCAGTGCAATTAATAGCCACAGTGTGGTGTTTCCTAATTACGAGTGGCATGATCGTATAGCGGAGGAGCTTCTGTCAGGTTCAGGGAGAAAAGAGTGGGCCTCACAGGGCATGAGAAATTGCTACAAACGATGGCAGGCAGAACAATCCGGGCCTACAGCGGACAACGATGTTGGGTCCCTTGATCGATTGCACACATCATTCCCACGTACCATGGGCCTTATTCAATCTCGATGGGTTGAAGCTTTTGAAGAGCTTGGTCATTCGACGAATCCTACAGGGTTTGTCGAAAGCTATGCCGGAGCAGTCAATGTCACCAATGCAATCGACGCTTCAAAAGGCGAGCGAAGTCATGCAGGCACAGCATTCCTAGATTCCGCCTTGAATCGTGGCAATGTGACGTTGAGGACTGGTGTAAACGTCGATAAGATAGCATTCGATGAATTGTTGACCGCTGATGGAAAACTAAATGCTAATGGCATTCACTACACATACAACGGGGAAGATCATCTGATCAGCGGCCGAGAGATAATTCTCTGCGCAGGCGCATTCGAATCCCCCGCTATTTTGGAACGATCAGGTATCGGATCCAAAGAAGTCCTCGCAGCAGCGAATATCCCGATCCTGTATGAACTTCCGGGAGTCGGCGAGAACTTACAGGATCATCTGAACTGCGGCTTATCATTCGAAACCAGAGACGACATCGCTACTCGTGACGACGTACTGTGAAACCCCGAAGTACGACAGGCAGCATCATTGGAGTACGAAAGGAGCCGTACTGGTCGATTTTCGGAAGGAGTAGCATACAGTTTTGCCTTTACACCACTCCAGATGCTAGAAACCCCGACGGAGACGCAGGAGCTGATCCAAAAAGTTCAGCAATGGGTGGCAGCAGAGACCAACCCAAGCCTAAAAGCCCAATATGCTCTCATCCAAGAGGCCATCGAAAGCCCTAGCGAAGCAACAGCCACAACATTCATGCTGCGCTTACAGCGTCACAAAGACGCCCATTCCCTACCCAAGGACATCCCATCCGTCGTCGATGGCAACTACATAACCGTCGTCGCCATCAGACTTTCCAACAAGCAAGTAAAGCAAGTCACCGCTCTAAACTTGACTTGCTTGGTTCAAACATAGGCTTTACTTGACTTGCTTGGGGTGATTTTTTTACTTGCTTGACTTGCTTGTATTACTTGCAAGTACTTGGATTACTTGACTACTACAAAGAGATTAAGCTACATACAAATTACCAAAACTCAGTGTTCCACTCTAGTATGTTGTAATCTCCTACAAGCTGCTCATCTGAAAGCTTAGCCTCGCTACAGTTGTACGGTTTATAACCAGCTCGCACCCATGACCTTACTAATTGAAGAGCTGCGAGTAGCTCACTGCCCAGAGCACGTCGTTTAGGTTCAAGAAGGTCGCCAAGCTCACTGAAGAGGCGCTCACAGTCGCTGCTTGATGCTGGGATAGTCATGATATCGATTGCAAACTGCGCTAAATGCGGGTATTTCGGCAGTAGTTGTATCCAGTATTGGACAGGATTTCCATCTGCGTTGTACTGCTCCTGCGTCCACTGCGGCTCTTGTGTTTTCCAGCGCTCAAACTCGTCAAGTGGAGCCTCTCGGTCATTGTTGCGGCTAAGTATAGCAATAATTGCCTCGTCTATGTTGTTGCTACTCGGCGCAGTTGTATACCGCTGGCGTGCTCGTTGAGGTTTGTATGCCGCCCAAAGCTGTTGGAACGACGCGTTGGCACTAGTAAGCCAATCAGCTTTGTCTGCCCACGCCACATCGCAGTAGTTCTTGTAGTACGGGTGTAGGCAAACAGCGGCGTAGTAAGCGGGCGAGTCGTCGAGCTTGTTGTAGTAGTCGTTGGCTTTGCTCCACGCGGCGCGGAGGTTGACGTTGAGGTGATCCTCTGGAGCCTCGGCATGAGCGTTGAAGTCGACGTGCTCGAACGGGCGCGCCCGGGCCTCAAGCTTGCTGAGTACGTACTCAAAAACGGGTATAACCTCATAGATTGCGCCGTATTTGCCATCCCTAGAGCGTCCCTCGAGGCGTTTTGTTGCGTACTTGAACGGCTCTAAGCAGTCCTGGTACTTTGCAATTCCCGGCCAGTCAGCAGCTCGGAGCCCAGTTGATCTCATCCAGTTTGGGGCGTCGG